TTTCATCAAAATTTTATGTAACCAAAACCCCTTATTTTACTAAGCCTATAGCCTTACTTTTTCATCAAAATTTTATGTAACCAAAACCCCTTTTTTACTAAGCCTATAGCCTCACTTTTTGACCAGAAGTCGATAAAACCAAAACCTCTTATTTTACTAAGCCTATAGCCTTACTTTTTGACCAAAATTTTATGTAATCAAAACCCCTTTTTTTACTAAGCCTATAGCCTTACTTTTAGACCAAAATTCGATAAAACCAAAACCCCTTTTTTTACTAAGCCTATAGCCTTACTTTTTCATCAAAATTTTATGTAACCAAAACCCCTTTTTTACTAAGCCTATAGCCTTACTTTTTGACCAGAAGTCGATAGAAACAAAACCCCTTTTTTACTAAGCCTATAGCCTTACTTTTGACCAAAATTTATGAAACAAAACCCCTTTTTTACTAAGCCTATAGCCTTACTTTTTGACCAAAATTCGATAGTAACAAAACCCCTTATTTTACTAAGCCTATAGCCTTACTTTTTGACCAAAATTATGTAACCAAAACCCCTTATTTTACTAAGCCTATAGCCTTACTTTTTGACCAAAATTCGATATAACCAAAACCCCTTATTTTACTAAGCCTATAGCCTTACTTTTTGACCAAAATTTATGTAACCAAAACCCCTTTATTTTACTAAGCCTATAGCCTTACTTTTTGACTGAAATTTTATGTAACCAAAACCCCTTATTTTACTAAGCCTATAGCCTTACTTTTTGACCAAAATTCGATATAACCAAAACCCCTTATTTTACTAAGCCTATAGCCTTACTTTTTGACCAAAATGTTATGTTAACCTTTTTGACCAAAATTTTATGTAACCAAAACCCCTTTTTTACTAAGCCTATAGCCTTACTTTTTGACCAAAATTCGATATAACCAAAACCCCTTATTTTACTAAGCCTATAGCCTTACTTTTTGACCAAAATTCGATATAACCAAAACCCCTTATTTTACTAAGCCAATAGCCTTGCTTTTTGAGCAAAATTTTATGTAACCAAAACCCTTTTTTTACTAAGCCTATAGGCTTACTTTTTGACCAAAATGTTATGTAACCAAAACCCCTTTATTTTACTAAGCCTATAGCCTTACTTTTTGACCAAAATTTATGTAACCAAAACCCTTTTTTTACTAAGCCTATAGCCTTACTTTTTGACCAAAATTCGATAAAACCAAAACCCCTTTTTTTACTAAGCCTATAGCCTTACTTTTTGACCAAAATTCGATTAAACCAAAACCCCTTATTTTACTAAGCCTATAGCCTTACTTTTTGACCAAAATTCGATAAAACCAAAACCCCCTTATTTTACTAAGCCTATAGCCTTACTTTTTGACCAAAATTTTATTTAACAAAAACCCCTTATTTTACTGAGCCTATAGCCTTACTTTTTGACCAAAATGTTATGTAACCAAAACCCCTTTTTTTAATAAGCCTATAGCCTTACTTTTTGACTAAAATTCGATATAACCAAAACACCTTATTTTACTAAGCCTATAGCCTTACTTTTTGACCAAAATTCGATATAACCAAAACCCCTTATTTTACTAAGCCTATAGCCTTACTATTTGAGCAAAATTCGATAAAACCAAAACCCCTTATTTTTCTTTTAGCCTTTCTTTTTGATTAAAATTCGCTAAAACAGAAACCATTCATTTTCCCAAGCTTATAGCCTTACTTTTTGATCGAAATTTAATGTAACCAAAATCACTTATTTTCCTAAGTCTTCAGCCTTATCTCTTTACCAAAATTGGATGTAACCAAAACGACTGATTTCGCAAAGCCTATAGCCTTACTTTTGAAGAAAATTCGAAGTTACCAAAGCCACTTAATTTTTAAACTTTCGACTAAAATTTGACCGAAGAAAGTAGTTTTTTTTACAATCCTAAAAATATTGAAATTCTTTAATCTTTAAGTCTATAGTTTCAATTTCTTGCCAAAATTTGACGCGAAGGAAGGAAACACTTTCGTAAGGCTATACTCTAAGACTTTGATCCACATTTGACGTGAACATTTTTTTATAAACCTGGCAACATGGACAAATTTTGAAAAGCAAGAGGAAAAAGGTGAACACATTAAGCAGAAAGGCAAGTCGACAAAAGATTCACATTTTCAACCTAAATCAAGAGTAAATTAAGCTGATATTAAGTGTAACTTTGGAACATCTATTGATTCGAAAATTAATTGTATTCATATTGAGGTATTAAAGGGGTAAGCAGTCTCGCATAAAGATACTAGAAAATCATATTAAATGATAAGATCAACAAAAATGTCACACGGTTAAACAAGTTAATTTTTGTGGTGCCTCGCATACTAACAGGAACCTTCCGAAAAAAATTCAGATATCATAGTGTATAGATTTACAAAAAATAACTACATGATCTAACAAATATGATCTTCTTTTTTGAAATTAAAGAAGAAAGGCAATGACTTTGATTTTAACTTTTGAGGAGTTTAACGACGTAAATAAAAACATCTATATTTAACTCATAACACGCAATGTTTCCCATAATTATCGTCATTTATCTAATTATTTTGGTGCACTGTATATGTTTTTAGGTATACTTTTGGGGCTAGACTTCTATTGCTGAAAAAACGTCAAGCCCAGCAGTTGTATGGTGTGGCAGTAAGTCAGCTATCATTTGCCAATCAAATGTGGAAAGAGCAAGGTTGACTGAAGGGTGTATCGTAATATCATACAAATAAGAAATGATAGCGAAAGAGCTTTGAGACCATATTTTCCAGCCATTCTGGCAGTTGAATTATCTGGTTAGTACTTTTCCGGACACAAAATTAATCGATTTTTTTAGGATTTAAAAAAAAAGGGGGAAATCTTTCAGAAACAAATAAATTGAGATTCGAGAAACTTAAGCATCCAAATAGAAATACGTCTTAATTTTAACAACAAACAAACTAATTCACTGCGTTTCTTTTTATTAAAAATATTATTAAATTTTGAATTGCAAGTGCCTTTCATGATGGGAACTTCAATGACCTGGAGTCAATTCCCGCCACGATAGGCACAGATGTTTTATGTTATTGAATTTTCTTCTTGTAGTGATTATATAAAAAAACTCACTCCAAATGACTCCAAATTAAATTTCTTTACTTACATTACCGAAATTAATTTTACAGTATTTATGAAGGGAGCATTTCTATACTGAACAAGAATTAATGTTAAAAAAAATCTGTAGGATTTTCAAAATCAAGGGTTGACAGATTTTCAAAATTAAAAAAAATCAAGGGTTGACAGAGATTCTACAGACTAGTGTCTACGGACTCATATTTTTATTTAAACTGCATTTTATCGCATATTACACTTGGCAAAGTTGTTTTACAATCTCCTATAGAGTAAGTAAATTCGGGTCTCAAGCAGGCAGTTCTTAATTTTCACAGAATTTTAACTCAAGACAAAACTTTTCCAAATTCTTTGAAGTCGAGCTTCCCCCAACTTGCTATTAAATTCTTAGGGTGTAAGATAAAGAAATTTTTAGGGCTTTCATAGCTTTCCAGTTTGATACGGTTAACTGCTGCTGTTCAGTTTCTTAGACTTCAGCGCACTTGTTTCTAATATCCTTCTAATATAGAGTTTCTCATATCCGTCTAATTAAGCCACAGCTTGTTTTTAGTTTTTTCATAACTTCTCACTGACTTTGAGATTCATGTTTTCATTAAAATGTAATATATTGCTATGAAACAGAGTAAAAATATCTTGTGCACAATTATATTAGTTTTGAATGTCACGAAAAAATCCTGATATGCGAAAGACCATAAAGAGGTGAATCGATAAGAATTTAATGAAATATTAAAGTTGAAGATACCTTAGTGCAAAAGTAGAATGATGGACAGTAGGCCTTTTTCTTGTGGTTTTTTTCCCTTCGCAAAAAGATCTGTCAGCGGCTTTGGAACAGTGCAAGCACCGCGCTGCTGTCTCTCTAAAATTGCAAAGTCAGTTGTTACATCAGCGACCAAGTATCAAGCGCACGAACCAAGAGCTGTACAGTGCAGATTTGCCTTGATTCAAAACTTCTCACCTCCCAATGTTTGATTTACCAAGGACGTTTAAGAACTTGCCACGCGTCATTTCATGGGCTAAGAAAGACAAAAAAAGGTTTATACTGGGAATAAAGTTTGATTCAATTCAGAGTGATAACAGTACAATATAACTGGAAAAGAACAAGAGATAAAGCAGAAAACAAAATACAACTGCAACAACAATAACAACAGCAACAACATCATCAAGAACAACAGCAACAACTGAAAGATTTAATTTCATCGCATATTATTAGCCCACCATTCCCTTTAAAGGCACTATGTCCCAACGCATTCCGATGGTCTTTTAAATTCCCATGGGTTAGACAATACAATAGACCTATCGTTACGTATCGGATCGGCATAGTGAGACTATTTCTTTATCTTTTTTAAATAACAATCGTACCAAAAAGCCTATTGTAAACTTTGAACGGTTGACTGGTATGATATGGTGCTTTTAAAGAGAGTTTGAAGAGAAACATAAGAAAATAAATTACATGTAGCCTTGCAATTAGCAATTTAGCAACCAAAGCCTATTTCAACTTGGAAAATTAAAAGGTTATTTGAATTTAAAACAAGATTTAATTAAAGGTCAAAAAAGCTCCACAATGACTGCTTCATACAGATGTTATAGCATGGAATGTTGTTTCTTCTTTTTCAAATTGTGCAAAAATTGGCCGTTATGGATTCAAAAATGATGATTCTTTTAGGTGTGTTTCTGTTTTTAAATTTGAGGTAAAAAGATAGTTACATAACACTTGGTTGAGCCGTGTGGTTTTAGCAAATAATCTTTACAGATTCTCACAGACCAAAATGTTTTTTATCAAACAAGCAAAAAACCAAAGACTGCATGTTAATTGTTGGGGCACAGACCCTCCTTAATCTTCTTAAAACCCACACAGTAACTATCATCACAGAATATCCCCATTATGTGCTATTATATTCAGTAGTGTAATACGTGCTGATATACACAGTAGCACGTAGGGTAATAATTAAAATATTGATTTAATATTTGATTTAGAACAGTACAAAATTTTAAGTAGTGATTCTCTACACCAAATAAGGACATACACATGGTAAATGTCAATCAAGTCACAGTGATCATGATTATGTATGTTGCAACACGAAATTAGTTAAGTAGTTGGTTGGAGTTACAGTTGATATAAGGATTACGATTGGCGGATATGTAAAGCACAAAGTGATGATTTTTCTTTGATTCTGCATCTTATATTTTGTTCATCATTAAATTTTGAGCGAGGGGCACGGCTAGAAATAGTGGTCCCAACACTAATTTTATAGTGCAATTATATTTTCATGAATGGTAAAACATCACAAAATATATCTAAATAAAATTTTTAAAACAATTAAGCAAAAGGAAAATAATTTTCGAAAAAAAAAGCAATTACCTTCTTCTAAACCAAGTTGGTAAGCAAGGTTTTGCAATGCTTTGACTTTGTCCATCAGTTGTGAAGTAGTCAAGCTGCCAAATTCTGAGTAAAATGAACAAAAGTCAGATTAGAAAATATTTGAAAAGACAGTACTCAAACAATTATGAATCAAGCAGAGAAAAATTAAGTAGCATAAAAAATTAATCTACATTCTAATCAAAACATCCCTCAACAAATATTCAGCACCCTGTTTATCCAATGAGGTAGAAAATAGAAGCTTTCCTTCCCTTCTTCCACATCAACTCATCATTTGCAATCCCAGTGGCAGAAAATACTTTATCCCCAGTTTTTTAGGCTAGAAGCTTTCCTTCCCTTCTTCCACAACAACTCATCATTTGCAATCCTAGTGGCAGAAAATACTTTATCCCCAGTTTTTTTAGGCTCTCCTGTACCCAGTGTTAGGAATACTTTTCAAGAGAACCTATCCTAAATGTCCTAATATCCTAAAGCTGAAGCAGAGATTTTCATTTCAAGTTAACACAAGATTTTCATGTAAAGTTTGACAGGTTAGATAATATTCCATGGGTACCATGACAGAGACATTTTCAAATGATATGCATAAAAAGGCCAGTTAATCTCTCCTCAACAATTTCCAGGTTTCACAATTCCCCCATGCTAATTTCTTTGTGACTCTTCTTTCGAAATACATGAAATCCATTGAAGAGCACGTTCTGAGCAAAAATGAAAATTTGTTTCAAATATTCCGAAAAATCTATGTTCATGTTACAAATCAATAATCTCAAACACGGCCTGGAAAGTAACATCAAGCACAGACTTGTGCCTGATACAGAAGGTGAAATGTAACATGACACATAACATGACAACAAAGTTTTGCAGTAGTGAATGGATGAATACAAAACTGCTTGAATTTGGCATTGTAAAAGAATGTCAAAAAAATACCTTGAAGCATATCATGGTCTTCTTTATCCAGTGCTGAGTCAAGGCTTGATGCAACAGTCTCTGTTTTCGACAATATTGGCTAAAATTGGCAATTCAGTATGTTAATTTTTCTTTCAAGATTGCTGATATTAACAATCATAAGGGTACCAATAGTGCTGCAAATGGAATATAGTCATCCAAGTACCTTAACTAATTGTAAACAGCCTCCATAAAATTAACTTTGTGCTACAAATTCAATGAGATTTTTTCTAAAAAATAGAATCTTTGTTTTCTGGCATAATACAAAATGCCATGAAAAAACATCTTAGTGCAATATTCGAACATGTTATGTGTTGTGGCTATTGCTGTAGTGCTACAGGTGCTCACTGCTTGGGGTGGGGGGGGGGGGGGGGGGGGGGGGGGGTGAGCCCATCACGTTAATGCAAAAAACTAAGCCAATTTCTACATTAAAAAATTATTTTGTGCACCATTTTATGCGAGAGCTCCCCTTGTCATTTTGATAGCAATTTGTCCCTGGTTGTGTTGTGCACAGAGTCACATGTTACTTGTTACTGCATGAAAGCAATCATTTTCATATACAATTGCCATTAGTTTCTTTTAAGTTTATTTTCAAATTTGATTGATTTCTTTCATTTGCAATAAATTTTTTTTTTGTTTATTCTTTAGAAGTGTGTTAAGTTCTTTTACTGGCATCTTGAGAATATAATTGCAAATAAAGCTCTGCCCATACTTTGCAAAAGTAGTATGAGCCTAATCAAGGTCAACTTTAGATCTGGCCCAGAGTATAGACAAAGAAGGCCTGGGCCTATGCTAGTTTTTCCCAGGCCCTAGGGCGGGTCAGGCCCAGGTTATTGCTGTGTTGACAGAAACTTGGGCCAGGCCTTGATTAGAATTCCCTAGGACCCAAGAGAAAAATTGTGCATTGTGTTTTGTTTCTTCTCAAAGAAAATTGTCAACATTTGAACACAGCTTTTTATTGTTTTATGTATAGAGAGACTGGTCAATGATCTTGAATTTTGAAAAGCCTGGGTTTGGAACTTTACGACTTACTGTTTCTCCATCAAATAAGAAATAAAATGACAAGGTGCCACAAGCCTTGTGTCATCTCATTAACATAAATAATTGTTAACACAAATATGAAACTCATCAACTAAATAAATAAATTTCAGAAAAGTAAACCAAATAGGCATTGGGGGTGATTTCATGCAAGAAAATAGGGCAGCACAACTATGGAAAAATCTCCTAAAGCCTATAAAAATTACCTTTTCACTGAGAAAACGTAATAACACTGTCAAAATTCTAAAATTTAGAAATCAGAGAAAGATGAGATGTAATCCACATGATATAATGTTCTAGTTTAAAAAGTATTTGACCAATCTCATTTTGTAAGGGTGTCATGTTTTCATTCATACCTTTTTGCAAACTGCCCAAGCTAGATATGTTCATATTTTTCTGAGTCGTGTATATTACTGTAGTGTTCCAATAAAATTGCATTGAATGGAATGATTTTTACTTTTTTTCTTCTGCACTAAAACAGAAAACTAAGGCTCTGCCTGGGCTTTTTGTTCATACGGTCAAATTCACATCCATAAAGTAGAACTCAGCCTGTGCTAGCCTAGCCTGTATCCAGCCTAGGCTAGTTTAGGTAATGAAAAAGGTTAAATAAGCAGGTCTTTCATGATGATTTGGATTCAGTTCTCATGAAGACAAAACATTTCACTTCTTTGGATAAAGATTATTGTTATAACAAAAGAAGTCTGAAAGTTAACTCACACTTGTACCATAGATTGTAGCAAATTCCACTGCTCCAGGCACTTGAAAGAAAAAGTGAACATAGAGTTAAAAAATGTAACTTTAACTGCAAGATACATTCAACATAGGTTTTAAAATAACTAATTTTACTTGAGATTACAAGCTGGTAAAAGATAGAGACATGTATATCATTAAATTGGTTCATAAAAATTGATGTGTCTTTTAACATGTTGAATAATAAAATGCTATACAATAATGTGATGTATCTAGTATTTGAAACCCTCTGAATAGCATGACAATTTTTTTTCATCGCAATAAAAACAAATACAAAACTCAAGTTGATCATTGTTGAGATGGGGGAAAAAACATAACATTATCGAATTGCCTCCACACCCAACATTACAAATATTCCAAAACTTTGCATAATACACTATAAATACACTATAAATACACAATACAGAACAACACAGCACAATACAGCACAATACAATACAATGCAGTACAAATACATACAAATACAGTACAAATACAGTACAATACTGTACAAAATGCAACTATGGATAGGTCATCATGTTAGTTCAGGACCACAGGATTCAATCTACCAGATATAGCAGACAACGACTAAAGAGAATTCATTGAAATCGTTTAGTTTACTTGACATATTCAACTGTGCATTTCAGTATCAATTAATTTGCTTCCTCTATGTCAGCCTTACTTCCAAAAAGAAATAGATCACATAAATGGTCATTGGGCAGTTGTGTAATATCATTGCCAACTATATCAGATATTTTATCAAGCAGGTTCATTCTATCAATGAACTCGATGACAATGTTCCCATAGCTACCTTTGTCTTATATAAAAAGAAGACTTAAGCTTTTGATTGACACAACTTATGTCATGGGTCATGATACATCAACTATGAGTAATCCTTGTTTGAAGTTCAACCATCGCAATTCTCAACTGCCACCATTGTTTACTTCAGAACATGGCAAGGCAAGCCTTGAACAATTGCGTATGATAACTTCCTCTCCAGAGACACAAAACTGGGCAACATTGTGATATTTTTCCCCTTTATCCAACCAGCCGTTAGAGGTCTTAAACGTCTTTGACCCTAAACCGTTTGCAATAGATTTGGCTTCTTCTTGGATCATTCAGGCTTTCGTCGGAAAGGCGTGCGATGGCACGCGCACGCCCTGGCGCACGCCTGCTGATTTCCAGGAGTGCAAAACATCACACGCCTTCTTTTATTATCGGAGCAAAATTCATAATTATTGGTTTTGTGGGTTTTTGAGATGAGTTAATAAATTGATCCCTCCTTGGTACTATTACTTCATGCCACTTCAAAAAGGCTTAACACCTTTTCAGGATTGCCGATTAAATATAAAATTTTGAAATAATCATAGAACTAATCTACAGTGGAATCCCGATATTATGAAACATTAAGTGTTTTGAACAAGACTTTCATTTTCTATCTCTAATGTACGAAAGTAGCCGATTATGCGATAAAAAGGAGCCGATTTGCCAATGATGCGGAAAAAAATAACAGAGGATTTGCTGGATTTCGCTACCCCCTACAGCCCCCTCTTTAGACATCGCTATGCTTTAAATCTAGATTTTAGCAACATTTGATTTAATGAAAATTGGGCCATCATTATCTTTTATGCATCTGGCCAGTGAGGTAGACAAAATAGCTGTCATGTTTGATAACAAAGGGCTCTCTATGTACTGATTTACACGCAAAAACTGCCATTACAACCATATGAACGCCAAAGCATTAATGATTCTGCTAAGGATTCATTATTGAAGCTAATGAAAACTGCTTTCGACATGGCAAACATATTTCTATTTTTGTAGTGCCGTTTTTTTTGGATATATTAAATAAGCTCAGTTTATACTTGTTTAGAAAATTGCTCAATTGCTAAAATGTAAGTAGTCATGGTAAGAATTCAGCGAAGTAAATTTCATTGAAATTTTTGCTGTCATCATTTTCGTGTTGGCCATTTCTCCGTAGATCTACCATAATTACCAAAATGTTTTGTGAAAAAATGTCACACGCCATCACATGCCTGGATGTTTTCAGGGGTGCGGTGGTTAGCACGCCTGCTATATTTTTCCCACGAAAGCCTGATCATTGGTCCGCTAATAAGAATGTTTGATCCCCTTGCCCCACAAAACCAGTCAAAGACAGCTCTATTTAACTGAAGTATGATAACAGTTCTCGGTTCTGAGTATGATAACAGTTCTGATACTGATAACCATCAAAATGAGGCATTTTCTGAAATTTTTGGGGAAATATCTGATGAAGAATACAGAGAGTTAGTCATTTTTGCTTCAAAATGCCCAAAGAGAAGTGGGATATTTTAGACCAGCTGATAGGACAAGCTAGCTGTTGAAATTATGCCAAATGCTGGTCAAATTTTCAAGCTACAATCTTATTGGAAATTTTTCAATTTTTCAACTTGTTATGAAAAGCAGCCTTGATTGCTTTGATTTTATTTAGAAAGTAAAATGCGGTTTTGTTAATCTTTGAATTTGCTAACAGTTTTGTGTTAAATTTGGATTTCACATCATCGTTCATCTCTCCTTTGTGTATTCCTGCTAAATTTATGTTTCCCAACAGCAAGAGACCATTTGTCTAAAGAATATTGAATTAATTTTTCTACTGCAGTTTCTATTAGATTGAAATGTCAAGGGAGAATCTTTGAGTTCATGAAAATAGAAATCATGAGACCTTTGTAGTTACCTTTACCCCGCAGTATAAGTATAAGACCAAATTAACACAAACAACATACTTTAAATTTCAGATATAAATATATGACCTATTTCATAAGCTTGATATAAAGAAAACTTCTAACTGGAAAAACCATGGACCCTGGGACAATCTTACAAGGGGTCCTATGAAAATCTAGTGGCACTCTACTTGTCCTTGATTGGTACTTCTACAATGGGTCGCCACTGTCTCTAATAATTCTACTTACATCTATCTATACTACATTTGTTTCTTTGAAAACATTTTTTATGTGCCTAAAATAGCAGGGAAGAAAAGGATAGAAAAAGCGTTGATGATAGTGTGGTGAAACAGTAAATGCCTGAATCTTTTTTGTTGATTGAATCAACAGTGTCCGCAAACAGGGGCAGACACTTGGTGGAATATTTGGGGGGGCAAGCCTATTGTTTAATAAGATGATGTCACATTTCCCATTGTTTTAGAACAAAAGACCATTGTCATCTAAAGTATTGGGGGGTGGTTGCCTCCCATCCCCTCTCCCCCCAAGTGTCCGCCACTGTCCTCAAATTTCAAAGGATCAAAAAAATTAATTCCACCTCTCCAAAATACCAGCCTCTTTAACAATCCTTGTTTGGCAAGTTGAAATACTAATCCATCTGCAGGAATATTAGAGGTAAATAAAGTACTCATATACTCACTTTGTTCCGGCCAAAGCTCTGGAGAAGAACGCAAAGTTTCTTGACTACATAATAAGGACTGTAGGCTTGTGTCAAAATCTAGAGGCAAAGACATAACATATAAAAACAATTCTGAAATGCACTTTGAAAGAAGTAATGACACAGAAAGTAATGACATGATTAAATTTTGGCTTTCAGCAACATCACATGTTATTGTTTTGAACTTCAATCTGGATTTCAATAAAATTTGAACTTGATCTTTATTGCTTTTAATTTCCTTTTCCCATCTACACCATTTAAATAGATATAAAAGAGAATCGAAGATATATAGAAGCATTTAGGCTAAAACCCTGCAAATAAATTTGAAAAATAGTTTAATAAACTTCTCCTTAAATGATAAAAGAGTCATCCGTTCTATAAATAGAGGAAATCCTGCCTAAATTAAATCCTAATATATAAACAATATGACTTGTATCCATTTTTGTATGGACAGGACATTCAAACATTGCTTCAATGCCGATGGTCAAAAGTCTCATTATCTTTACGCATTTTTCTACTCCTTTAGGTTTTGTGTGATGGTGTAAAATTAACAATATATCATTGCTGAAACACTTCTTAATGGATTAAGATTATACAATCCTATCAAAAAATGATCAAATCTACCACCAAGGAGAAAGTAGGATAAAGAAGGAAGGCAGTGATTAAAAAGATACCTAAAATCGATTTCACATACCTGGATCAGGCAAAGAGATGGGTGGCGGTTGGCTGCTAGTATGTTTAGAGCTTCTTTTCTCTGGCGTTCCTCTTTTCGTTGGTGTTCTTGAAGAAGTCGACCTATTTGAAGCTCTTTTTGATGGGGAACTCATCATCAACGTTGCCTTTCAGTGCAAGACGACAACATTGGTGCAAGAGAAAACAAATTGCATTTCGCGCCTCGAAGAGAAGATGAGTCGCATCCTCGTTCCCATCTCTAAATCTCCTACGCAGCAACGCAGCAACAAATACATGAACACAAAAATGAGCAGACACGATTGATAATTTTTTAACCTTTTTTAAACGGTTGCTTATCCTGGAAAAATGAATGCATGTTGTTGACTGTATTGCATGTTCTTGAAAAAGGATACGAGTAATTATTTTTTCTCCGATTTAGATACTTATTTTTCAAGATATGTTCACATTTTTTCGTTTTTCTTGCCATATTTTCATTCGTACTGAATTTGTGACCTACTGTTAGTTTTATTACAAACAAATGGTTCTTTTTGTTACCAGTAAGAAGATCAGGTCTTGCGGCAAAAGTTGTTGTCATGTCACAGTAAAGTTTCTTAGCAGTCTGTCACAAAATATTACCTAGACGGCAGTTTCTGGTGGTTAAGAAGAAAACTATACTGACGTGTTGTTTCCCCAAGTTTAAATAGTCTAGGTATACAGTTTCATTCACAAAAAATTACGAGAGGTCAGCGCTCTAATCCTAGAAACTAAAAAAGTTAATCGGCGGCATTTTTTCAATTTCTAACTACTGCTCCTCTGACGTTTTCGTAACTAACCTATGAAAAAAGTCATATAACCTTGTAAGATAAAAAAAGCTTTTTATTGTAAAATTCTAATGGGAATATACCTAAAATTTGAGACTGCACCCAGGGGAGCGTGAAGAATAACTCAAAAAAGTCTTGAAATGAAATGAAGCAGTTTCTTTGCAATACAGTCTTTATAAATGATTGGTGTCAAATTTTTTCGTCAAAAATGTTTTTTATTACATGTTAGCTCAACTACACTGCCTTGATAAAGCATCAACTAAACTGCGTTGATAAAGCATTCAAATTCTTTTTAAAACAGTTTTTCTGAAACGGTTTTTTTTAACCAGGTCCTTTACCTCTTCTACAATAGTTTAACACACAAAAGCTTCCAGAAATAGAAATACATTCCTTCGGTGTTCTGAGGTTACGGTATCTTTGCTCAAAAACATTTTGCAGAGCGTTCCTGAGAAAGCGAGAAATTATTTCCTAAAACAGGCATTTTCATAACGCAAAAGATTCTTTCCTCTCTACGCTTAGTGTAAAATAACTTTTTCAATTCCTACATCTTGATTCAATATTTTCATTACTGTTGTTAAAGTCAATGAAACTCGCTATGAGTTTTAGCAAACATCACGAGATTGCTGATACTGTGTAAATTATAGTTTGTTCAAGTTATGAAAAACAACAGAAAAATCTTCCAAAAAGGGGAGAAAATATAGCATTTGATTATCGTTATCATCTTTTAAACTGGCGTTTTTTTCTCTATTACGAGTTATGGCGTTTATACTACCGGATGCAAAAAAAATTCAAATTTAATATCAAATAGATTCTACATTTTGTATGTGATAAATATAAAAAATTAAAATTATTTAAATATTCAATTATCAATGCATAAATTTTCTAGTTTCATAAGCTTTGATATTATTAACCCCATTTTATTAAAAAGTGACATATTATTAAGAAATAACAGACAACTCTTATCAAAACAGTCTAAGTTATGTTTAAAATTCAACTAGTTTGTAATTAGCATTTCAAGGTGCAGTCAGCTATGAATCTTCAGATTTACTAAAATTTCCAAACAATCAACATTACTCTCACGATTTCAATGCAATAAAGTTTTTAATTCGTGTCATTCAGGGCTTACCATGACGATGTTTTAACACAAACCCTGGTCTTACCTTACTTCAACCCATCGCGATAAGGGGTGGGGAACGAGGGGCTTCCTATGATGTCATCTAGCTATTCTCCGTTTCACCGAAAATTTAGCTTTAAGGCCACATTTACAGAGAAAAATCTACACTCATTGGATATACCTAGTTAAATTCAGTCACGATTACCCACTTTCAATTTTAAATCGATAATCCTGAAGAAATAAGTGCGATATTGCATTCGATAGTTTTTGATGTGTCCTCAATTAGCTTGTAAGCTAAATATTTTTTGACACATTAATAAAGTTTTTGATTGATTGATAGTACTATATTGGAAATCCTTTCCCTAGATTCTTAAGATAAAATTAGAAAACCACTGGTCGAAACGAGCAAACTATTATTTTCCCGTCGAGTGCAAAAGACATCGCTTTATCTAGTTAAAGTTTTGAAAGAATGTCTGATTATTATGACCAATACGGAGAGCATTCTAACTCTTCGATGGTAGCATTTATGAAGATCATGTTGACGGCAAAATAAAAATAAATATAAAAGTTGAATATGTAATTTTATCAAAATATTATTCTCAAAAGCAGTCAAGTCACAATGATATATGGATAGAAACGCCTAATTCTCCCGAAAGTACTTAAATGTTTTCATCTTCCTCACCCTCCAAACTTACCATTTCAGTGCTATAAGCAGAAAAGGGGGTACTTCCGCCAATCCATGTTCCTTTACCCTTTAGCACTTTTTTGCTTCTTGTTTCAACCTCAATGCAAAAAGGAACCTTGCACACACTTTCAGTCATTGTAGCTTTAGCGATAGTCTTGTGTCCAGGAGCGACCTTGAAATTCAGTGTGTGCTTCATATTTGAAATTCCATTTTCCGTAGTAGAAGACGTCGACATAATACTACCAAAAACAATTAACTTTTTGTCTCCATCCTCAGTAACTGTCCGCACTGGAACACCTAGTAAAAAGGTCACGCAAAGTAGAGACGATATTGCCAGAAATAAAAGTACCTCTTTGATGTTGCAGGAGGTGTTTCATATTGAGAAATAAGGTAATAGTCTCTTGCTTGGGCAAAAATCTCACTATCAGCTTGATCCCCCAAGTCTAAAGATTTGTTATGAGCTTTTTAAAGAAAAAAATGAAACATTTTGTGTATGTGTTGCTACCATTATAGCCAAATTCCGTATCCAGGTCCAAGTATTGGGACAAAATTTTAACCAGCTGTGAAGAAAAACAGTGGTGGAAAAGTTGACTATCCCGCCAAGCGACGTAAAACTCAAATGCTTTTTTCCACTTTTGCACCAGTCTGTCTAGCATTTTTTGTCAGTTTGAAGCCTACTTCCCTTTCATTTCTAATAATTAGTTTTTGCGATTGACAGCTTTCCTCTAATTATTGGTATAAGAAAGATTAACTTATGAGTAAAGTGACATCATAAAGTAATGGATTGTACAAAAAACAACTAATTGAGGGAATCAGGTACCAGGTTTATTTGTTAATTGGTTGCAATAGCAAAGCAAAAGAAGGGCTCAAGACATATTCTTAAATTTATATTACTGAAAAAGCTATATACCTCCAGTAAACGTCCCAGTGTATTCAAAACCATGTTCAAATTGAAACAAATCCTTTCCCTTTGGTGGTTCTTCAAAAACAACTGATTTAGAAATTTCTTCTTCCCCTTCATTTGGGTATTCATACAAAAGATCCTGTATTTCCTTAACTTGCACTTCCCAATGTTCAGTATCATACTCTATCTTTGCATCTCTCACATCCTGAAAATCACAAGACTTACTAAGTTAAAAAAGCATATAAAGTGATGCGATTTACCAAAAAGAAGCATAAAATTTATTTGAGCATTAGGCTTCTAGCTTCAGAATCCAGAAATGGTGATATAAATCTTTATAGATATATTTTAAATCCTCAAATTAGCCCCCTGGGGGTTTATTTATAAAGGCAATCTTAAGATTGGGGCTACTTTAAGGGGGGGAGGCTTATCCACGAGTGGCTTTCAAAAACCATCTACAAGCTGCCGTACCAAAAGCTCGTTTTCACGATTTTTTTGTTCATTTCATTTGCAATTTTACTTATCAACTCTCTTTTAGCGATGTAGCTTATTAACAACTTTACTTCAAGGAAGAGGGCTTGTTCCAGTGGTGGGACTTTAAAGAAAGGGAGGCAATTCGAGGATTCAAGGTAAATGATTCCTGGCCAGTATTCAATATCAAGCCTTTTTTAGTTACTAGTTTATCGTGCTAACTAAAACACATGGAATAATCGAAAACAAGCTAAAACAAGCCCGAACCTGTGAAAACACCAAAAACCTGCCCAAACCACCCAAAATGCGATTAAACCACACAAAATGACCGAAACAAGCTAACAACCAACAAAAAGTAGCCAATAACTATCAAACTCGAAGTACTACAGTAAATTACAGGTGGTAACTCAACAAATTTATACCAGAAGAATAATTAGAGACCCAAGACATGGCACAATGAAGCATAAAAAGTTGCCACTTTAATATATAGAATAAGACATGTTAGCAGGGGCGCCGGAACCATGTGGTGGAGGGTCAGCACAGGGGTCACACAGGGGCAGCACAGGGGCAGCACAGGGGCAGCACAGGGACAGCACAAGGACAGCACAGGGACAGCAAAGTGCCTTTTTCACGAAATTGATTTCCGAGCAATAATAATTCATATCAATATCTAAATGCTAAGGAAATCTAGGTTGCAAATCGATTTTCAGTTTCTATCAACACGGAAATATTGATTTTGCTCTTGCATTTAGGCATCAAGAGACACTTGAAACCTAGATTTCATTTACATTTAGATAGTGATATGAATTATTATCGCTGAATTATGTGTAACCAAACTGCTGAAATTTTGTATGTTTTCTGTGGACACCTGCCAGAAAATTTTTTTTTTCTTTCACAGTACTTCAGTTCTGCACTTTTAAGAGCTTTCCATTGACAGTTTGGTTATTTTAAAAAATTTGCTAACATATTGAAAGATAAAAGCTTAGATAATTGAGAAATGGGTTACCTTTTCTAAAACAAATTGGAAAATACTTGGCTGATCTCTACTGGCTTTGACGACACAGCAGGCTGGGATGCCAGCCCTAACAGAAGATACATGCAAAAAGCTTTCCTGATTCTTTATCGTATACAATCCAAGAACATTGGCCTTTTCAAATGAATACTGGAACTTTTCAATTTTCGGATGATCAACTGGGTTGTCATCCACACCTAACACATTCTCACCAGAAACATAAACATGTTTGCCAGTTTTCAAATTCAAAAGATAATATGTGTCCTCTACATTGGCTTTCTCCAGTTTGAACAAATTCCTTTCAAATAATCTGGTTTCATGAGCTTCCACTTTAGTATGCATACTATGTGACAAGGTAGGATCTTTTGACATAAACAAGTAACTTTTGGTACTAGGTGAGTAGATGAGAAATTCTTGGTCAGCTTCAGCTAATGCAGAAGGGTCGACCCACAATATGTTTGTAGTTTTGTCCAGGCTTTCACTTAACATGCTTGTTTCTATAATAAAAAAACCACTTAGATATGCAATCATTTTCAAGGGTGATGCTAGGGAAAAGCTCATGTTCCTATAGCTACGCGGAAAAGAGGAAAGGAGGGGAAGATGAAAACGAAGGGGGAAAGATTTCTATTTGCTAGCTATTGTTATTATCATTATCGAATATTTTTACAAGATAATACTTCAGTACTGATATGCATATATACATATTTACACTGTTTTCCCAGTAGATTACAATATTGTTGTTTATATGTAGTAAGCTTCATTAATTTTATGTAAAACTCATATATTGTAGTGGTAGTAGTAGAATTGATTTAATTGAATTAGCAAGCTTGTTGATTTTTATTTCAATGAAGATAATTTGTTAAAATCTATCCAACACCGTAGCTTTTAGTCCCAGAAATTGATGGGGTGCACACATCAAAATGGTTTCCATATACTGGGCCTATCATAAAAACAAGGACAGTTTGCAGGAAAATGAGCATACGAGATATCCTATTTGCAGATAGTTCTTCTGTGCTAAAAAGACTAATAGTCCTTTTAAAAAATGTTATCAACTTTGATAAGCTGCTTTAATAGCTTTATATTTTAAGGTTTAATTAATTAACCATAAAATATAATTAAATTTATATTTCCATGTTAAATAAACAATGTATACATGAATGAGTAGATTTTTGAAACTGAAATATGGCTCTCCTCATGTTCCTGTAAGCTATTAATTTTATCTGATGATATTAGTGATAAGTTAGTAAATGAGTTTGGTTATTTTCCCGATTTTAAAAAGCATCATAGACCTGTAACATTTTCAAAACCTGGATATTTTCGATTTTTTCTTAAGAAAATCAGGGAGTCTTGGCCGATGCAGGAAGATCACTCAGGGGCGGATCCAGCTTAAATTTTGAGGTATGCTGCAGTTTTTTGCAGTTGAGGCAAGATGCCACGCCCTATCAAGTTGCCAGGTAGCACCCTATTCAGTTGCCTGGTAAAGTCCTGTCCAGCCTCGATGGGTTGAAGTCTCAAACTACCAAGAAAACTACAGAGATATTCATTTACATTGACAAAACTTTCAATATGCAAGCGGCAGATGTTTTGATTCAATTGCTTGAAGACTTTAACCAAGCAAAGTCCCAACAACCATTAGCATAACATTTTTTGACATCATAAAAGCCTATTTATCAAACACAAAAGATCTTTATCAAATTTTCAACGTTTTAATGAGCAACAATTGCATATAACTTTTACGGCTTCTAAAGCAACGACAATTTAAATGTTTAAATGAGCAACAAACAAGGACCACCACGATGGAACGAAGTCATAATAGTTTAATGCAAAATAACGCAGACTATTTTGGTTAGTCAGCGACTCAGATTTTGATTGGAAACCAAATAAAAGACTTTCCTAGCTGAAAAGCAGGAAACAAAACTAGAAACCAATGTAGAACAGTTAGATGAGTTTTTAAAGTCAAAGTACAGTAAACAACGACTGATGTTAAAAGCAGAAACAGCCTTACTTAGGTCAGAGCCAGTAGCTACTTTACAGGTACTTATTCACAGCCAAGGTCTGTGTTTAATATATCGATCAACTTCAGCCTTCTAGGATTCCTTTTTGCAAAACAATCAGTTATCTCATCAGTATTGATCCTGTTTACCCTATGAACGCATTGCAGAGCTAGCCCGTTTAATCTGTGTTGCGACATGGTGTTTCGAAGGTATGTCTTTAGCCTTCGAAGAACAGAATTAGATCTCTTGCGAGTGAATCTTATTACTGGTAATGTTGCGAAGATCTGGAAACAAGCATATATATAAATGGGAATGTTGATTTGTCAATACTCGTAAGAATTGCAGATAATGTTGATGGGCTGTCTTGTGAGGATTGCCAATGGTCTTTCCATATCATCAGTTCGGTCTTGGTATCTCTTGGCTCAAGAAGATAACTGGTATAAAGATTGACGAAAGAAGCGAATCGGTTTTCCTACTCAGGAGAAGCTGCAATCATATTCGGCATACCGTAAAAGCGTCTGAAATCGACATGTTTCTATCAGAGAAACGAGATTGAACTCGGTCTGACAGGTGATCCAAAAAAGGGATTGCGTACCACAGTGAGTCTGGTATCCAGGGTAGGGATTGCGACACTTCGTTTATAATACTGAGATACTGATTCAAAAGGAGCATTGGAGTGTTTAACTTGCGATAGAGCAGTTCGAGGCATCGCAGGATAAATGGAGTTTGATTTAGCAATAGATGCTGCCTCTTCATACCAACCTAGATAAATTTCATCAATTTCAGATCGTAAGCGATGCAGAGAAGTAAACGTCAACGAAATCTTCTTTTTTGCAGCAGCAACATCAAATGAGACCTTTTGAAATTGTTTAGTGAGAGGGCTGATAATTTCAAGACAGCGTGAAACAACGACAAGTACCAATATGAACTGAAGAGATGCTGTTGCATAGAACAATCGATTCGCGTCACGGACAGAATCAAAATTCCATGATTTGTCTAAATTTAGCATGATCGTTTCGAGAGACCTTACAACGGCATCATAGAGCTCCACAAATACATCGAGTCCATCAATTCTCTCAACCCACCTTGTCCGGCAAACATCGATGAGGTGGCTGTGACGCGAAGCAGGATGCACCTTTCCGATGAATTTCTTCAGGAAGTAGTGCTTGAATTAAAAAGTTCTGTCTCTGTGAAAACACGCACATGCCCCATCATGTTTCTGACAACCTGAATCTTACAAGCGGAGGCTACGCGAAGATTTAGCACATGCGATCCGCAGTGAGTGTAAGGAGCCTTAGGATAGGACTGGCATATCTTTAGCAGCGGTTCTAGAGCATTTGCCTGTCATGTTGCCAGCACCGTCATACCGATGGCCACGACAAAGGCTCATGTCTAAACCAATACCTCTAACAGCCTGAAGAATTGTATTGGCTACATCTTTGCCTTTCATGCTTTTGGAACAGGGAACAAAGTCCATAAAATCTTCGTGTACTTTTGCCTGATTGTCTACAAACCGGATAACGAAGGGCATCTGTTCAATATTACTAAGATCTGCTGCCTCATGGGCAATAACAGAAAAGAGCATCGTGAACCTCTGACCGAAGTTTAGAAATTATGAACTCGCCACAGATGTTGATTATCTCTTCTTGAGTAGTTTTAGATCTGCATGTCATGTTTTAGCGGCATTCGTCATTTACTCGTTAAATGCTTCTTATAACCACAGCGGACGAGAAATTTCAACAATTCTTTCAAATTACCAGGATTATTTGAATTGTCATCGTATTAAGCATAATCGTCTCTGTAACCCTGAAACGAAATAGTTTGACGTCCCAAAAGCATAATATCCCCCACAATAGGAAAAAGCTTGGCCCGATTCTTTCTTATTTGTTCATCAACTAAAACATTGATTTGATGATCGATGGGCTTGCATTTTCGCTCCATAACGAGACGAAATCGCGTGGTTCTGAGCGTGACAGAACGGTGAACATTTGATTCTGCAGCATGGTCACGGAACTTTTGATGTAAATAAGTGGTGAAGCTTGCTTTTTCCATACTGACTTTGCTCAGGAATGCCAAAAACTACGCAGTTGATACAAAAGGCACCATGAACAAACTTTGAGTACGCAAGCCACAAAAACTCTGCAAGCCTTTTGTGTTGAAACTTACGACGTGCAGAATTAACAGGAAATAGATAGCCAGTCTCAGGTTTCCAGTCATTCTGAAGGACCTCGTATTTCTGCTCATTGTTCAAACTTTTACAGTATTTGTAGCATTCACCAATATCAACTTGAAAAGGAACAGTAAAAGAGTTGAATGTTATTTGATCCTTCTCTGAGAGCATTTCGGGAGAAGTACGAGAAACAGAATTATCTGAGGCCGAACACTCTTGCTGGGATCTCATTGATTCTGAAGGAAAAATCAGCTGATAGACCTTTTGTTTTGAAATTCTCCAGGGTTGACTGTTTTCTTCTTTTAAAAGGAGGATCTGGGGCATCTGCCTTCAGCCTGCACACATGATTTTTTGTTGTTCTTTTCAAAGACTTTAAATGCAGTTTGAGACAACATGAGGGTAAAACTGTGTTTTCATCAAGAGGTTTTCCATCTCTTATTAAGCCAGGGGTCTGATGGTAACTAACAAAATATCCTGAATGCAGAAGAAGTTCAATGTTGCTGAGGCATCTAAGTTGCAGTGACAAACATTCATCTCCAATTATTGATAACAATCAAGAGTTATACAAGCAGTTTCCATTTTGTTTTCACCTGCATATGAAATTGGGCAGCAAAAATGAATTGATCAGAAAATCACATATTTAACTAAGTTTCCAATTCAATAAGTGACTGTTGGTATACATGAGATGTAAATTTCCAAACATGAAGAAAAGACACTACATCAACCTCTTGAACAGATCCAACAAACAAAATTTGTTTTGTTTGCATCAAAATATTCTCATTCTATCAGCAAACAACAAATCAAGGAATAGAAGTATTTGATATGTGATGACTGAAATATCTAGTAAACAAATTTTATAATTTGTTGTCATTTCTTAAATGCTTTCAAACAAGAATTCTGAATGAATTGGTCCAAAGGAAATTTCAACCTTTTTTTGCTGTAAGAATGACTTGTTCAAATATCCCTATCAAAATTTCAATCACTTCCACTGCTTTGCAATGAAATCATGAGGGGGTGCCTGCAACACGTTAAGACGTGGCACCAAAAGACTCATATTGATTTCTATCAACTAATTTGGTCTTTCAAATCATTAACATTCAGATTTTATTTTGGGTGTTTGCCAAAATATACAATACATGCACAAGTTCTAAGTCAAACACATTTGGTTTCAAACAAAAATTCAAATAAAAACATTTTAATATCACCCCTTGTCTATTTTATTTGCATCCCAAAACATTCTCAAGACTTGTTTTGGTTTCTTGAAACACATTTTTATGGTACAATTTTCAAATAAATCATTGAAGAATTTCACTGCTAGTTCTGTGACATAAGTTCACATTTTCATGGAAATTGTCATGCAATGATGTGGTTAAGATGTGTACCTGCCCACATTGCTTTTCTTAGGGTTTCAAAAATTATCTATTTGCAAAACCAAAAGAACAGCTGCAAGTCTGCCAAAAACTAAGAGCAAAGGAAACTAAGATTTAAAACTTTCAGATTGAAAAATCCATATCTGTGGTATTTTATACTAATTGCAAAACTTGATTTCTACCTCTCATGATATTAATTGTGAGGACCCTCTTGTTCATACCTCACACTCCTAGACCGCTTATTGTTCTAAAGGCCACCCTACCTCACTTCCACTGCCAGCTCCCTTAAAAAACATTTGCAAGAAGGAGACCAACCTTATGGCCTAAAATATTTTCCTTCAAGTCTGTTGGTTTCACACTTTGGAAACTGCATGAAAGCTTGAGTTATCCACCCCTAAACTGTTACTCTTTACTGATTTTTCTGCGTTATAAAAAATGGCCTGTGTTTCTTCAATAATTTCTTCTCTTATGGCTTTGAGCTTAAGGGCATCATAGACTGAATAACATGCCCTCAAAATTGATTCCAGTTGTTTGTAGCCCTTGATGAACATTTTACAACAGTAAACAGCCAGAACTTTACTTTGAACAGGCATATATATGTGAATTTGAATAACATTTGACAATAGGGGGTACTCCCACCAAAAGTGAGCACCTGCAACCAGGGGTATACCTTGACGATTTGGAGTAGGGAGAGTGTAAACGGGTGAACTTACCAACCAAAATTCAACTCTTGCTTGTCAATGTATACACACCAATATACTATATAAAGTCAAGATACGCATCTACCAATAATCCATAACCAGGCCTTGCCCGGAAAGGCGCTCGATCGAGCGCGCGCGCCTAGAGCGCACCCAAAAGAAGCCTTGGAGAGCGATTTATAGAGCCCCTCAAAACGTCAAAACAATATTACCACGGAGCAAAATAATTTCTTGGCCTTTGTCTAATAAACTTGATCAAGCATAAACAATCTTCCCAATAGACCGCAATATTATGATTTGCGTAAGATTACCCCTTGAGAAAAAAATTCAGCAAATTCAACGTTGGGTTTTCGATACCGTTTTTAATCTAATAACCCTCTAATAACCACCAAGGTCACAGGCCATCAACCCTCATCTCCGGAAGATTTATTTGATTTTCGAGCAAGCGTTAATCTTCTGTTGAAGTATTATTTTCTGTTTTTTCTTAATAATTTAGAATCACCTTTGCAAATCAGAGATCACATTTCCGTCCAAATTACCGCATTGCTTTTCAGTTTTCATTTGATTTCGTGAGTAGTAGATGTTCTAGTGTGTCTTATAGAAAGAATAGTGTGTCTTATAAAAAGGGAAACAAAGCTAATGTTCGACTTAAAGCCATGCGTTTTCCTATATTTCTATATTTGTATTAACATAGTGTTTGCTGCATGTTTTGTTGTTTCATAATATGGTGCTTTTTGGTATCACCGTTGAATTTCTTATTTAACACTCGTCCAAAGCTTTCGATATGAAGCTCTCGATCTTCCAAAGCTCTTGAAGGATGCTCTCAAGGATATTTTATTTAAAGGTGCGAAATAGAGCGCCTAGAGTTTCTAAGGGGCTCTTTTTATGGAGCACCTTCATTTTGCTTAGAGCAAGGCCTGCATAACATTTACCGACCGACAATAAAATTTACCGACCATCTTTCCAAAAGTGAGGGGTGTGGGGGTGGTACACCACCCTGGTAGGTACACCCCTGCCTGCAACATCTAATGGCAATTGGCTGTTTGTCAATCGCAGGTGCTCCAGCACCATCACTGATTGGTAACAGTAATTATGCCAAAACATAAAGCTCAGACTGGGGGTGCTGGAAATTTGTAAAGCTGTATAATCTGTTCTGTAAATTAACAGACTTGAGTAGAGAGCTTGCAATGAGAAGATGTAGTCTGAAAGCATGTAAAAATAAGTGGACATTGAGGAAATGTGGTAAAAACAAAATTTCAATTCAATTTCATGCAGGGCCATCGCTAGCGGGGGGGGGGGGGTGCAGGGGGTTTTACTTTCGAAATTCTCAATGCGATAGCTTAAGCAAAAAGTTTGGATAAGATGAGGATAAGACCGAAAAAGTATCACCCCAAAACCCTCAGCAATTCAAAATAGGTACAGATGGCGCTATGGGTGTCACGGAGGGGCAAATGTCCACCAAAAATTTCTAATAACTCCCTGTTGGCAGCCGAAGTCTAGAAACTAATGTCCAATATCCAGGGCGACCTAATTTCTACCTAAAGTTTGGGGACAAAGTTTATTAAAAAACTCAGAACCTTGATCATGGAGGTACTGGAAGCCACTGTAAGCAGGGCTGCCGAGGGGAGCAAGGGGGCAAAGTGCCTCAGGGCCTTGAGGTTGATGGGGCCTCAAGTAGTAATGAACTCCATTTTAAGAATGAAGTCAATGAAACGTAGAAGAAGTATGCCTAAAAATAGTTAAAAGTTTTAAACGATTGCAAGAAAGGACTGCAAGAAATATTCTGAAATGCATTTTAAGACAATCTAAAGGGTGTGGTCGCAAAAAATTTCTGCTCGCTCCGCTCGCAGGAGCCCCGTCTTTTATGTTTCCTTCAAGGCCTTCAAAACAAAATCATTTGCGTCAAAATACCACACCCCCAAATTGAAATACCTTAGGCCACGCCCTATTTTGTGGGCAAATTTGTGACTGGCATCCCCCTAAGTGAAAGTGATTAGCGACGGCCCTGATTTCATGATTTAATTTCACTTGGAAAAAATTTAAGGGGTGCTCAACACCAGTAGCACCCACCCTGGATCTGCCCCTGATCACAGGATTTTGTTGAATTGTATAAACAACATTACTGTTAAACATTGTGCTGGGAAAACAGTTAATGACAATAATTATATGTAACAAAAACTTCTTTATGATATGATTATTAGTACTCTTTCTTAATTCGAAGGCGTACCTAATAACAACATACTCATTAAATTATTTTTATCATAAGAACATCATTGTTGAAAGAAAAGCCAGAAACTGTCTTTAAAAAATTGGCAAATCGGGAGGGTTGAAAGACATGTCTGATTTATCAAAATCAAATCAATCAAATCAAAACTTTTTTCAGCAACAAATCAATTAATTACAAGATACGTCATGCTAGTTGTTAAGATACAATCATTAATAACAATAAGGATTACATTACAAGGAACAACATAAGATATTTATAAGATCAGCTGATGGACACATGGAAAAAACTCATGAAGGAGCTATCAGAGCCATGTGCCCTGATTAACATCTTCAGTAGGGGCACTTAGCTGATTAATGGGACAGGACAGAAGGAAAAGTGAGTGGAGTGAAAATCGATATCAACTCGGTGAAATTAATTAAAATATAGAGAATAATCTGTTACCTGACAAAGCCATCTTTGCGGTCAACTAGACTGTGAGCACACCACACCCGCCAAAAAGAACAACAAAATTTCAAAATGTTGTTGTTGTTATTATTGTTGTTGTTGTTGTTTTAATTGCTCTGAAATAAAACATATCATGGGTAACATAAAAACTTACTTTAAATTGAAGGGAAAGAAATAATCATTATTTTGTAATGAATTCCGTAATTAACACAAGCAATACTGAGATTTTGCCAAGCTCTTGGTTAATGCATTCAAGCTTCAAACCAGTGGCAGACAACTTGGGAGCGAGGGGGGCAGTCGTATATTTTGGAGGACCATCGTTCTAAAGCAATGGGGAAATGTGACGTCATGTTATCAAAACAATAGACTTTCCCCCCTCTAATATTTGACCAAGTGTCCACCCCTACATCAAACATGGCAAGAATGATTTCTCTGATCTCTGGTGAAATCTACTCGATAATATTCTAAATTGTATTTATGGCAGTGTCAAGTTATTTGAGTTAAAATTGGCGTTATTGAACTTTGAATTTCATTTTTCATCTTAACTTGCAATGCTGGTGACAGTATAAATTGATATTCACATTACTGCTGAGTGATGACAAAATTTAAGACTACAAATGCAACAACGAAATAGAACGAATGGTAAAAAATGTTGAACTTTTCCATACCTAGACAGAATAAGTTTCTCGTGTCCTCTACCCCCAACTTTTCCTGTCCTCAGAAGTTCACATCCATAATCTTCCTTGCTCGGTCTTGTCCATACATTGCAAGTGCCCATGGCATTCTCTACTGGTAGCTTTTTCCTAGAGTCTACAGCTCGCCTTTGGACCGAGAGGGGGGCAAAGGGGGCAAATTGCCTCAGGGCCTCGAGGTGAAGGGGCCTCATAAAGTTATGAATTCTGTTTTGAAACAAAATTAATTAAAAGTAACGAAATTACGCCCATAAACAGTAAAATGTTTTAAGCGACTAAACGAATTTAGAGAGGCACTGACGCAAATTTTGCATCTGAAGATTTCAAAAATAATTTATGAGCAGCAAGTTGAGGAATCATGGCACCTGAAAATATCTTTTCATTGTCTGTACTCGCTGTGGAAGTAAAGTTTCGATACAGTGAAGATTGGGATATACATTTTTGATAACCTATTTCTGTTTTGGTATGTTGAGCGAAAACAAAGGGATTGACGTCCGGTCTGGGCTTCTTGCCCCGACAGTTTCAACCGGTGGCCGTCCCTTTTTTTCTTTCGCTTGTAAAGGTAGAGTAGATGGAGGACGCAAATGACCGTTGTAGAGAAGGTGGAAGTAAAAGAAAGGTCTTCGGTCTTTATCGTCGGTATAAACGAGCAAATCTTGTTCCTATGTTATGACACGCTTCCAAACTCTCACCATTTCTTGTACCAAGGCGTTCACCGAAATCACTCCCCCCTCCCATATTTCTACCTCTGTCTCGTTTGACACAAAACATTTATTGCCATAAAGTACATGATTTCTACATAAACCGACCTCCATGCATTTGGGAAATCACTTAATAGTGAACGGGCCTTATCAAGCATCATTTGCTATATACAAGTCAATTCTTGTTTCCGTACATTAAGTTACATTTTCGAGAGTGAAAAAAGAAAACAATTGGTGACACCACCTTTAACCCATTGAAAATATTGGATACGTCTTCCTCATGCATTCAGTGTCAGCTATTGAACAAATTTTCATTGCTATAAATGGTTAATGTCTACCACCATGGATGTGCTATAGATGGGCTCAATTTGGTTCTTTGGCTGGTAAAGATGATTTAGCATTTCAAAAGCACATTTATCTTTCACGTTTTTCTAATTGAAAGATATTCCTCTGTATAAATATAATTTCATCTTCAACTGGCAAATGGTCAAAAAGTAGATTTTCCTTCGTAAAGCAAAATCTTTTATACACAAATATTTTCTACATGATCAAACATAAGAGGCTATGAACTGCAAAAAGCATTTTGCCTCAGGATTTTTAAAGATTGCCGTGAAAACAAACATTGAAACTTTTAAGTGACGAGGTATCCTGTGTGGAAATTTAAGGATTACGAATACTCAGAAGATATATGTAAAGTATACATGCAAAAAAAGCATTGGAAGACAAATATACAATAACTCATAGATATTAAAAAATGTATCTCAATCATAGTCATAAAACATAGAGCTAAATTTTATGCTATCCAGTGATACTTAAAATTAAACAAGTAATTAGCAACAAAGGAGAAAAATAAGAAATATATAAATAAGTGAGGCTGGTTATTTACACTAATACACGAAAGGAAAATATATTTTACAAGTGTCATAATCTCTTAGTCACATTTTCCAGTTAAAAAAGCTTCAAACATCACACCTCATGAGGACATCTAAAATGTTCCCTAAAGTCTGAAACGAAGGCATTTGCTTCAAAGTTGGTAAGTCGTTGTCCTTCAATATTCCCTTTGGCAAGCAAGGTCTTGCCTTCCTTTGACTTTGCTTCAAGCAAATAAGGTTGCATGTATTCCATCGCTTCATATGTAATTGTGACACATGCGCATTTGTTTACTGGTAATTTTAGGCTGGCAGATTTCAACGTTGTTTTTATGAATTTCTGTGTTTCAGCAGTTGCTTCGGTACTCGTGTAATCAAAGGAGGCCGAGCCGTAGGTAGCTGTAATTAAAAATGAATTCATTTGTACGTCAAAGGCAATAAATAATAAAAGCAGGTGCAGAAGCGAAAGTTGTTTCATGAAGATTTACAGGGTAATGCTTAGTTCAAGACAGACCAAGAAGAATAACGTTGTCTGGGGGAAATAAGGATGTTATTTCCTGAAACCCTACCGAGAATGACGTTTGTCGATGTGAAATATAGAGACAGTAATTTCAGTAGGGACAGTCATCCTAACTTGTTTTCATCAATTGCTATTGTTTATGAGTTGGAAAAAAGTATTGACCCAGGTTTTGATCAATTTTTAAAATAGTATTGATGAAATTAAGGTTCACTTAATTAGTGAAAGATTATATATACAGCTAGGAAAATCAGGAAGTGTATAAGGCCCGCTAGCGTTCCGAATTTCGGAGCAAATTTTGCATACTGTTCACATTGTTTTTCGGACGAGTTAAACTGTTCAAACGGGAGAGGAACGGGACGGAATGATCCAGTACCGTTCCACTTTTTGTATTATCTCTGAGAGCGTTCCAACGTTTGGAACGGAAAGGAACGGAACGGAGCGGAACGGTACAATTAAAAGCCTTTCCGTGTGAATGCACCCTGTGAGCGCTATCCCCCCCTCCCCTATTTGTACTTTGCTAATTCCTTCGCTGGAAGCTTTTATGCGACACATCCTAATTAAACTTTCACTGACAATCATGGTCAGCAAAAATACATAAGTTTTAAAGTGATATCCCTTGTCGACCCTTTATTGCTTTGTGGACCAAATAAACGCCTACCAAAGTCACAACAAAAGTCACAGTGACGTTTCTATCAGCTCTTGCAGACATGTGCTCTTGGTCAAGAAAAAAAGACCAGTAAATCCAGAAAACTATGATAGACTAGAGATATGTAATATAGAATTGGAGAGAAGGCCTGAACAAGAGGATGATTTGGAAGCCTGCTTTTTTCTTCACTACTGCGTTAAAAATATGATATCCTGAAAGTTAAGTAAGGAAACGAGGCGCTACCTTTCAGTTCTCCATTGAAGGAAAACCCATCAGGCCTAGAGTACGAGCGTATTTCTGAGAAGTCATCTCTAAATTCGATTTTTGTATCCTGATCGGCTTCGCCTTTGATGCCTCTATAGCAGACTTTTGTGCTCTGCTGGTTGTCGATCACTGTGTCAACAGATTTACTTTTTGGTACAGCATCGCCGGTTACTTTGAACACTATATCCTTGATTTTCTAAAAAGTAGCAACCAAGAAACATTAGCAATCGTTACGATCTCCAAACTACGTAAATCTTGTAATGGTTAACAATCTCTTCCAGACACAACACACTCTACTAGGGAACTACCCTGAGTGACAGAGTCTCCATTGTTTAACCTTAGAAATATAGCTCTAAATTAATCACAGAAATAATGTTTTTAACGAGGACTGTTTCTTTGCCATCACAGCCGTCTACAATACGTGATCCCCGGATTCATGATGCTCTGATACCTAGGGTACAAGGGACCGCCGAAGCGGAAGAGAGAGGCTGATGGAGGTGACTGAGCCCCCAAACAATTTCCAAAATGTGCTTCAAACCATACAAAATATGGCCTAGCTCTTGGTTTTTAGCATTATTGGACCCAAACACCTAGAAAACATTAAAGCCTTCCAAATCCCAATTATGCTACGCGGTCCTTATACTCTTCAATATCTAAATTGTAAAATTTTGATGTACGTTTATCAGGGAAGAATAATGAAGGACAATTTTTTTTGGTTGGAATGCCATAAAGTGGTAAGTGCCGTTTGGACAGAGCTGTACGCGATTAAGTGTGTAGAACAGGATGGTTCCAAGATTCAACTACAATAGCAGCCAAAGGTTTGGAACACAAAAGCATTTCTGTCATTAATAGCAACATTGCCCCAATCCCCATTCAAACAATCCCGGTAACCGGTAAATATTTCCCAATTGAAAAAGATCCTGATACTGCTTTCAAAGGAATATTTATTATATCACAATGGAACCAGTTGTTGTAAAAGGCAGTTAATTTTTTAAATCTTTGTTAACTTTTAGAAGAAAGAATTTAGAAAACCCGATCTTCAGTAATGGCTAGCTCTATCAATCCCACTTACCTCTTTCAGCGCAAATTGAAAGTACTGTGAGCTCCATCTTTTGAGATTTTTTCCGTTGGTGGCTTTCACTAGATTGCTTGCGGGTATCCCTGTTGTGTGACTGGAGATGTAAAGGTATTTTCCATCGTTTTTAATTTTGTAAAATCCATCACCATCCTCGTCTTCAAACTCAAACATGAACCTCTTTTTCAGATCTGGTTCAGTTGGTATTGACTCAGCAGCAAATAGATTGCTATCCCAGAATTTAAGGAGTCCAGGCTTGCTATAGCTTACAAAAATATATTTATTTTTATCGATGTTGTGGATGTAGAACTTGCCATTAGTAGCTGGAACTTTAACAAATTTGAAAAGATTTCTAGCTCCAAATCGATCAGCCCTTGCCTCTACGTAAGGACTATGTTCACCAACAGCCTTTTCATCATAGGACACATAACAGTAGACCTTCTTATCAGGGTTGTAAATCAAAAATGGCTGCTCTGCTTCCGCCAAGGATTCTGGCGTTAGGCCATATATGTTCGAGCCAGCGTCATAGTTAAGTTTTCTCTTTGTTCCTTTTAAAGATGTATGAACCTTTGCTCGTTTTCTAGCCGGTATATTCCTGGCTCCTTTACTTCCAGTGGCCGGCAAAGCTTTGCCTAAGTTGTCTTTCGATGGAACTTTAAAGAAGCAAAATCTCACATTAGTCTAGAGAAGTCGAGAATAAACTTTACTTCCTAGCACAAAAAAATAATTAAGCAATTGCAACAATTTTGATAATAAAAAAGATATACAGTCATTATAAACAATAAACTCTGTATAATTCCAACTATCGGGGCATTGTCAGAATGTTCAAATTACAAACTGTTCGATTTAAATAAGTTTTTCAAAAAATCCTGGATTTTGCTTCAGTTATCCCTACATCAGCTATATATAGCCTTTGTCCATGAAATCACATTTTGTACAGCAATTGTAAATAGAAAAAAGTTATGTTAACTTTATTCGATAGGAAATGCCGCTTATTTTTCAGGGTTCGACACGGGGCAGGCCGATACACTTCGCACTTATTCGTTTCGTCTCTCCATTATTGAAAGAAACGACTTCAATAACCGCAAATAATTTAATCGTCGTCGATTTATAGATAATTTAATCAGAGAAAGACATATATCGCCAGTTCTTCGTAAAATTCGCCGAAAGTTCGAACTACATAGAAAGGTAATTTTTCTGAGGAGAACAACAAAATTGGTCGAAAAACGAAAAGTTCGAATTATAAAGATTTTTGTAGGGGTTTGTTAGGAGATTTTAAGCAAAAGATCATAGCAAAAGTAGAAATTTGCCAATTTTCAGCATCAGTAAGTGGGGCTCAGCGCAAAAGCTTTATAGAAATACCTGCACAGTTAGGGCCAGCAAATTCCACCAGGCAGTTACAATTCCCATTGCCACCAACTGCAGCCTTGCATATTCCGTTGTTATGGCAGTCCTCGGGATCGATGCACTTACTGCCGCCGGCTGTAATAATCAATGTAGCAGTTTGTTACGCATTGGAGGTAACTGAAAAGTCTAAGAGCTGTAATACGGGCGGCTACTATCGACTGTAATGTGCAATATACACGCAGGCTTTTCTTGAGAACATTAGGACAATTCGTCAATCGCACGATGACGATAAAGGGGGGAGGGTACATTACCCTGGGTTTCTAGAGCGTCAAGTGTAGCAAGTGGGGCGTCGAGGAAATAGGGGGTTGCAACACCCTATTTCCTGACGCTCTGGAACCCAGGGTAAGGGCACATCTAACTCCGAAAACAACTCTGTTGCTTAAGTGGTGACTAGGTTTTTAACATAGACACCACAAGCCTAAAATTTTATCTTACGGCATGGAACGTGGCTTGAATTTTCAGGTTTAGTCTCGTTGAGGTTCGAAAAGTATGTGACTTACTTGTTATTTTAATCTTATTCACCTCCCAACTTCCAGATTGGGTCAATGTGACAAATGAGGTGCAAAAGACAGCAAGGACCAGCGAAAAGGTCTGGCCTGAAATGAAAGTAAAGATTTGTATCACAAAATACACTCAAATTCTTATAAAAAATTGAAATACAAAACTTTTTCTAACAACAACGGATCATAGATTTTACTTGAAGGCGGGCGCATCAACAAGTTTTGTCTTTTCTACTTTTTCAATTTATGTTATAGGTAAGCAATCTCTTTACAGTGTCTTACTCCATAGGCCCCTTGCTCAGAAAATAGTATACTTTGTATACTTCAAGGATATACTTCGTACTCTAAGGCAAGATGCAAGTAAGACAGCTGAAAATATAATGTTAAACGATGGTATCATTTGGAGGCGATTTAAGCTACTCTAACTGGCACGGTTCCCCAGACTTATCGTGATTAAAGCTTCTATATACTCCGTTGTAAGATATAAAGGACTTTAAAATATAGTCAGACTTTCAGCAGCGAGCTATCCGAATCGCTTTGCAGCTAGCAAATAGCATATTCTAAGATTTTCGTATGCAGAAAGCTGATTAGCAGATTTTTTTTATTTGCTTCATCTGTGAACGAGTTAAGGGCAACTCTTGATTAATGCTGCCAGTGGAATTGCGAAGACTAATAAGAAAAAAACTTCTCACGAGACATCAATAGAATGCCAAACTTTGCATTTTTTAATACGAAATTCAATAAAAAGTTTACAGCTAACCTACCCTTCATGTCTAGACACTCCTGCAACACCGTCTAACTTTGGGCATTGAGAGCTAATTGTATTGCAGCACCGAAAATACAAGTCCTTTACTTTGCAAACATTTGTTTATTTGTATCAATAATATAAATATAAACAGATAATATAACAAATTTTGCTTTACCGATAAGCAACAGGCTGGTAGAGATCACAACCTGTCATGTATCTACCCACGGTGAATGTGTCCAATGATATTTTACCTCGCAGGTAGTTACTCAATGAGCAAACTATCATTGGAACTATGTTATTCCGAAAAGTTTACTTCATGTTTCGGGATTAATTTAAATTCAGCTTCATATAGTTCAGTAATATTGCTACATTTAATGGAAGCACGTGGTAATTTTTCAAAATAAAGCGAAAGTTGCCCAGGACGTTGAGAGGACAAAAACTATTTGCAAGCCCAGTGCCCTGTATTTTTCGAGTCTGACTATCATCTTGAGGGATTTGGCCAAAGTATGAGATGAATTTGGTCAACAATGAACAGCCTCACGAATTGGCAACTTGAATTAGAAACATTCAACAGGATAAAACAAACCAGGAAAACAATATAAAAAGGAACTTTTAAAATCAAATATCAAAAATGGCTTTGAAAAGCTTAATTTTTATAAGTGGTGAATAGGGATATCCCATTTATTAAAATTTTCTTAAACTACTCCTGATCTACGTAGTGAAATAATCACAATGAAACGAATACGTACATATGTGCACAAATGCCTCCACCCTAATAACGAAGGCGCTATCTTTGACAGCTACCCAGAACACCCAGCAGTTTACGCTGCATTTGATATCTTTCATTCCTTTCATGAAAAAAATTGCTACTTCCGCCCCCTTCCCCCTTAAACAATGTTGATGATTTAGAGAAATTTCATAAAAGAAGCGCAAAAGAAAGTGCTTCCTAAAATCTTAACCCGTTTTATAGTAAACCAACATTGTTCTGTAGGGGAGAGGGGAATGATTGATTTTGACCTTGGAAATTGATGTCAGTGTTCCAAGACTTTTGGCAGGCATTGTATTTTACAATGAAAAACTCCAATGTAAATACCAGAAACAATGGCACAATGATTAAAACCAGAGAATTAATCTGGAAAAAGCAAGAGCATCCTGTTACTAACAAGGTGCCTCATTATTCAACAAACTTCCAAAAGAATTTCGAACAGAAAATGATTTATTTCCTTCAAAAATAAATTGAAGAGCTTTTATACTTTAACGTAAACTCTCAACCTTATAACTCTCTTTTATACAACTCTACTTTATCCCCCTTGTCCGGATTTGTTTTCCGCTTTCAAATTATATTTTATAAATGCTGATTGTAAACTAATTTTTAATCTCATTTTTGCTTATGTTTGTTTATTTTACCAGGACTACTAGAAAAACAGTGTAAATATGTATAAATGCATATCACTACTGAAGTATTATCCTGTATAAATATTCGAGAATAATAACAAGGTTGCCAAGTCTCACAGTTTGGCCGTGAGACTCACGGATTTTCACCTCTTCTCGCAGTCTCGAGACGGGAGTTACTTTTCTCGCGGATTTCTTCCTGGGCCTCATTTTTCTTTTAATCCAGATCAAACGCCTCAGTGGTTGCTGAACACATTCCATTCCACTACATTGTTTATGACAATCACTTGCCCAGACCTGTTGCGCGAATGATTGTTAAACGCGTTAATGTATCAGTAGTATACAAGATTATTATTGTTCATTGCTTCGATTGTTTATTCTTACGTTGAAAAGCCTGTTCTCTGTGTTTTTCTGGAATGTTTTAAATGTGAAATAAACAACACTTTACCTATCTACGATGGTAAACAAAGTAATGATTAGTTATATACAATGAGAAAGTTAATAACTAAGTACCAAACGATTATTCTGATATAAGAAGTTACAAGAAATACTAAGCTACAAAGTCCTTTATACTTCTTCCTTAAAAAGTGGGCAAGATAAGAGAAAATACAAGCAAGGAACCATAACGATTGAGGCGCAATCTTTTTGCAGTTTTAAACGTGTCCATTTCTTCTTAGATATAAGGTGGATAGAGAGATTAGGCACCTTGAAAAAAGCAGCTGCCTCGACAATTTTCTTTGAAAAAAGCAAACCTTCTACAACATACTAAAAGCTGTAAAATGTTTGCTTTTTTCAAAGCCATTTTCAAATTGTCTACAATCTCCGTGTCCATTTCATATCAAGCAGCTTGCATGCAGCAGTCCAAATACCAAATTTCATCATCTTTTTTACGGTGACTGCTAATAGAGGCAGCTGCATTACTGCCTTTCGTAAACAGTAGTGGGTAGGCATTCTTTAATCACTTGAAAAACGCGCGAAAGGAAACTTTGATAATTAAAAAATTGGAGCAGATTTAGTGATCAGTGCTTGCATATTAAATTGATAATTAATCATAAAAGGACGGCAGATGGCTAAATGTTTGTTTATTTCATCGATGCTCGATTATAAACGCTCTTTTAATAATTTCTCGCATGGTTGACATAATTGCAGACTTTTGAACATTCACAGATTGTCCTTGAAGTGCAGGGCTTTGGAGTAAAGTGGGAATCAGGCCCAAACGCAAAGGGTAATCTGCTACCGGCATACCAACTTATATGAAAACAGGCGAAGGGCGTAGTAAGGAGAAGAAGAATGCTGATTTTACTAATTCTATTTCTTTGTGTTGATTTCTCAAATTTTTCATTGAACATCTTGCTAGCCTTAACAGTATGGGGAGCGACAAGGTTAAGGCAAGTGTCTTTCAAATTCATGTTCATTCTAAGTTTGTCAGACACGGCTGTTGGACTCACTGGATTTATACATCATTGCATTTTGGCAAGTACAGCAATCACGAGAGAGAGCATGGGCAACCCTATGTCTGTATTAAAGATTATCATCAGGTCTTTTGTTGGCCACTCAAGCCGCTATTTGTTCATTATGGCAGTAGATCGTGCCATTCATATGATGTATCTTACCAACTACGCTACAGTTATGACACAGAGAGTTTACAGATCTATGGTATTTGGAAACTTCGCATTTTTCTTGATAGAAATGTCCCCATTAATATTCCCTTCGATCTTCGAATACCATTTTAGCTGCTTCGCAATTTTTCATACAGTAGCACTAGGCATTGTTGCCATTATATACGCAAAGATATATTTCTCAGTAAAGAAGAGGGTCAGAAGCTTCAATTTCGACAGTAGTAACGTGACGCGGGTGGACCAAGGGTTACGAAAAGGAATTCTAGTTGTCTTGGTTACAGCAACACTATGCATCCTACCGACTTTATCCATCTACATCGCTTCGTTATTTGATAAAGGTAAAACGGAGATAGGGCTTGCAGGGCAATGGGCGCATTTGATACTGCTTCTAAATTCTTCATTGAATGCCATAATTCTATTGGTATTCAACAGGCAGCTGAGAACGTATGTTAAGAGGTATCGTTTTGGCTGCAACAATCCATAATGAACGAAGGCACAGTCTGGACATCACAAAGGCACGTGACCTTTGGAAAAGGATCGCTGGTTGCAAAAGTGTAATTCTGTTCTCATTTATTTCATTTTCCAGTTCTTGACAAGCAGACGAAACTTGTTACTTTTTTAGTTATTTTCAAAAATTTTCATTTGGTTAGGGTGATTTCAACAAGTTCTAAACATGACAGCCAAACTGCAAAAAATGTTTGCACAAAGATATGAACCTTTATACATACCTTGAAATCTTCATATTTCTTTAATTTTCCAAACTTCGAAGTCCATACCTCTGTCCGTTTCTTTGGCTTGTCCTTAATAAAACAGAAACAAATGCTGAGTGAAACTTATCGACTTTAAGAGGAAATCGAGAGCTTTGGTAGAGCAATGGCGCATTTCTTGGCAGTGATTGGATTAGTCTTTACAGCTCTGCGAAAGGACAACAGCCCAACCGGAAAAAACCAACTGGAAGATCTACAGTAAGGATACAATCATGTTCAGTTCTGAGATGTCTAAAGGCTGATTTCCACGAGGCGAAATTATCTTTGATTTCCACGAGACTGCGAATTCGCTGCGAAATTATATAATAATTTCCTCCAAAACTCAACTTTAAGGCGCCTATTTTAAGAACTGCACGCATGACGAATGTTCCAAGATTGTTTTCTTACAAATCAAGCAAATTTACCATGCTTTGACTGGCTATTAGGTGCTGCGAAATATTTCGCCGAGAAAAAGTAGAACTCTTTTCTACTTTCTTGCGAATTCGCTGCGAAATCAAAAATCAAAACTGCGCATGCCTTGATGCCTTCATCAGCGATTTCGCCGCGAATTCGCTGCGAAATTCGCCTCGTGGAAATCAGCCTTAAGAGAAATGTAAAACTGCTCTTTATGCATTCAATTGTACATTTTCACTTTTCCAAATGATCAATCGCCTAGGAAGAATTTATGCAGTAAAACTGTATCTAACTGGTATACATGATTTGATTATTACATAATCTAATCTTTTAATGTTTTTGCACAGCTTATCATGTTTTTGAACTCGAAAAAAGAGGAGTCAATGAACACAAGCTCTCTCATTGTTCCTCCTTACCTCATCCTTTGAACTCACTATCCCAAAGCCTCTACCAAGTAATTTCATGAGAAATTTCAAGTACAGTTTGAGCATATAGTTATCTACAGTAGGATAATTAATTAATTTTTATGATTGATAAGTCGTTTGGACTACTTTTTGCTTCAGGAGTCTAATCTAAATGGGTTCAAGCCTTGAGCAAGTGTTCACTGACATGAAGCTGCTTCTTTCCAATTACCAGCAGCATCAATCTATGCCCATTATGTGGCCATTACATCTTCTCACTTGTTTCAAGGCTAAGATGATTAGTTTGTAAAGTGCTAGAAATATCTAACTATATGATATCTAGCTATATGATATCTAACTATATGATATCTAACTATATACTTAATAAAGCCTGATCTAACTATTAGATAACCAATAAAGCCTGCTAAACAAGCTCTTACTGGCCAGCTCTAGCACTGAACAGGAAACGAGCAATGTTTATGTGATAGTGAAAATGGAGTGCAACCTGAAGAGGGCTTAGCATAAGCATGAATGCTAACTGCAAAGTCATTTAGCTGCTCCTGTGTTGATTGCTAACTATGATATACAGTCAAATATAATGTATCTATTCAGTTGTAAGCCATCCTTGATTATAAGTCACAGCATATTGGGTTCCTTATAAGATGAAAACCGGTCTTGGTGGTAAGCCACACCCACAAACCACGCAGAAATACTAGGTATTGGAGCGAAGGACACAAAAACTGATAGGAAACATATTGTTTACTTAAACCAAAAATATACACTAGAAGTTAAAACCAGCAATAATATTGGTCAGCATAGGATCATCAATAGCATCTAGAAATATTTATTCCTTATCTTCTACATTATCACCCTCAGCTTCAAGGATAGCAGGCAAGCTTGGCAGGACCTTGATAAAATAATTATAAGCTGCATCTGATAGAGGCTATATGTAAACAATCAAATATTGTAACTCTTAAGATTAGCATCAGTCTCCGAATATATTTTCATAGAAAATACATATTATAAAACTTGTGCTATTCTTGGCATTTTATTCTAGGGGTCATGCCACAGGGGGCCTAAGTCCATTCATCTTTTTCCGACAGCTCAGGCTTGAAAATTTGCATATGCTAACAACTATGCTGGATTTCTTGCAAAATATCATCAAGTTGTGTGTCTTACAAATGCAAGAAAAGGTTTACATTACGGGGAAAAAGTGCTTTTTTAAATATTTCCTTAATGAAAATTTAGACGATGATTTTTGAATACGTATCTGTTTGCCGCAATGTGGGACTGCATCTGGGTACACAAGTGTCTTAAAGTTCAAGTTAGATTGTAGTAAAACAATTTCTTGAGAGTGGAGATGACCAAAGATGATAGATGAGCGGTGACTGCGCAAACCCACCAACTTTTAGGCCAGTGCAAGTAATGACGATAATGTACTTGATACAACAGCACGATTTTGTATCATATTAAAGATAGGAAAGGTTGAATCCTACACTGAATGTATAAGCTATAACATTTGTAAATATCTAAGACTGCTAGAAACTATCTTACCGTTCAAACTTCCAGTGGTATCATAGAGGTTTCTGTAGTATGCCTACTGCACCTCGCGCCAAAACTTGTAAACAGGCTCCTGCGCAGTTACAAAAGGGTGCAAGGGTAAATTCATGACATCTATGGGTAAATCATACGGGGTAAATTAACCTCCGTGGAATCTGGACTACTTACATAAATTGCCGAATAGTGGTCCAATAAAAGAAGCCTAGAATTGACATTACAAGTGTAAGTCATGAAAACATTCGCATTCATATATAGCATGATGTTAGCAATGTATTGATGCCAGGACCCTTATTTGAGTGTTGTGTTCAAGAAGTCAATTTCATATTTTCTTGTTTTGATGTTTTTGATGTTATAGATATAGAATTGATAAAATATCACGCGCACGCCAAGGCAATTGTCGTGACCTAGCCCCACCTCTAAAAATATCTAGCTACGCCACTGGTGCACAGTAAGTTTGCTTATAGAAATTTTGGTTCTGAAAAGGCCTTCGGTAAGTTTTCTTCCAAGAAGATTGTGCACACGGACGGCCTAGCAAGCTAATCAAACGGAAGGTAGAAAAACAGGCATTCTTGTTAGCCATTTAAGGATGGTATTATGTCGGTAAAACACTTTATGATTTATTTTTTCTTGTATATACATCACACATCCCATTGCTCTTTCAACCCTCCTCCCAAGCCTCCTCCGCAACTAAATCAATGGCATAATCATCTACGTACAGAGTTGTGAATCATGGAAACAAAGACATAAATTCCTGTAACATATAGATAAGGATATATGACTATAATAAATAGGGCTATCCAATGCCATTTAATTACATAATAATTGATTTTCTCTCTCTACATATATTATAAAAACGGCCAACATCGCATATTGTATAAACCAAGATTTTAAGACAAAAAAATTGCTTTTACATATGTTCTTCATAATGAAACAAACAAAACAGAAAAATATGCGATGTCGGCTGAGCTATAAATAAAGATCTGTGTTGAGTTTATTTTACAAGGTAAATATAATTAGTCTAAAAATCTCTTTATACTAAAAAGCATCTACGATAAAATTTTTATTTGAGTTTCGCCTAATGTGTAAATTTGAAGAGCTATTACTGATGCTTTATCAATTTTATACAGATGAATTCTGACCTGGCTTCATTTCATATAAAATACACAAACATAAACTACTGTTCTAGTCAGTTATCTAGAATTGATTCAATTTCTATTTTTGTAAGGTTCTTCTATTCTATCAAGAACATCTTTTATCTGCCTTTTTGCGCGGTTGGAATTTAATTTCGACTCAGTTCAAAACAAGCTTGAACGATACAGACAACAAGCTAATTAGAATGGCTGGATGATACAATCCATGTGCTTAAAGGCAGTCGACATATACTACAGGGGTTTGAACTTTCTTTCAACGAAAAATCAACCAATCAGTGAGTGTGATTTCACACATGCGCGCATTGATTGGCTATTATTGATTGAAAGATTGCTTAAGCAATTCTTATATCTGTCAATTGCCATTAAAACAACTGGGTTTTTAAGTTAAGGAAGAAAAAATCGAAGGGAAGGCATAGGTTGTTATCCAAGAAAGCCAATCAATAAAGCAATTATGGTTGTAGCTGCTCATGTTTTGAAGTGGATTGTTTAAATTTTCACAACTTGAATCTTCAGTTGGTTTTTGAACCGCATTCTCTGCAGGGAATTAAAATTTATTGAAAGAAATTGCCACAACCGGAAAGCCTTATAAACAATTTTGATTCTAACCTAAAGATTGTAGCGGATTTCAAAAATAATTTATGAATGCAAACATGGGATTTATTCAACAACCTTTCCATCACACAGCTTTCAAATGCTGTGTTTCTGCATTGGGTTACTTTTTTGCCAACAATGGCAAATCCAACTATCGCCAAAAAACAATATCATTTGATTATTTACATTTAAAGAATTTGTACGAGCACAAATAATATGAATCACCTAACAAGAGTTTCTGAGACACTTTCTGGCAAGTTTTTAGCGCCTTTTCCTCTGCTATTTCGGAGGCAACGTCCCCCCGTGCGTTTTTGTCTTGCTCTTTGAGTCCTTGGCGACCTTGAAGAACGAGCTTTGGCAGGAGATGAAATTACCTGCTTGTTGGTAAGTCGACAAGAAGTTGTTGTTGTTCCAGCTCCACAATCGCAAAAGAATCTAATAAACAGGAAGAAGACAAGAACGTCAGTCACCATGATACCACGACAAAGCAAGTATGTCAGAGGATGCAAATATTCTAATAAAAAATCTAAGGTCCACGATAGCCCCACGCTCACGGGGAAATTACAAAACCTTAATCTGTAATAAACTAGCCTGCTAATGGTATGTCGGTAACTACTAAATTGAATTTATTTGGCTAAGCAACAAATACTTAGAAGTAGGAGCCAGAGGAGCACTGAGGGCATGTGCCTCCTACTTTTCAGAAACAGTATGAAAGTACCCCCTTGCAACTAAAAGTAGTGCCCCTATTATGACTACAGGTGCCCCACCCCAACTCTTGATACGCTTCCTACGTCTATGAGCAAACATCATTCAAAAGTTAACTTTTTAGAATAGAAAATTCGTGGTCACATATATTTCTAACAAGAAGACCCGCTGTCCTGCCCTTTACGCTAAAGAAGGCCTTGATGTCAACCGATGTACTTGCTTAGTTATTAGGATAAACCCATAAAATTGCTGTTTTAAAATCAAAATGTCGTAGGCTCACCTGTCGTGCCTTACAAATTCTACTTCATGTCCTTCGTGACACGTTCTTATGCAGTTGACACAAATCGCTAAGCTTTCGGTTGATGAGCAAGTCAGACATCTAAAAGTACAGAAAAAAAGAGTCAAATCAAAAATCAAGTAACAAGAATATCATATTTTATGACAACATCATATATATTTCAATCAAATTTCAGGCAGAATACATCATCACAACAATCATAAATGCAAATTTACATCTGCCATCACTAAATTCAAGATTTGAATAATCATCTACAATGGAGTTTTGTTACCATTGTAAATCTATCGGTACTTTAAAGTTGAAAGTCATGCTCTAATTATTCGTACTTAGATAAAATTAAGCAATTTTGGCAAAATGATAAGATAATAAGAACTTACTTGTAAAAATCGTGCATTGGATAACACAGGCTCCCAGAAACTTGATAAAGGCACTTCCCAGTGTTTATTGCTTCCGTCAAAACTTTCTTGTTATCGTGGATGAAGTTTTCTAAAATAACAAGAAACATAACATTTTCAAATTTCTTGAGTAGGCATTTTTGGGTAAGTATTCATTTTCAAGGTCATCCAAAGCGGGGGAGGCTGAAACCCCCAGTAAATGCCACTAATGATAACGATTGCTAAACTACCATTTATAATACCATATTGAATGGTAAGCAGCAGATGCCTCAACTTCTCAGCCACTGAACCCTTGCCCCTCCCAATGTAAATTTCATTCCAAAGGCACTGATTTTAGAATACTTTCATTAAAACTATGACGATAAAAGAAACAACTCGGATTTAGAGCCACAAAACTATAGAGGTAAAATGATGAAAACTAGCTTACCAATCATTTTCGGCAAAACTCCAGTTGCAAGACTGACGCCATCAAAGCGATTGTTGAAAATTTCATTTTTTTCTAACACTCCACCTGAGAAAAGATGTGACAACGAAAATGAGAGGAAGCTAAGCAAGAGGGAGCTAATTCTGAATGTATCAAAACACGTGGAATATACATTAAATTAACTCTGCAATGAGTTATAACCATTCGAGTGACATTGTGCAAAAGGATTTTATCAGAGTTGCAAGAAACTGGTTCTTGAATTATAAGTAAAGTCTGTTTAGGAGAATGCAGCGCTCTGAAACTCAAAACGAAAAAATAGCAAAGTAGAAATACCTGCCCTTTCAAAAGTGCAGAAGAATAAATAAAAAGTCATTACCACTACCATAGTAAAAAATTTTTTTGGGGGGGGGGGTACCGCACCCCCTTTTTTCCTTTGGCGACGCCCCTAATCTCTACCATGGTAAAATTGTTACCATACCTGCATTGTTTGTTATTTCAATGCCAGCAGCACCCCCTTCGAATATTCTGTTTCTTCTTAGAACTGGAAAACTAGATGTGCTGATGAGAACGCCGGTTAAGGAGTTTCTGAAAATATCATTGTCTTCTAGTAAACCTGAAAGGAAAATACAATGTCATCATTTTTTGTCAAGAGGGAAGAACTCTTAAGCGAGAAAAGCCTTTCGATTTAGTAAATTGAATTCTTTTCATAAGCTTCAATCGTAATGACAGATAAGCACAGCGCATTATCCACATAACTGTGTCATTTGTCAAAAATAGAATGTACGTCAAGAATCAGATGTTTTACTTCTCTGAAACAATAAACTTTTGATACATATTATAACTAGAAAACATGTGTCAAAATGAAATTTATCTAATTCAACTTTTTTTCAAAGAAAACAGGATTTGCAAACCTTTGCCATTGTTGAAAATGCATATTCCACCTTCATGGCCGTCATGGATCTTATTTCTTCTCAAAATAGGATTGCTTTCTGTCTTTATCCAAACACCCGCCATTGCGTTATCAAATATTTCGTTGTCTTCAATTATACCTAGGCCACCATTGTATATAAGAACTCCGCCATTTTTGCCGCCCCAAATTTTGTTTCGTCTAATAACTGGATTACTGCCACTTCTATAAGTAAAAATTAAAAACTGATAAGTTTTCTATCATTAAGAAAGACAAAAACATAAAGGAAGGGCAAACTTTTTGCAAGCTATATGGTAAGCATGGGTTTATACATAAACAACTGTCGTTGAATCATTCCTCGTTCGCATAGATAATTTAAATAGCTATGCAAATGGCTTATCTTGGCTTACTCGAAAGCATTCGATTGATAGTTGACACTTCTGCACAACAAATCTTAACCTAAATCGAGGATTTGCTAACAGTAATTTTGCTGGGGGCAATCCCCCTACCCCACGTTACAAGGGGTCTTGTGTATAAATAAAGTTTCTATAAACTGTACCACTGTAATCTTCATTAGGTCCATTTACGCAGTGGAGGTCGCGGCGTACATAAGGTTAAACTGATAAAATAACTAACCTTATTTGTATTCCTGAATACTTGTGATTGTAAATTTCGTTGTCTTCTAAAGTACCGCATCCTTTGTCGTAGAAGTAAACACCAACCTGACAGAAAAAGATCAAAAATCGTATTGTTCATTGTAAATTGTTTTATTAATTGATGTTTACATGAACATAGAATCAACATTCTGAATACTATGTTTGTGCAAAATTCAAATAAACGGAAGAAACATTATTTTCAAAAATTTCTGAAACAAAGGCTTGGTGAATGAAATTTTCTGGAAATTTGGCAAAAAGCAAGCTGAAGTATTTCGTAGAATTAATGATGTTTCGAAAATTAATGATTAATTACCTGTTTTCCACTGTGTATTCTATTGTGTCTTAAAATTGGCGAGCTTCCTAAACAGAGGAGAGGGGAAAATTGAGATAAAGAATAGTAAAACAAAATTACATATCTGTAGAGGTTAATGGATATTTGGAAGGCAAAAATATTTCCTGGACTGATGCGAAACACAGTGAGGTGTATGAAAAATATTATCCACAAATTGCTTTGCTATCTCGTCAGTTGCTTCGAAAACACAACCTCAAAACTATCTTCAAAACACATTAGGCCCTGTTTAAGAACAAATTATAGCACTGATTTAGATAGTACATAACAATGGGGCCAGGTGTTGAGTAGTAGGGCGTGGTGATAGATAAATTTCTGAAGGCCCATCAAAAAACGTACAGCCAAAAAGTCATTTACAGGGGACTAATTTCTCATTAGGTCATATTAATTTAAAAGACAGGTAATTCAAGTAATCTAACGATGGCAGTTTGAAGGAAGGAAATAACCAAAGAGCTGTCTAGGATTTTTTGAATATTTGAAATGCTAACCTGTAGTTATCCAGACACCCGCTAGCGTATTTGAGAAAATTTCGTTATCTTCGATCAAGCCAAGTCCACCTTCGTGCTGAGAAGAAAAAATATGATAATTATTTCAGAATTTTAGCATGAAAAAGTCATTGGCTACAAGGTAGTGAATTAATTGCAAAATTGCATTCAGAAACATGAAGTAATTCGGTGATGTCGTTGTTTGCCTAATCATTCAATTCAATCAAATGACTCAGACCATGCTATTGTTTAGGAAACTTCGTCGAAAGTGATTTATAAAAAGAAACACACCAACAAGTAAAATTTCTTGAAAGCAACCGGCAAGACCACGAAAGCAATCTTCTTTATACTGAACAACGACAAAACTCATGGTGCAAGTTACTCGATAATCGCCATTAATCACTAAAGACCAGGCAAATATTATCCTAGTCCTCTAAATTAACATCATCTTTGCCATATTGATCAAGAAGTCTTATCTAAACTCATACACGTTGCTTACCACATAAATTCCACCATGAAGCCCATGATGAATTCTGTTCTTTCTAACAATTGGATTGCTGTTTGATCTAATTTGAATGCCAGCTAACGCATTGCCTAGAAATATAATAGGGAAAAATTCATTTGACTTTTATGTTTAACAATTAAATCTCACCAAGAAATGTCATAAAATAATTATTTATAAAATACTTCTAAAAATTTCAAAAAAAGTTTACTTTATTTTAAATATTCTTTATTTTTCATTAAAAAATACAAGTTCTTTGGTCTTCCGTTTTTGATATTAGTTTAGAAAACATTTTTAATCATCCTCCTTGAAGAAGGTTGCTTCCTTCAGTAGTTCACACAATCTTACCGTGAATGTCGTTGTTCTCGATAAGACCTCGTCCGTCTCCAAAAACGTAAATTCCACCCTGCTGACCATGGTAAATTTCGTTGTCTCTGAAGAAAGAAAGAAATTCAAGTTTTACAATGTTGTCCAGGATTAATTTTTCTCCATGTCCAGACAACTCCCGGGGTTGGTGAAATCATTGAAATGACAAACTATACCTAATTAATGTTTAGATTTACAGAAGTAACAAGAAATTATATACAAATTTCAGGTTGCTAAAATGACAGTCAGCATGTAAAAGGCAATCTTTCAAATTAAAAAAGGTGACCAAATTCCTATGTCAAAGATTCTAGCTTCTAGCTAAAATGACGTCACTTACTTGATAGTGGGATTGCTACCAGAAGTGATCCAAACACCAGCAAAAGTATTAGAATGTATCTTGTTTCCTATGAATTCTCCTCTTCCCTGTATAGGTTAAATAACAAAACAGTTAACTCAACATATCAGTATGAAACTTCAAATTGGAATTTTTGTAAGAGGAAGTGAGAAATGCCCAACAAAAGAGGTTTCCAAGGCGCAGTAGGCGTTTAGACACATACATAATTAGGTCAGCGACAGTAGATTTGGGAGTGCTATTGACGAAGAGGTGAGTCTCTAATTTCTGTGATTTACCGATACACTACAGTAGCTGATATTCATAGCATACTCGTTAGCATTACAAAATCATCTTGGAGCTAAAACTAATCAAAGGACGAAGACAGCTATTCACTTACGTCATCATGCACATATATTCCACCAGTTGATCCACCGTAGATCTGGCATCTGACCACGGTTGGGTTCGCTCCGGATCGGATTTCAAAGCCAGCAATTCTATTACTGTAAACATTGTTTTCTTCGAAATATCCCTGCAAAAGTACCAAAAGATGAAAACATGTTTCGAGGTGGTAGTAAATGAGAGCAATTATTTTTCTTCTATTTTAAGAATGTCACATAAAACAGTTATGTTGTTTACCGTGACATTAAAAAGGCACCACAATCCTGTTCTTCAAAAATCGTGTAAATATTGTCTCTTTGCTGTTTCATGAATTCTAACTTTCTAAATTCGTCCCAAGAAAAAAACCAAAAAGTCACTCTTTGCATCTCTACTGCATCATCAACATAGTAAGTACATAAATACCGTGACTTAGATTTCAAAATAAAATGACTACTAGACATTTCGATATGGGTAAATATGTCCTTGTTTTAACGCAATGATTAAATCACTTACCAAACCCCCGTCAAAGATGAAGAGCCCGGCATCTCTGCCATGGTGAATCGAGTTTCGTCGTACGACTGGATTTGCCCCTCCTTTGACCCAGAGGCCAGCCAGTCTGTTATTGTATATTTCATTGTCTTCATAAGTGCCTTGGGCACCGTCAGTGACGAATATCCCTACATTTTCACACTCAACTACTTTGCACCTTGCCACCTTTGGTTTTCCACCATCACCATGTACAAAAATTGCAGAAGAACCTAGGAACATTACAAAATGTGTTCAAAAACATCTCGAAATTGTTCTTTCATCAAATGCAAAAAGCACTGTCAAATCAAAACTCGAGCATCTGCCTTGATCTTCTTCTTGGTGTTTCTCTTGCGAGCAAAACACTTATTTAACAAGCTCTTCTGAATTTGTTGCAATACGCAATAGTATTTGGCAAACTTACTTGTGTTCTTGCTGGTGATGTAACAGTCCTGGATGGTCGGGGAACAGTCGTTACAGACTTCAACACAGTGTCCTCTAACTTGGCTGTTTCCTTCCTGTGCTGTTATCTTAAAAAGTAGAAGAAATGGCATCGTTAGCAAAGAGAATTCTCATCTAAGGCCGAAAACCAATAAAAGTTGGCTTAATTCAAGACTAAACCAGTCTAGCTCGCAAAAGATGATTCTCCCCAACGTGGCTTTCTACAAACAAACTTTAGCACCCTTACATGAAGCAAGACAATAATTGAAATACTGCCACCCAGTGTAAACTTATAAAGTTCATTACCTCAAGTCGTAAATATGCGAGCGATGATCCTGTTGCTGATGGGCGTATTCTGAATAAGGTGCCAGTGGAACAGCTGACCGTTGGGTAAGCTTGAGTTTCTGGGTTTTCTGCAATACAAACCATTCATTTGGTCAGAAATGAATGTCAGAAGTGAGAAATAAATTGTCAGAACTTTTAGGCCTAAAGTAATTATACACGGCTTATAAATTGTCGATATCTTTCAGCTGAATAAATACACACGTAAGAAAACCATTATTGTCAACTAGGCTATGAGATGACATTCAAAAGATACAAGTGAGGCAAAACCAAGGCAGACATTGTATTTTGGTTCACTGTAAAAACTGTCACTTCATTACCTGTCCCAATGATTGAAACTTTCTGTTCCAGTGTAACTTCCTCATCGTACGATCCAGGGTGAACCAAAATAATTCCCCCAGGAGACGTGGCACCGACCGCATCGTTGATTGTCGAGTAACACTATAAAAAAACTTACCATTACAATCTTAAGAAACTTGAGAACGATAGCCTGAAATTGGTACCTTAGTATATGATGCATTGGTTAATTGAATGCATTTGAAGCACAGTTTAATAGAATGAAGATGCATACAAGCACTGCGGAGCGTTGAGAAAAGTGGGGGGTCAAACAAAGTGGGGGGGCTAAGCGTATAAATGAGGCTTTTCTGGTAGTTTGATACTCAATATTTGGCATTTTTTACAAAAGTGGGGGGGGGGGCTAAAGCCTCTCAACACCCCCTGCTCCGCGGTGCCTATAGTGACTGGGACTCTACTCCTTGTGACAAAATGTCACCCTTGTTGTTATCCGGGCTCTCTATCCTCCATCGCAGAAATTACCAAATCTAATCATAACAAAGTAACAATTCTAGGACATTGTAGACAGAACTTTTTCCATCTATACTCAACATCAAATATTACAAGCTTCATTTCCATACACAGAATCAAATATTCATCTGATTTTGCTTTGCCACATAGCACTTAAAGTACAAGACACTAGTGTCAAATCACAGGCTTTCAACGTTGATTGTATAGATTGAAAATACTACCTTTCTCTCTAGGTATTTCAAGTCATCTGCCAACTTTTCATCTTTTGTAACATGACAGGCGTTTGACAAAAGAGGAAAAGACCCTCTCCAAGTCAAGCCAAGGAAACGGTTCTTATCTGCTATTTCGTAAAGACCACTGCAGCCTCTTAACAGTGGCTGTCTCATTCTGTATACGCGCCAATACAGCGTTTTCCTAAAACGCAAAGGAGGCAGCATAAACAAACAAACATATACGTTGAAGAGGAAAGCTTGTGATCATTGTCGTGCATCGAAAAGCCACTTTGTTCTTTTAAGCATGTCAGAAAACATGCGTATTTTGTGAGTGGCCATAGCTCCAAAAAATTTCTCTGATCTTTTCGAAAGTACTTCCCGACAGACAACCTTTTAGCGGCTGCCTTAAAAGACAGCCAGGAGCTCATAAATATCTTAAAAGTGTATTTGGCTGGGACAAGAATAGAAACTGGAGTTAGGAAAAAATTTTCTTCTTCTCTAGAAGATACATTAACACTTTGATTGAAATTTCGGCATCTGGAACTTTTAAGAGAGTTCACCTAACTACAGTGAATTATTACTACGAAGCAAAAGCTACCACGTACCAGAGTGAGTCGTCCCTGCACAGAGCGTTGAGTCTTTTGCATGTCATTGACAAGCGAGACAATTCGACTGGCGGGCAGAAGGAACATACTTTCAACAGCACTTCGTCAGGTAGCATTCTTTGGAAGTAGCCAGGAGGAATGTGCTTCCTTCGTGAACCTTGAAAATCAAACCATACCTGAGTTCAGTTGAAGTTGATAACAAGATCTGCTGCCATTATCAAACCTTTTTATTTACAAACGGACAAATAAATTGATCTTTATCTTAGAATACCGAGAAAATGAAGAATAGATTTTACACATGTGACCGATGAAAATAAACGAGGTTTTCTTATCTGAAAAAAGATTATACACGCTGAAATAATAGGAATTGCAGGAGGCTACCTAAAGCTATCATATGTTTGAAATATCCCGTTTAATTCCATTCTTAAAGCACCATTTCCTACGAGACAGTTGGCTAATTCTCTTCGCGCTTAGCCATGGTAGATCAAGCTCAGCAAAATGAAAAGTTTTGATGAATTGATCTCCGTAATCAAACTTTGCATGCCTCCTAACTTAAACAGGAGGTGGGCATATTTTGTCACTATAAACCTAATTAGGAAAATACGTTTAGTGAGAAGGCACAAATGATAGGCTTGGTTAAGCTTGCTTTTTCTGCTTCAACGAACTATACAACAGATAAAAGTATTTACAAGGAATGGAAACAAATAATACGCTCTGATAAAGGAATCTCTTCAGAGGTCAAGTTCGGAATTTGCATACAGGTAGGGCAGGCAACAGGCCATTAAATTAACCATAAAGGTCATCGAAATATTTCAGTAGAAGAAAAAGATATTTCGTAGGCGGAGCAAAGAGTGAAACCAAACATTGGTAACAAATAAGTGACTAAATACACAAATCCACTGTTGAACATGAAATTTATGTTTACAATGCACACAACAATCGCAAGACTTACGCACGTGTAAAAGAATACCACGTGTTTGGGATGAGTTTCAATAACACGAGCACCTTGCAAACCGTTTGTTGCGGAAAATTTCACAAAAGGCTTCGGTCATTTCTGGTGTCTTTCTTCACACCGTTAATCAAAAGATATTTTCAATGTTCATAGTGATTCGGCTCCCTGTTGTAGAAACGCATATGATAACGGTTTGTTTTACGAACACCGAAGCAAAGTGAATCTTTTAGAAATTGTTTATCTAAGGTTTTACAGTAGACAGTAAGTCAACTGTAAAAGCTGAGATACTGCAGTAGTTTTTCCGAGCCTTTTAAAGTTGCCGAAATTACTTAATGCGCTAGAAGAGTTAGTTTTTAAAAAGGCCAACATCTAGTTACAAAAAGGACAAACCACAATCTTGGTAACCATCTAGTCAGGGGTTCGCGGGGGACTCGCTATAAACCCCCGGGTTCTTTCGTTACATACTGGGGGTGGGACAGCTGATTCCACTAGAAAGCGGGTAGATTGCTTCTAAAGCACAAGTGCACAGTTGCTTGTTTCAGGATATAACCGGGTTTGTTGGAGGTAACTATTTTCGCCTAAACTTCCAGAAAGGGTACATAGAAAATATATTTTAAGGATGACCTATAGGCCAATAAGCAGGGATGGTAATATTTGTGGTTTGGGGTTTTGACATCCATAAATTTTTGCTAGTTATGAGGGGAAATTTGAGGTTGGTCTATAAAATTCACCAAAGATATATAAAATTAATAATTTGTCAGTATATTTTTACTTTTTACTCTCAACATCTACAAAGCAAGAGGTTTTTCTTATATCTTATCATTGCACTTGCCCTATATATATTCTGGTGTAGCTCTTTTAGATTCTTTTTTAGAAACTATGTCAAGTGTAGTGTGATTGCAGCAGAGCAATGTATTTACAAGCTCTTTGATATATCACCTTAAAATGTAATTGTAATGTAAAAATAAAGAAAGGTCAAGTTATACTGCTTTGAAAGGGCTCAGTTGAGGTCAGAAAATAGTTTTTCAGGCTCACCAGCTCCTCCTACCCTAAATCTTCTACATACCAATTGCTGTTATGACAGGACAGCCTACTTAGGTTCCAATTTTTATATTTTTATCTGTGCTTAGAAGCACTAGAAAATATTTAGTCAGTAGCAGTCCTTTACAGACCACTGTTGGTTCATGTGGCCTAGAACAGCAGATTAGTTGAAGCATTTCTAAGTCCATTATCTAATTGAAAGAGTGTCAAGTTTCATGAATGTGTGGGCGATATTTGATAAAGATATTAAAATCATATTTTGTATAGTTAATTCGTTTATATGAATGAAGCATATTATCACCAAGTACTAAAGTGTCCTTTTTTGCTTTCATATCTTAAAGTATGTTACTCTTAAATATAATTTTGATATCAAGTATTAAGGCACTTATTGGTTCTGATATCATTGTATCCTTAGAGCCAAAAACTTTCAATTCTTCAAATATGGATATGGAAAAAATTTGGTAACCACAATTCTAAAACTTATGTAGCCACAATACTATCCCATAAAATGCAGAAAATGTTGCAACACCAGTTCATGAAAATTGCCGTACTCCAAAACACAGGTTGCCTGTTTTTGAGAGAAATCCAATATAAAAGAGAGCAACCAAATCATTGGATTTTGCTATTGTGTAACATAGAGACTGAGGCTGAAATTTGTGGCACCAGAGTGCATGTTGCTTAATAATTAATAGGAAAGCTTCAGGGCAGGTCAGTAACAGTTTACAGGTGTGAGAGGAGACACAAGCCTCAATATAACAGGTTGTGAATTGTGTAATGCCCCTTTGTTGGTAATAAGAGATGCACATGGCTCCAAATATGGCCCACCTTTACCAAGTTTTAAAGTAAACAGTTTCCGAATTTTGATTTAAGAATATATTGATCAATTCCAGAATTAAAGCCAATTCTGAAATATAAACTAAACAACCAAGCATAATTTTAATTTGCTCTTTAACTCAAGTAGAAAGCCTTAATCAAATTAGTCAACATCAGACAATAAGATTAATGAAGGTACCTCTGACTTTGGTGATATTTGAACAGATTGTAGTTTCATCTGCCATTTCCTAATAAAAGCAAGCACATGTCTACTGTCAAATACTATGGATTATTCTGAGTAAACAAAACAACAATGGAATTTGAGCAGGCTCATACTTGAGAGTAAGGAAAGCAGCCATTAAATAGAAAGCTAGAGTTGCTAGTTCATTTCTTTCTTGTGTTCTCTTGACAGTTAAAGTTTTTTTTCAAATTTCTACATACAAAGCAAACAGACTGCAAATTTGGAGGCAAAATAAATTTTCATGAACCAATTATATTGTATCAACCCGGGCCTAACTTCCAAAAAGATAAAAAACAACTAGGAATTTATGTTCATGTATTCTTTAAATTTATTCTTCACCTATGGAATTTATTTATAAAAGTTATTTATTGTCCACCAATGTTATTATATAGAAGAAACAGTTCTTTATATCATGAGTATAAGACAACTATAATGATAGACATTAACCTTTGCCATAATTAGATTTCAAATCAATAACTATTGCTCTTTTAACGACAATTGTTGTTTATCACTAAAACAATTAATAGACTTACTAAATCAGGAACAAAACTCACCTGTTTGATATCTATTCTGGGTCTCTTCCCGTTTCCAGGTCCACTACTTTCTTTACATAGCAGCGATGCCCCTAAATTCAAGGAGAATTCCATAAGATTCGACTGTTCCACTTATGAAGTTTAGGATTCCACTGAGCGAATTTTCAAGTTACACAATATCAAGAAATCACAACTCTAATATTGACTGAATTTAACTGGATCTGGGTATCCTAGAGATGGTGTAAATGGAGGCCTTTTAGAGGTCTAGGTATTCAATCTAAACTTACTAGGTATTCGAATGGGACGTTTTTCCTTAACGGCGACGTTGTTCCGTCTACGAGCTGTGGACATCACGTATGTTGTTCTAGCACTGCTTGAGAAAACTGGCAGACATCGTGGCATGTAATAAAAGTTCCTTTATGCAAAACACCTGATCGTACAGAGCGACCAAAACAAGATCATTTCTAAAATTTGAAAACTCTCCATTGTCCCGGCCCGGCCACAAGGACATGCCGATCTAGCCAATCAACAGCCTTGGAATTACCCAGCAGCCAATAAGCTTTTAAGGTTTCTTAAAGAGGACTCCCCTTAGACCAATCAAATAAGGCTTTCGCTTAGACTAAAGGGTCATTCCTATATATCCAATCAATGAACGATCAAACAAAAGGATTCTTTTTTAACCAATCGTCCGAATAGAATGATATTTACAGCAGGTTGGACCAATCACAAAAGGAGCAAGTTTGTATGGGCTGACCCTAAGTACAACCTGCAGGTGGACAAAGGCGAAGGAAATTCTAATTATAGGGAGCACATCGCTTGTTTTGTTCCCCTCACGTGTTCAAATCTTTAGAGAATAACCACATCGAGGTGCTTCAGGATAACTGTATGCCCGCTTAGTAACATGCAGGGTAGCTGAACAAACAGTTTCAGGGCCAAATCCTCTTTTCATTTTAAATAGGGCAGAGGAGGAAAAGATTTTTACAGGAAACATGTTTATTCTAATTTTCGATAGAGAGGATCGTGGTTGAAATTATTGTATCTTCTCGGTTGAAAAACTACCTATGAAGTGATAAGATAACTAAAGTGCAATGACAATGCGATTCGCGTAGCTTCGCCATGTGCCCCTAAATGGGTTCTGTAACAGTTGGTAACTTACTCTTCGCCGAGGGCCAAAACCTGTGAGAGGTGGGAAATATCGCCAAGGTAATGTATTTGGGGTTCCTCAGAAATAAATGAAAACGAAATTTTGTTGCTTTATTTGCAGACATTGGTACAATATTTTCAAAATAAATGCACGTATTAAACATCTTATTTGATAAATTGTTGAGTTTGAAAGAATAAAGTCAGAAAGATGCCAAAAACCCATGCTAGTTTAAAACCTAAAATGAAATTCAACAAAGCTCGTGTTTAGAAATTATGAATCTGATAAACAAGAAAAAATGTCTTTAAAATTTTTTTCATTTTTCCAACATCTTTAATTTTTAGCCTTCAAAGGTGCCAAGCACACATTGGAAGACGGTTTGATATTTCGAAAATTTCCCCTGGTTAATTCATGACCCCGTTTTGTTTAAAGTTATGCTGCATCAAAACCCTGCACATTTGTAATTTCTTTTACTTCCCATATCACAAACTCCAGTTCATTTTTTCCTATGATATTTGCATGTGCCCATAACGTAGCAATTCTACTTTTAACGGCTTTTCAGGATCGATGAAAGGTAGCCTGTGATCTAAACCTCTTACTTGAAAATAGTTCGGGGTCTTGGACACAGTCTACGTGAAGTAGGCACGTGCCCCCGGCTCCTCTATTGCCCTTGGTGGCACCCAGGTCCCCAACACTCTGGCATGGTGTTGGCGACAAGGAAACGATACGCGGTTAACCAAGGTCAACCAAAAATAGTTTCAGCTATTACTTTTGTATTCCTGATAATTCACTAGATTGAGCAATTGATTATTTACCAGTCCTAATTTCTTCTTGTGCCAATAAGTAACTATTGAACACAAGTAAAATGGCTATTGATCTCGGGGATCCATACGACCACATGTCAAATGGATCGACTTCTTGGCTCAAAACGTGTTTCTATCTTTGATTGAACACTCATTTCACTGTTACAGGCATTTTTTCAAAGTTGACTCCCCATCACTCATATCTCTTATCTTTTCTCCTTCACTCTGAATCTTTCTCCCATGACAAAGGACTCTTGATCACTCTATTTACCAGCAAGTTCACCAAAAAACCGCAAAAGTTTGTATTAAGAGCTTGTTCAATTGTGCTATATTCATTGCAAAGAAAAGCATCATGGTGTATTATTTTCTAATTTAATGATATTTAGATAACTTTTTTGACATCATCTTAAGAGAAAAATTTTCAAAAATGTTTGATATGTTTTAGGAAAGAAAGAAGTTGGAGGTATAGAACGAAAATTTACCATTTGGAAGCACTTTAACTTCTTGCTAAACTTTAAATAACTCTATATAAAAATACTTAATCGTTTTTCTTTTACATTGTTTCAAACCATAGTCATAAGGACAATAATTAGTTTCTAGACTACGTATTTCTTTGTGACTGTGTTCAAACCACGTATTCTTTGGCCGCTTCAAACGCGAAATAATTTGGAGTGCACTACCAACAGAAACAGAATATTGCAGTGAAGACTAGAAATTAATAAATTTTACCGAGTCCCGATATTTCTGAGCAAATTACGTTTCGCATCTAAGTATATTTTTTAGGTATTACAATTTTTTTCAAACCTGACATGTTTTCAGGGGAACATCGCCCGCCCTCGAACAGAATCAAGGCTTTTTGAAAAGCCACGATATATCAGTTTTTAGATTCCCTGTTATGAACATCGCAAAACAAACAACTGCTGAAAAATGAGGCACAAATATGCAAGCTGAAGCTTAGCATTATTTCTACAATATTCTTCAAATTGGATGATTCTAAAGCTGAATATTTTTATAAACAACATTCTTGTTTAAGAAGGGTGCAGATTTACACGGATCGATACCCCTTAATTTGTAAAACTTGCCTTAACGTGGATAAATTTTTATACAATACGGAAGGGTATTGCACTTACTTTAACAAAGTGACTAGCATCATGGATCCGAAAGCTCAACGATAAAAATTTTAATTGTAGCATGTAGCAAATTCGCTTACAAACTTTTATCTGCGTTCCCAGTTGCTAAATTCCAACCATGAACCTCTTACAGGTGAATCGAAACTCGTCGAACTCTGGAGGTCTTGTTGTATTCTGCTGTGAAAAAGCTGCTTGAAGTGTTGTGACAAGCTTCGTGCATGGAGGTGCATTTGAGTATGACCACTGGTTTGCACGGCACTGGTAAACCAGAAGCAACGGTAAACGGACATTGGACTGCCGGGGCGAAAAGGCCATGGGAACAACAAGGATTTTTGAATTTTGTTTAGAAAACAAGACCGACCAAAACATCAATTGAGTTGTGGGACATAAGTTGATTAATTTCAAATCTTATCTTACTTAAATGTTCAACATTCTTAAATCCAGTGTTGCATTTCTCAAGAGACGTTATTCCGAGCGCTGAGCGCCTCTTGTTCACAAGAATTTTAAATTTGACTACTTGTTTCAAGCTTTAAAGCTGGATAGAGACAAATATCCAGTATCTGGAAACATGTTTTTTTGTAAAATAGCATGTTTCCAGAAAAACATTGAATGTTGTCATTATTTCGGTCTACCGATGGGGCTTTCCAAGGATATGGCTGTCCATATTCAAGTGCACCAAGCGGAGGTATATTTCACAATCTTATGTGCAAGACCAGTGATAGGTTTTTGCAACTTTGATACCCATCTGAACATGAACAGGGTCAAACAGGATTAAATTGGTCTACCGTGGAGAAAATAGCAGCTCTGTATCAATCCATTTGATATGAAATGCGATTCACAATCTATAGTTTTTATCAACATTCATTCAGTTAAACCCTATACATTTTAACGTCATTCAGGTTACATATTAAGCCTTAAATGGCACCTCCACCTATGTCCCTTTTTCCATTAACCCTCTGAATCTGTAAAGCCCAATGGTCTCCGCAGTGCTGTCGTTGCCGGGTCAATTGCAAAAGTTCTCGAAATAAATTCTATCGCGTATCGTTGAATATCGTGGTCCAGAGAGATACTTTTGGAAATGCCCACAGAGGTGAGGGATCTCGGTATATATAAACAGTTTCTTTTTGAAGGCAAAATATTTTGATGGAATTCTTAAAACGTTGCATTGTTATGCTACATCACGTTAATGTCAGCGATCAGAGAAACTAAATGCAAATGCAATTGAAAAATGTTCGGTCCATGTAAAAAAAATCATTAGAACTTTATTTTTCTTACCTTCAAAGTCCTGGAGCTTCGTTATTCTCTGTTCGTTTTTGCATAGGGACTCCCCCTTGATTTTAACTCAGAAAACAAATATGGAATGGAACAATCGTATTCATAGAAATTGGAACACGAACGTTTTCCCTGGCTATCCAAAGGTGACATCATTGTGTAATGACGTCACGGTTTACTGAACGACTGACTTTTGCAATGAACATGAACAGTTCCTTCTGAGGGATATGAGAAAATTGAATGAAAACGAGGGCAACAAAAGTGGCCGCTTAAACGAGAACGGTGTGATCATATGGATGATATACGATATTCCTCTTTATCAGCCATAAAATTAAATAACTTCTAGGCTTTTCAGATTTCATAGACAAGTGACTAAACTTCGAACTTTCTTTTTGACTCTTCCTATTCAACTGTCCTGTTCCAAGTATTAAATTTGCCAAATAAACATTATGAAACATTGGTCAAGTGTGGTTTTGCTGACCAACCACAATTTCCCTTTAGGATACAAAAAACTTACTTACTACTCTTTGAAAACTGACTTAAAGGGCATATGTTGCACTGACAGTTATCTAAAAAAACAAAAGCGCTCGGAATGGAATTCCATTGTTTCGTGACATTTCGTTTCTTGTTGTTGAGTTTTTACTGCCGTAAAAATTCATCCTCGATTCCATGCTTTGGGCTAAACAAAAAAGATATAGGTATTGCATTTGCCAATCATGTTCACGACACATGCCCTTTAAGCATGTTCATTGCTTAAAAATAACTCAAAGGGTTCATTGTTTAGTTTCCTTCAGTTTCCATATTTTAATGCAATAAATTGAAGATGATAAGCATAAAATGTGCAAAAATAGGAACGCAGTAGTTGGTAGAGGGTTGGGGATTACTGCCAAATTTTTCCGAAATTTCCAAAAATTCTTGTACTTTGTCGGAATTTGATGGAAAATTTCCCTTTAGCCCTCCTAACATTGCAACTCCTCTAGCACAGCTGGCCAAAGTGATGATATCATTCTGCTCAAAAGGAAGCTATACCTATATTCTCGACGAAAATTTTCAATTACATCTACGAGGTCAAGAGAATGCATTGAAAAAAAGGTATTGATAATTCTTTGTATATCTTTTTTTCCTTTTTTTATTCAGTTAAAAATAGGTAACAACAAACAACAAGATTTTAAGCTTAGTGCCATCCATAGCGTAGCGGGAAAGGACATATTGTCAGCGAGTTCCCTCTACGGAGGACACTTACAATTTTGAATAAGTACAATGAAGTTAACAAATGCACACTCACACACACGCATACAAAAACACATAGGCACAGAGATACCAACACACACAGCATTCATTAGCAGATACAGTCACTAACAGATCAACCACGAAGTTTAATTTCCAGAGGATGCTTAGCTTCATCATCTACAAGATCAAAACGCTTCGACGACTTCATGTACCCTTTGTAGCTTCAAGAATTATTCCAGGCGCGCAACTACGGGGGGGGGGGGTTCCTGGGGGTCCATACTCCTGCCCTTTTTCTCAAAAGGGGAAAAGAGCCCTTTTTCTTGGAAAATTGCTCGAATATTTTGATTATTACGCTAAAATGGTTGGTCATACAGTAAATGACACATCCCGGAGATGTAATGGACCTCGCAGGAATACAGATAAATGATTTAGTCAAACTTTCACGCATTTGTTGGGTCGAACGTCATCATGTTGCAGTAATAGAGTGCTCTGGTAAAAAGTTACAAGAAAGAAACCAAGACATTTTTCAAGCCTGTCACATAGTTTACAGGATCATAGAGGACCTTTGCATGAAACAAGCGAATGCAGAGAAATATTTTCGGACTGGTATTAGCAAGCAGTAAAGATGGCACAAAAAGTTGGTGTTCAGCTGTTCCATTCCTTGTCAGTATTACAAATCAGCTGGAGGCAAGACTTGGAGACTAAAAACCAGCTGAAGGCAAGGCTCGTGGAACTGTTCAACCTCCTCCCATCTGTAGTGCGAAGCAAAGAATTTAATAATAATATTTTAAAGAGCAAAATGTCTTCGGATATGGAAGATGATGGGCTGCTATTCAGAAGTGAGCTGGCGCTGGGAAAAGGAGATGACAGCAGGGTCGCCGAGAGGGGGACAAAGGGGCAAATTGCCCTAAGGCCTCGAGGTCTAGGGAGCCCCACAAAGCAATGAATTCCGTTTTTAAATGGAATTTATTAAAAGTAACAAAATTACAGTTAAAAAGTAAAACATCTTAAACGAAATAGTGAAATTAAGTTATTTGCAAGGTTGTGGTGGCAAAATTTTTGCTCGCTTCGCTCGCAAGAGGCATTGTTTTTTTCATTTTCCCCCTCTCTCGGGCCTCCTAAACTTCTCGGCGGCACTGGATGGCAGACAGAAAGAAGTCATGTGCATAGTTAACATTAAAAGGAAAAAATAAATCACACCTCACCACAAATAAACCGTAAACCAGAACTTTTCTCTATTGATCAGTTTCCCTTGTCTGGCGTACAATATTTACAGATTTACTAACTGCTCATATTATCGGCGTACCTAAACAAATGCCCCGGTGGACCTTTAATGAAGTTTAATTAGTGCCCTTTTTGTGTCTTGGACCTCTGCCCTCTGAAATTTCTGGTTGCGCGCCTGTATTCTGTTGATAGTATATGGAAATTCAGCACTTCCATACAAAAGCAATGAGCAAAAAAATCGTCATCAAGGTTGTAAGTATCAAGGTTCAGCAATTCTGAGAGTTAACCATGGAGATTCACCCTTCCATGGAACATCCTTCCATTCTGAAGTCTTCCCATAAAGGACAACTCTTTGTTTCTGATTTGTTAAAGATCCCTAATAAGAACGAGCATATTGCCAAATGCTCCATTGCATCTAAGTTTGTGGATAAGTCCTTCGTGCCATACTTTATCAAATGCTTTCGATAGGTCAAGAAATACTGCACGTGTTTCTTTACTTGTCTGCTTTGGCTGCATTAAATTAATTATTTAAAACATCACTTGGTTTTTAGCATGCTCACCCCACCCTATAATATCAACTTTTAGTCTCCCCCTCAATCTGCAATATGTTCCGTGGTCTCTGCATCCTTTTATATATGTTAGGACCAGAACTTATAGAACAGGAATCTGCGATTGGATGAGCCGTCAGACTTTGGTTTAGTATTCAGCAAGATGTTAAAAATGTTAGAACTCTTTACTTCATCTTTGACTGAAGGTCCACTCTGGCCAGTGAAAAGCTGTCCACATCTTTTTCTGCTTCTTCTCCATTTTTATTTATCTTGGTTTATACAATGGAATCCCGATGTAACGAACCCCGGATATAACGAACTTCCCGGTATAACGAACTAAATGTCTGGTCCCTTGGATTCTGCCTAGCAAACTTCTTACAAGTTCTCTCGGTATAACGAACCCCGGATATAACGAACTCTCGTTTTTACGAACCAATTTTTAGGTCTCTTCATCATAGATACCATCGATATAACAATTTTTCCTACATTTTCCATCTGTCATTTTAATTTATTTATTTTCTGCATTCATTTATCCCTTTCTTTTGAGGAAAATCATTTTTATAACCGGCAAAACATGTCGATGATACATTTCAAGCACTGGCTGATAGACTCAGTGCACGAAATGAAAGTTTGATTGCGTCAGAAATTACTTTGAATGAGTACATTGACACTAACGAATACCTTCAGACATTGGCAATGAATGCGACAAAAATTTATTGAGAGACCCAGATGGAAAAACAGATGAAGACAAATAAGAATGGGAAGTAATCGAAGACATTGTTCAGGCACCAACTAGGAGTGAAGTGAGACCAGCTTTGTCAATCTCTTGGTCCCAAATTATAAAAGGAACATTAATATTTTAATTTTCAATGACCAGCCAGTTGTATCATTTTAATTCAGATTGGTTTTTTGGAGTTAAATATGGACAGAGGTTGGAGATAGTCTAGCCTAAATAAGCCCATCGCAGGTTTTTTAGGCTTGAACTGCGAAAGGACCCAAAAAAACGTTATCTCTTGGTTTAACGAACTCCCGATATAAGGAGCTATTCTCTGGTTCCCTTTAGAGTCCGTTATACTAGACCCTTAACCTGAAGGAAGAGGTTAAGGGTCTGGAGCACAGGCTACCGTTATACAGGCACCGCGGAGCGTTGAGAAAAGTGGGGGGTCTAAAAAATTTGGGGGGGCTAAGACTGTATAGAAAGAGGCTTTACTGGTATTTTATTGTTTAATATTTGGCATTTTTTACAAAATTGGGGGGCTAAAGCCCTCTCAGCCTCCCCCCCCTGTTCCGCGGTGCCTGTTATATCGGGATCCCACTTCTATAATTTCTTTTCGCACCAAGAAACCTCTCATCCAATCAAAAACCTCGATATCGTTAAACCATGATTACGAATACGAAGTTTACGAAACAACAAGAAACAGACGAGCTGCAAAGAGAGCAGAACTATTTTAAGGTCGTGGATAGCTTCTTGCAGACCGGAATCCACATTCAACAAAAGATTTAATAAACAGCTAATCGAAATATATATTTCGTGGAGAAATCCTTTGAAAATTTTTTGTAACGGGCTCAGCAGTGGATATCTGCCTAACCAAGTAACGAAATGTGGCCCATTATTCTCGCTGTTACTAGAACTTACGCACCGTATCTTGTGTTTCCTGCAGCTGTTTTTGTGGGAACAGTTGGTTATCTAGTAGAGTCAAGACTAGCTGACAGAAACAGAGGAAAGATACAGGCGCCTAGCACGCTAGAGGCAAGAGGAGATAGACAATTAGAGACACTTATCTCGGACCCGGCAAAGGTTGCGAGCCTTGCAGAAAGAAAAGACATTCCCAGAAGTGTTCTGGATAGAAACCTGAAGCCAGGAACATATAGTTAATGTTTTTATCACCACATGCCAGAAAGGTGGAAATATAAATGGTGTGATAATGTGTTGCAACACTTTGGAGTTGATAATGTGTAGCAAAACTTTTCTATTCCGTTGCATTTAGTGTGCTTAGTTTAATTTCAGCTGTCCTTGATGTCATGTGTTGTGACAACAGTAAAGTCCCAGCAACAAGATTTATCGCCGCTACAGAAATCATTAAGCAAAGTACAAAAAACTGGTTTAGAATTTCCAACATTATTCTGATTTTTTACTTTCCTGTAGGAAAATTTATGATTGCTGGACGATTTTTTGTCATACAAAAATTTGGGCACAGAACAATACCACTAAGCCAACATTAGACATTTCTTTTGGATATCTTGGCTTGGCTAAAGTAAAACTAATAGCTGATATGTAAGTTTCCATCCTTTGAGCAAAGGAGATGGATAGCACATCTTTCATATTTTGGCCAAACTATAATGAATCAGTACAATAAAATCAGTGTGCAGATAATCCTCTCCAGTAATGCCTTGTTTTAGGACCTTGATCTTATCCCAGACAGCTAAGATGGGATGATATTCTCAGCAAACATTGCCATGAAAATGTAACATTTTTGTATTGGGGGTCCTTGTGTGGGGAGATAAAGTAGGGAGATGGGACAAACCAGTTATGCTTTATCACAAACCAGACTATCATTAAGCAAGATTTGTTCATTGTCATTGATGTTATTTCTAAAATATGGAGTGTTAAATGCTTCTGGTAATGTAGATAAGTTTATGAAAAAAATAAGTTTATGTAAGGCAAGTCAATGATACAGCCTCAAAAATTGATTGTTTGCCAGCTTTGTCAAAAGTCATAAAAAATTCCAACCCATATAGCAAATGGGAATTTGAGATATATGGAATATTTGAGTCGTCCAAACTGCTTCTCTAACACAGCTTGAGAAATAAACTTCAGAAAAAATCCTCCATAAGTAAATATTTATTTCACATATGTAACAGTTAACAATCTTAAAATAATTAATTGTTCTGCAAATAAGAATAAAATATGTACATCCCCCATTTGTTAGAATTGGTGTAAGTGATGTATTAAGTACTATTGATGAAGGTGATGTATTAGGTACTAGTGGAACAACCAGATGATGCTTGTTTCTGTGTGCTACTTCAGAAGATGCAAAAACAGTACATGCATTAAGAAAAACTGAGATCATGTCCAAAGCATGCTAGAATTCTAAATTGTTCTATAGAAAAGTAGAACACTAAATTGTTCAGCTCTCAGATACCCCCAAACCTTGATATTAAGCATACGGATGCAATTTGATATTATGTGTAACTGCCAAAACAATTAGAAATTATCTCTTCTATAGAACAGTCTATAGAATTATATCCATCAGAAAGATTTGTATCCTACAGAACGAAACATGGATAGGCAGTGACAGAAATGTTGAGAAAATTGATGTTTTTTAAAGGGGGTGGGGGGGGGGTATACTTTCTTTGCCAAAAGCAGACTTTGTTGCATTACTGTAAGAATCATCAAAATAATTTTTACTTGAAGTGCCAGCCAAGGTACCATTCTCCTAATTGTTGTCATAGTTATATAAGAGTTATTTAAGTAAAATAAGCATTAAGAGTTTCTTAGGGCAAAAAGAAATGTTTCCTGATTAGAATATTGTCATCTTTACCTCCCCCTTCCATATTTTGGCTGCAGTTGCCACCAATGTCAGCAGCGACACAGTGACAAGGGTAGAAGATAGGCACTTCCCAACTTTGTTCTAATTGTGATCCAATTGGATTTTCAATTCAAGCTATTTGCTTTCACCACACTATTGGCCCGACCTTTGATAGTTGTCTGCACTTCCCCCACTGTCCAAATGTTGGCACATTGACTATTCCAGTCTCCCACCACCCAAGGGATGGGCAGCACAAGCACTTCCCAGTCAAGTAGATTCTAGTCTAGTAGCAGATGAAGCATACCCTAATTCTTTGAATTAGCCCCCTGGACGCTTACTAATTTAGGCAGCTTTCAGATGTAGGCTTACTTGAAAGGGCTATAAAAATCCTCTCCATGTTGCCATACAAATTGCTTGTCTTCTAACTTTTCACCATTTTCAAGTTCATTTTATTTGCACTTTTACTCCAGTTTTTTCAAAATATCACTGCAGAGTATAAATAAAATTTAAAACAATTTTTTGATCAAAATAGTGATAGATTCATAGTCTTTGGTGGTCTCTTCATCAATGAATTGATTATCTCATTTTTTTTTCATTTTCATCTTATATGTATTTTCAATAAAGCTTATAAAAGGGTCGGGGCCCTATTCGATGATTTAATGTAACCAGCAGCTAGCTGGAATCTGGAGAATAACAATTTTTGGGTGCCAGTTGTGTTAAGCGAGCATATTTTTCAACTCTTGAGGCCAGCATATTTTTCAATATCTGTCTCCTTCTCTCTTATGTAAGTTAAAAATCAAAATATCTAGAAAATTGAACAAGCTTTAAAAATTTTTTGCAACTTTAAATAAGGAAGGAGGGCCTTTGATTTCCAATTTTTTAAGTGGATTGAAGTTTAAACTTGCATGAGTTTGGGCATACCTAGCAAAGCTACGTTTGGTTCACCATTTCTTTAAGAAAAGGGAATTGAGAGACCTCAACAACAAGACATTGTGGGTTAGCTCTTTGACAACCTAATAAAATTTAACATTAATTCACGTTGAAAACTATTTAAACTGTTTTCCGAATTAGAATAAAACTGGTTAATCTAAAATAACTACCAAACTATACACGGCAGTAAATTATTGGATAAAATATTTTGTGCATATGTCACATAGTTCATAACATCAATATTTGAAATATTTACACAACAAACCTCGTATGACAAGGAGCTTAGATCTTCAAACAGGATTAGTGCCTCGCTGCTTACTGTTTCTTCTTAGTCGAAAACGGTCACTATAATTATCTATCTTACATAATACGTCTAGTGAGCCTGGCTCTTTGATACCCTGCTGTGCTGGAAGGAGACTGTTTATTTTTATGTTCTTATTTCCAGGAAAATTTCGTTCTTGGAAAATGCGATCACTGTCAAGGTTCTCTTTCCCTGATGGATAGACTTGACTGCGTTTTGGTCTTTTGAAAGTGAAAGGCTCGTCTTCTCTATAATCGTTTGAATAAACCTCTTGCATCATTCTGTCAGCTCTGAAAACCAGGAATATAATCATTGAAAGCAGCAAGGCAACAAAAGCTAAACTTCTCTTCGAAAAGGATAATGCATTGGCAGGGCCACCGAGAGGTTTCGGTGTCCCTGAGGCAACATTGAAGGCGAGGCCCAGGCCAGAAATTGCCGCGACCACCCTTTTTAGATGAGCTTAAAATACTTTTTGGAAAATTTCTTGGCATCATTTTCTTGCAATCATTTCAACTGTGAACTATTGTGACTCATTTCAACTGTGAAGTTTGATTAAATTCAGTTATAAAATAGAATTCAAAGCTTTTTGAGTTCACCCAATCATAGTCATAGATCCAATGTGGTAGTGTAACTAGACATAAGTACCTAATCGAGAAAGATGGAGTTATAGCAAAGAGTCAACATTTAAAATTTTTTTTTAAAGAGGATACTGGACATTCCGAAAAATTAAGAAACTTCAGTACTCAAAGCAAAAAATTCAAAACAATTATATTTTGAAAAAGAAGAACTCTAAATTTTCATGATTTTCAATTGATGTGATAAACTGGTTGGAATGAGATATACACTAGCAATAAACATTCTTGGTAAGTCCCACTTGTGTTCAGTAACGAAATATAATGGTAACATTAACATATGAATCAAGTCAGTTCCTAGCATGAAAATGGCACACAGGACTAAATATAGTAGAATTGATGATATTAAAGTTTGGAAAATCTTATGAAACGGTGATTTCCGTGTATTGTTGCAGCGTTAAGAACCAGGAGTACTCAATGTTAAATATCAGTCGATCATCGTTTCTTATAAAGAAATAAAATTTATCCAGGCTTGTATATTCACGGTTTGTGTTTCATTTAGAAATGGACATGGACAAATGGACAAATGGACCAATAAATTTCGAAAATGTACTTTAATCATTCGTCAGAAAATCGAAACGGGAAAAATCATAAGCCAAAAAATTGAATCAGATATGTTTTAATGCCTTTGTTAGAGTCAGTCTCGAGACTACTTAACCTATTAAGAGAGCTCCACATTTATATATGAAATTTACTTCATGTTATATCAGCTTTCAGTTCCTAGTATTGAAATGAGTTTTTTCTGTGAATCAACCCTTTATCATGCTATTGATTTTCCTTGAAAGAGCAATTCCCGTTATCCTTTTAGAGTCAGTGAATAATTTGGATGGTTTCATATACACAATAGAGAATCTTTATCATAAATGCAAGTAACAGGGTGTCTCCAAGGGTGTGGCTTTTATAGCACAGCCCCCCCCTTCTTAATTTTTTAGGACAGCACCCCTGGAAGAGGCTCGGAGAAAGCTTGCTGCATACACTTCACTAAAGCAAAACTCCGGTAAAAAAGATCTGGAAGTAGTCGTGTCTGCTAACCAAAGAATAAACCTAATTATTTTGATCACGATGTTTGCAAGAGATTTATAACAACAATAACCTTTGAATCATCAAATTCCATCTGGAATCCCAGAAATGAGAGGAAATAAACGACTCCTGCAAGAAGAAGTTTACTAAACAGGGTAATAATGATTAGGATACTTCTTTAAAGGATTTCAGAAATCACCGCATTTCATTCCAACAAAGACTTTTAATTTTAGATTGAGGGTATCAAAAGATTGAGGTTCTAATTAAAGTTAGTAATGAGGGTATCGAAAAAAAAACGAGCCCCTGGAGTAGAGAAAAACAAAATTATTTTTCAAACCTTGCTAGCTTTTCTGCCACTAGAGCTTCCCGTTCACTCAAAATTCTTTCTCTCCCTGGAAGGAATTGGTTTGGTCAGTTAATGACTTTCTCTGCCATCACAATCGTCGTAGTTTTACACAAAGTTTTTCTGTAAACATGAATCAAACTATTTCGTTCGGAGAAATTATGTTTAATATACAAGGCCAAGAGCGGACAGTTGGTAAAATATTTGGGGGGTAAGCCTATTGTTTTGATAAAATTACGTTACATTTCCCCATTTTTTAGAACATAAGGCCGTTGAACTCCAAAATATTCGGCAAAATATTCAATCATAATATTGTATCTTTGATGGATTTTGTGTGTAGATAATTAAAAAATGAAACTAACTAAACCAAACTGGTGCATAGCGTCTGATTTTGGTACATAGCGTTTCGCTAGCACAGCATATATCACAATATTCCACTTACTCTCTAATTCCCTTTCTTTGTCGTTCAGAAGTTTTTCCTTTGTTCTTAATGCCTCTTCTTTTCGTCGCAATTGAACTGACCTGAAATTTGTAAAAATTTACACTAAAATGCTGATCAGATATTCGATTATCAAAAAATGGTAACAATATATATAAAGAATATAGATTTATATATGAATACTGGGAGAGATATCAAGCTAAGCTGAGTTAATTAATAATTATAATTTTTAGAATAAATATGATTTATAAATTATCTGATATGTTTGATCGTTTTATGAAATTTTTACCAAACTTGCATTGACTGGTTGCCTCACGCACTTAGCACAGTCTTTTTGACAGGGTTTTGAAACTTTAAGCGTGGACAATAAAGAATGAAGGGGATATTTCAATTAAAAGCGAAGATTTGAGGGACAGCATATGAAAAACAAGAAGTAGTCATACTGGAGTTCCGTGCTGCTTTGCTTCCTGTCTTTGGCATTGAAAATGTTCGAATACTTAGCAACTGAATGGTGCCTCAGTATATCGTCGATGCTAGGTCTTTTGTTATCCTGAAAAAGAACATCTAGTTGAAATAATGAGAACTAATTAATTGTGGTTGGACGAGGTTTTAGAGATGTGCAACTAACTTCAAAACATTATAAACTGTGCAGGACGAGTGAAAGAACTTTGTTGTAACCAACACGAAAATATTTTCCTGTGGCTGATAGTTGATACAACTGAAGTATCATGATTTGAAAAACATTCGATCCAGGGTAATATTTTTAAATAGCAAATTTCACATATATATATATATATATCAATATACACTCTTTTTTTATAAGAACAATTTTATAAGAACGCGAGCCTCAAAATTGGTCAAAGTTAAGAACAAATTATGAACAAGCTGAGGCTGAGCTTCTGCAAAATGCAATTTTGAACAACGTTTTTTTCTCAAAATCGAGGGTTTTTAGCGATGTCTGGGTGCTCTTTCGTTGAATATTCAAATTTGTCAGCAAATTAACGCTGTCTCACTCACTTTGTTGGTAAATGAGCGAAAAAGCTAGCACTCGCACTGCATACACCCTATTAGATTAGGAACAAATTAAGAATAATCCAGCCTTAGATTTTCGAAAAAATTAAGAACACTCAGCCTGAATTTAAATTTACTGGTTCTTATAAAAAGTGTGTGTATCAATATTTTACGTTTGTGTGGATGGTTCAATTGCTAGGGTCACGGACTGCAGATAGAAGGATCTGTGGTTCGAGTTACGACTCGGCGAAACTATCACCCAGAGTAAAGAGTGTTGCCAGCTGTTGTTCCAGGCGTAGGTGTTACCAGCTGTGATCTCTTCGAGAGGAATAGTAGAAAATGTCCCAATTTGGGTCTTGAATAAGGATGTCATGGGTGGATTTTTTTGAAAAATTAGGTAGCCGGGGCAGATTCTGGACCCAAGAGTATTTGAAAATTGAATAAAATGGGGCTCATTCGCATGTAGTTACGGTTGTGGTCACATGTAGTTTAAAATGATGCGCAATTCTCTTATGCAAACCCATGTGCCTACACTGCTAGCTAAACTCTGTTTTGACTAGGTTGGCTCAATTCAATCCATGAAACCAGAATATAAATAGTAAAATAATATAAACTACACTTGCTTCTACTTGTAACATCCACTTGATAAATTCTCCAAGCTCATCAGAAAAGTGATTTGGGATTGGCTTGAATCGTCCATCACGAATTTTCACAGCCAGTGAGCGCTGATCCATGGCCAAGAAGGGTGGATGCAGAGCGCAAAGCTCGTATAATAAACAACCTAATGACCATATGTCTGATTTTTCATTATAAGACATTTTGCTAACTTGTTCCTGTTGGTAAAAATTGGACTATCATAAGCATGATCTGAAATGCACATTATTACAAAAAGCAAAAATTTTGTAAAATCTTTGAAGTTTTTTGTCAATGAAGTAACATTGAAAGGTTTTATTGATCCTTGGGAAAGACTGGCTTCAATCAAAAGATATAGGCCCTATTGCTTGAATGAAGAATTGATAACTTGATTGTTACTAACAGATCTCATGATTCCCTGGTACTCTTATGGTTGGATGAGAAAAACTGGTATCCAGAAAACATAAGAATGAATAATAATCACATCATGAAGGTATTTAAGGACAAAGGAGTCATGCAAAGATTTTGAAGAAAAACTACCTAATCATCATGACAAGAAGACCAGTTTAAGGTTACTTTATGTCTAAGGAATGATAAACATTGTGAAAACAGTGTGACCATTGCAAAGGAGCTCCAGTGTACAAAATGGCAGGGTTGGAAAATGTCTGGCAGCGAGGCTGCCAGGAAATTTTTTAGTCAAATTCATTGCAGGAAATTGTTGCTGTTTGCCAGGAAATTTTTAGCATGAAATCTCCATTTTAATACAAACACTAAATTCATGTAACTCTCTTTCTACGGAACGCTGTTTTCTTGTGATATACACATATATATACTGTTAATTTTTTGTTCTGTACTAGTAACAAAAAATGAAAATTAGCTTTCAAAATACAATCATCTGGTATTATCAGCATCTGTTATACCAAATTTCCGGGCATAGTTTTCAGCTACTAATTCAATTCTAGTAAGCTAAAACAAAGTTCATTTCTCTTTTTACATTAGCCATTCTAGAAAAACACTTAAATACAGCCAATTATTTTATGTCAATTGTTTTGAAGGTGAACATGTCCCAAGCCCTGTGTGGATGTGTCCATTATTATTCATACTTTTCTACTAACATTCGCATACATTTTTCATCGCTAGCTTAATAGAATGTAAGCGTTTTGGTCTTACATCTTTGCCTCTAGCACCACCCCTGATTTAACCATTGAAAAATAAAATAGTATTTTTACATGTTGTATGAACTACACTAGCTTTGATGAGAAAAATGAGCAGCAACCATGAAACCCAGAGCAAGATGTAGGATGTATCATTACTGATAAAGTATCTAGTTTACTAGTACTGTTATGAAATTTAATCAAAGTTATCAAAGGTTTGTTCTTTTTAAACAATAAGTCCTTTTTTAGTATGAAAGTTTATTTTTGAGGACAAATATCTAAACAAATAAAGCAACGTAAAATATCACTTTCAGTGGCTGGAAACTTTGTCGAAGCTTCGCAGGAAATCTTGAATTTTTTATTTTGCTGCCAGGAAAAAAAATCTTTTTTTCCAAGGCCTGCAAAATGGCTTCCCATTGGGGGACAATGGATTACAAAAAAGGGCAGCATAATTTCAACTCTTAAAGAGGGCACTGGTACAGAGTAACAATACAGCTAACAGGATATTAAACCAGGTCTAGCTTTTTAAAATAAGGTATAAAAAGTACATACCGGTGACATGTAATATGGAGTACCAACAAATGTCCTTGCAAAACTGGTTTCATGTAATACTCTGGCTAGCCCAAAGTCACCAAGTTTCAAATTCTCTTCAGCATCAATGAAAACATTGGCTGGTTTCAAGTCTCTGTGTAAAATATGGCCACCTCCTTTCTTCCTGTGGCACTCTTGGAGTGCAAGAGAGAGCTGGTACAACACTTTCCAAATGAATTGCTCTTCGATTGGTTTTCTGAAACGGCAGATGAAAGGTTTTTATTGGATGGAAGGCATAAGACTAAATAAATATTGGAAATTCATGAGGTTTAAATAGTTTTCTTGCATTCAAGTGTTAGGGCAACTTTTAAGAAACATTGCTACAATCCTGGCCAAAAGGCTAGAGGACTGGTGGAAAAAACATGGTTGGTCCACTAAAACTGCAACTTTATCCCAAAAATATTATCAAGTTTTTTTAAAAATACCCAAGTAACAGCAATCAAAAAGAGTAGAAATAAGCATATCAACCTTGACTGTGGGGGGCAGGGAGCAAATTTTTCCAAAAATACTACAATTTGCCATCCAGTGACAAATTTCACTCTTAGGTGCATGTGGAGGTGTGTGCTTGTCATTTAGAATATGCTCTGTATATATTTTTATCAAAAGAAAATTTTATTTATTTCTGCAAAGTCTCTGTGGTGTGTTAAATAGAAACATTTGCTTATATCAGATAGACAAGCTCTAAAAATTAATTTTGGCTTCAAAATAGGAAGATTATGTGACATGGATGAACCTTTGACAGGAAATGCAACTGGATTCCAAAATATCTAATAATGTTGGAATGGTTACCAAAACACATCTAAGCAAGTTTGTCTAAACCATTTAAGCCTTTTATTTATCACTGTGACTGATTCATGAGGGTTTTTATGGAGTTTCATTTGAAATGATTCTCCTCAAGCAATAATACGAGAAAAACTTATAAATATATCCAGCCTACCTTTCTCTTTTATGTTTTGAAATGACTTTGTTTAAATCTCCCTTTTCACAATATTCCATTACAATATAAATTGTTGCCTTGATCTTATCAATGATCCTGTCATAGTACCGCACAATGTTGCCATGCCTCAGCTCTCTCAGTAAATTAACTTCTGATACCAGCATCTGCTTTTCAGATTCTGTCATTTGTCCATAGTTCAGCTCTTTCCACACAAGTACCTAAGAGACAATCGTTCAATTTGTAAGTAGCAGTTAGTAAGCAATCAGTAAAGTAAATAGCACGATAATTTATTTCAACTTGGTTCAAAGCCGGGCTCTCATACACTAATATGCTGTCATAACTGAACACCGATGTAATGTTATTTAGGCCACGACTTTATTTTTCAAGAGCATGTAGACAGGAAAGTAAAAAAGTTTTCCAAATGCAAATAGTTTTTGGAATAATATATTCAAAGCAACAATATGAAAAACTTTGAGTTGCATCACTAATAAGTTTGACTTTGCAGTATTCTTCTCCATACAAAGTTTTTAAAAACGCGACTTACTTTTCCGTCACATCGTCGTCTTATTTTTCTGCATGTACCATAAGACCCAGAACCAATGGTTTCGACTACATCGTAGTCCTCAAGTCTGCTTGAAGGCATGCTTGTGTCAATCTTCCCTTTCAGGAAATGGATTGTTTGCTTATTTTCGACAGGACAACGGAATCCTCCAAGCTTCGCCTTTTGCTTGCTACTTAGTCGGACAGACTTGTGCTCAGTGGTAGATGACACACTTAGAAGTCTACCAAGCACAGTAAATAGCTTAATTAGCTTATAAATTAATTTGAAAATGTTACAACTAAAGTGGCTCCTTTGGTCTTTCCTCCAGCAGAAGCCGTTGGACTTGCCGAGAGTTTCGGTTCGGTCCCGCTTGTTTTTGTATTCAGTTCAAAGTGAGGCTGTCCAATGATCAACCGATATTTGGCAATGCAAAGGAGCTGTATTGTACGAAATCATCATTTTATTTGTTTATCTGTCGAGGGAGTTTTTATAAAGTTAGCATAAGTGAAATACTTTTATTTTGTAAGATATGGCTGTTGTTACATTTATCTATCAAGGCTGCCCCCCCCCAAATAAAAAGTTGTACCTCGGTCTTTGGTTAATATTAGAGAGTTTATCAAGGAATCTAAGCATGCTAAGAAATATGTAAAAAAGAATCAATCCACTTCCTCCCTGTTCATGTCAGATTTTTTTCCTGATCCATATATGTCAGATTGGCCATATATAGATAATAGAATTGAGAGCCCTGACCAAAATCGAAAAATGTTAGCTGGTAATTAATGCTGATAAAGTAAACTCCTTTCTGTTTCAATACTCCTTTCTTTACTGATTTGTACAATAGACGGAATTGAACGAGGCTCCCTCTTTTTGTAGCAAATAAGGAACATCGCAACGCACCGAGAACAAAGATCAATAAACACACGTAAGTTATATTAGTAAGTTATATAGAAGTTATGTCTTGATGAATACTCTCTCGTTTGTCATAAAGTCTAAGTAATGGTGTAATGGCAAGGTCATTGCTGGGCTGCAGAAATGTTCTGCAATTCCAGACTTGTCATCTTTTTTGATCATAATGTCTCGTCCGTGTTCGTCAAATCTGTCTTTAAGTGGTCTACTTGTTTGTCCGATGTACTGGCAGTTTTTGTTTCCGTTATGTATTTAGCGTTTGCTTTGTAATGCGTATATGACGTTGGTGGAGTTGCAGTCCAGTCGTTGTTTCTTGTCGTAGTTTTTGTCAGTGTTAGGAATAATAATAATAATAATATCATATTTATACAGGTTAACTTTGGTCAGCAACAACGTGCTGTTATCAATAAAGGACCTGTCTAAATTATACATGGATTACCGAAATAAAAATTAAATACATGATGAAAATGAAATCTTAAAAGTCGAAGTTAAAATTTTTACAAAAAGTCTTAAATCTTAGAATTGATGTTTCACACTTCATTTCGTCTGTTAGTTTATTAAAAATCTTTGCTCCTTGAAAGTAAAAGGCCTTCTTGCCTGCTTCTGATTGTACTTTGGGCAAAACAATATTTTTTGCATTGGCACGAGTACACTGCCTGTGTTTTACTCTATTGAAGTAGTTTCGAAAGGCGTGTGGCGATACGCTATTCAAACTTTTGAAAACTTCAAGAGCACACATCTTGTTTCGTATACTACTGACTTTTTCCAGCTGTACACTGTCCCTGTTGCCATTTATTACTTTCAGGGCCCGTCTCTGAATGTTCTCATACACCATCTTTTTTGATGGTGCCATGTGAAGGAACACATTGTTACAATAAAGCAGAATTGGTAAAATTGTTACCTTGTAAATTGTTTCTGCTGTGTAAGGACTTATATTATGCCGTATACGCGACAATAACTTTACTCTAGATGAGGCTTTTTTTATTGTTTTTTCGAAATGATCAGAAAATGTCAGGTTCTTGTCCATCTTTACTCCTAGATATTCGTATTTTTTAGATTCTGTGATCTTTGTGTTATTGATCTTGATCTCCATAGGTTTTGATTTCGAAGTTCTCTGGTGTGTACCATAAAGGACGCACTCGGTCTTGGTCTTTTTAAGATTAATAACGAGATTATTTTGCTGAAGCCAGTAAGCAATCTGTTTTAGATCACTGTTTAACTTTTCTTCGATAATATCACAATTTTTACCAGCAACGTACAAAACAGAATCATCAGCATAGAGGGTCATTTCACATTGGCTTAAATTTTCATCGATATCGTTTATTAGTAAGGTAAAAAGCAATGGACCCAATATGGATCCCTGCGGTACTCCACAGGAAATAGCTTGACTTTCTGACAAGGCTCCATCATATGATACAATTTGCGTTCTACCAAACAGATAGCTCTCGAGCCAGCAAAGCTCCTTGTTTTTAATACCATAATGAAGAAGTTTAGATAGGAGTCTCTCATGGTCCACTGTGTCAAAAGCCTTTCGCAGGTCAATAAATACAGCTCCAGTCATAAGGCCCCTGTCCATATTGGTTCTGATGAAATCTGAGAAAAATGTAACTGCATGTTGAGTAGATGATCGCTTTCGAAAACCAAACTGTCTCTCCGAAAGCATATTATTAGCCTCAAGATAGTCATAGAGCTGATTGTGCACAACCCGCTCAAAGACTTTTGAAATAACAGGGAGTACAGAAATTGGTCTATAGTTATCCATGATCGTTTTTTCACCTGACTTGTAGACTGGTGTAATTTTTGAGCATTTTTCAGCACATGGGAAGATTGCCATTTCAAGACATCGATTAATCAAATTTGAGAGAGGACCAGCTATCTCGTTTGCTCCATCAACAATCAACGTTGTTGGTATATCATCACAACCAGCAGCCTTTTTTCTTTTTAGTTTCGTTAAAATGTCTCTGATGTCTTTGATGTTTGTCATTTTGAAATTAAAGGTTACCTTTTTGGGGTTCTGTCTATGATCCAATGTTGAGTTTTTGTGATATTCCAAACTTTGATTCACTATTGCTGGTAAAGTATTTTGCAATTTTCTGCCAATTGTCGCGAAAAACATGCAGAATTCGTTTGATATAGTTTTCTTTTCTGAAGTTAGGTAAATGTTGTAGTCCCGTCTATGATATGTTGGCATGTTAAACAGTTACGTCGCGAGTGGCATTTGTAAGAGCCTCTGGGATCACTGGGTGTGGCACATTTTATTTTGGCACGAACCAAATCCCGGAGGTTTTTTGGTCTGTGGTAACTAAGTATGGGTGCGTCGGGGAAGGCTTCTTTGCGTGTGTTAGAGTTTTGTAGAATGTCAAGGTTTTGTTTGAGTATGGTGGATAGTTGTGACAAAGCTGGGTGGTAGGTGACAACATATGGCGTGCGATGATTTGTGCGTGGTTTGGTGGTCTTGAGGCAGTCTTGTCTAGTTTTTTCGAAAGCCTTCTGTATTTGATTGCTTGTATATTTGGGTTTATAACCCCGTTTTTTCAGTTATAAAATGCCATACTATTTATGACGTCAACACTAATCACCTCCTTCTCATCTTCTTATGTGTGAAACATGGAAACGAGGCTTTTGAATGTGAACGGATAGGCCACCTGCTCATTTCATAAAAGGGCTCTTTGTTGACATCTTATCTATCAGTCTCAAAAGTCGTGCCGAGAAAATTGAAAAAGCCAGTCAACGAGGATATCGAAAGCAATGGATGAATCAAATGACTCTATGAAAGTTGATGTTGAAGACGAAGCTCCAAAGTCCGAGACGCCAAGCATCGTTCCGAGTGTAACACAGGAAGAAAAGCTTGGCCAGAGTTCGGAGGGTCCAGATGCGCTAATGAGCGAATCGAGCCTCGATAGTCCTGCCATGGCAGGCGAGGAGGGGACAAAAAGAAGTTCAGGACCAGGGTCATCGAAAGGTGGAGCAAGTAAGAAAAGGAGAAAGTTACTAAAAGATGCAAATGCGCCACGAGCACCTTTGACTGGTTATGTTCGTTTCTTGAACGACCACCGAGATAAAGTCAGAAGTGAAAACCCCGATTTGCCGTTCCATGAAATCACGAAAATTTTAGGCCAGCAGTGGAGTAACCTGCCTCAAGAACAGAAGCAGCAATACCTAGACGAGGCGGAAAAAGATAAAGAAAGATACATGGGTGAATTGGAGGATTACCAACAATCAGAGAGGTACAAAGATTTCATGCAGCGCAAAAGGAAAGAGGCCGTTGAAATGAATATATCAGACAATGATGAAGAGCTCTACTGCAGGCCTTGTAACCAGCATTTCAATTCTTACCATAATAAGCGAGAACATTTAAGTGGACGGAGACATTTGCAAGTCATAAGTGAACAAATTTCAGGAAGGGGGCTTTCATCTTTCAAAGAAGAAAGCAGAACAAGTTTGAACAATTTAGATCAAGTTGCAAATAGTTTCCCAGTAAAGAGTCAGAGTTTGTCAGCACCATTGTCAAGTGCAGTAAACGTTGCCAACCCAAGTAGCCAGGGCAAGAGTTCATTAGGTCCAAAACTTACTGTTGAAGGTGATGTTACTATACCTATCTTCACCCAAGAGTTTCTTTCTTACACCAGATCTAAAGAGTCGGTGTTTAGAAGGCTTAGAAAAATTAACACTGATTTAGAGGAGCAGAATTCCATTCTCAACAAGCAGATTGACAGCATGAAAGTTGCAAAGGACAAGCTGAAGGCGGAAATTACCCAACAAGAAGATGAGAGCATTGTTCTCCAGTCATACTTAGAAAGGTTACGTTCGCAGCTTGTTGATTCCTTCTCAGAGATAGTACTTGCTAATCTTGGTGAAAACGTATCTTTGGAAAACATTGATGATTGTATATTCAAAATGGCAGATATGGTAACATCAGGTGGACTAAGTGGCAAAGAAGAACTGGTTACTAAAATGAAAGATATTGTTAGTAATCTTCCTTATCAATCTTTATTAGAACAGTAAGGATATATATTTCTTTAGTGGTGATTGATCATTATGTATATACTGAACATATTATTTCCAACAAGTGTTTTTTTCTGGCAACCTTACTGCAAAAGTACATAAATTTATATTATATGAGGCTTAAGGATTGTTATATATTTTCTGGTTCATTTTGGTTCAACCATCTTTGACTTGGAAAATCAAATGTTTCACATAACGCCTTAGGATAGCTGATTATGTTTTTCATTGAAAATGTGAGTTTCATGACTTGTCACCAATAGTTTAAAGTTACACAGGGCCATCAGAAGAGGGCAATAACTGTCAAACTGTACTTTCATATCTTGAGAATGGAGAGTTATAGAGGGCGGTCTAATCCACTAAATACAAACTTGGTTCCAATGACATGTATGTAAAAAACTATACAAACAATAGAACTTAAGAGGTAGAACAATAAATTTATAAAATCTGATGTCACCAAAAACCAATTTTAAGAATTTTAGAATTTCAACCTCATAGCATGAAAGATCATCATGAAATACTTTCGCAATATGCAATATTAATCAAATATATCTAAAATCAGTTGAGATATTGCTAATGAAAGATTTGAAGTTTGCTAATGAACCACTGTTATTTTGGCTCTGTTAAAGTTATGAACAGAGACCAAAATACAGAGGTTTGATGGGGAAAAAGCCAATACACATGTTACCATATCTCAGCCAATTTGTAACACATTTCACAGATTTTGCACATTTAGAGGTATTTCGTGGTGCACTTTCAGGCTAAGTTATCAAAATTCTAAAGATAGATTTTTGTGGCATCATCAGTTTAGATTTTTTGTGACATTGACAGCAGGACATCGGGTATCAACCTTGGGCAGAAGGGCTACAAATTGGACAATGGTCACAGATCGACAGGTGGTCAATGGTTGAGCACCACTGTCGTCTTCAGCATGGATCTGCATTGCATTTGCTTTTCTTGCTCCTCCCATTGTTGTCTCCATGCTGGTGGAGTGCTGATTTGCAAGAACAGGAAGTGGAGATGGCTCATCACAAAGCGGAACTCTATAGATCTAATGCATTTGATAAAATATGAAATATAGAGAGATCTATGGCAAGAAACAAATTTTTAGAGCCACCTCACAAGGAAACCTGTCAAAAGTATTAAGCTCTCAGAAGTAAAAAAAACTCTTAAACAAGACATACAAGAAATATTTTAGTATTCAAAATATGAAACTCTACCTGATTAGGAAAAATGATTTTGTGAGGTAAGGAAGCCAGCTTTCTCTAATAAGTGTATTACACATAACAAAATAATTCTTGCTGAGAAAGATACATCAATAAAAGACTTTGAGACTACATTTTCTTGAATTTTGAACACATGCTTAATGCCATCATCAGCAAGCAGGAACTATCCTGTTCTATATACAAAAAACGTGTACCACTCTGCCTATGGCACTGGCCCCTTTGCGATAGACCGATAAACAGTAATTTTCATATATAGAGAGAGATATAAAAAAGGTGATTGCCAAAATCATGAATGACTTCTTTGTTGACATTACTGGAACCTTCAAAATTTGTCTAAAGCGAGATTGAGAAAGTACTTCCTCCAAATGCAATTATCAATCAAATAAGAATCAATAAGAATTTCTTTCTCAGGTCACTTCTTATTTAAGTCTGTCAATACTCACGTAATTAGCTGAGAGGTAGCACCAGATCTGCATGCAAAAAGGTAGCCTCTGGACCGTCCTTAAGTTGGGTGGTGGCTGTGCAAACTTCTAGAAGCCATGTACATAACCACAATCTTGATCACACCCAATATACTTGCATCTGTGATAAAGGTACTCTGCTGTGTATATTAAATCCAGGGACTCTGACGCAAGTTGGAAAGTGGTGGGGGGGGGGCAAGGGCAAAGAAAAGATGCAAAACAAAAGATCTTGCAAAAAATTTCTACTGTTTACATTACATTGAATGCGTTGAGTGCCCTGGAATCATTCAATGTACATCCACTGGCTAAAAGAGATTGCCAGGAAAATGCTTATTCACCGAAAATCCTTAGCAAAAAAGGGTTGCCAGCACAAAATTTGTCAAACCAAACATGCGCTCACTTGTTAAGGAGCTTAGCCCCCAAAATTTCTCCAACTTTAACAAGGGGATCAGTAAAGTGATGGTGAACGGTGATCTGCTGGGACCTGAGGGGTGAAAACGGGGGTGGAACAGCTAGCACTGAGACGTTATGCCGCCTGCGGAGGAGATAATAAAATATTTCCTTTGGATACAACACAAGGTAAATTATTTACTCGACTATCGTATGTACTATGTGAGACCATTTCTCTGTACCTTTTCGGAATTAAAAAGGGTCACGTGATAACACTTTACCCTTGACCTTATAAGGAAGTCTTTGCACTTTGTTGCAATAAGTCACAATAATGCTGCTATAAGTATTTTAACAACTTCAGTGGCAGAATTTCTTATGCTGGCTTTCGCACTAATCAAAATTTATCTTATGCACATTTCAATGTAACATAACACTGTCTGAGATTTGTTGATAAATGACTCTCAAATTATAATGCAGTCAACGTCAATCGTCCATCCATCTCAGTCATCCAAGAATAGATATAGATTGAATCACATCTGGATCAGAAAAGACTATGTCAGCGAAAAACTTCGCCTCGAGCTTCACAGAAAACTTGTAAAACCAGTTTTGCTGTACAACCAGCGGCAGTTTTTAGGAGGCAGTTCGGAGTCCAAAAGTCGGCAAAATTAGAACAACGAGAAAGGTGAAAAGGGAGAGTTAGTTGTAAAGCGATGTTGGTGCTGCACCTGCAGTGAATGCATACAACCTTATATATTCTGAATTTTTTATATGTTCTAATTCTGAAACATACATTTGATAAATAAATAAGAACCGGCACTGAGAGAATACAGAGTAAAACGTTCTTAACGGCTTGACGAAAAAAAGGTCGTTAAATTTAAAAGAGCTATGAACATCTGCAGAAAACATTGGGGTTTGCCACCGAATTGCCGAAATCACGCAAATTATTTTCGTTTTTTGCAGGGCCCCGGACACCGCCGCCCAATAACTGCAAGATCTGCAGCGCTCGCTCTAGCGCTGAAATTGAAGAGAATTCCGTAGAATAAAGATCAGGCCATGGGAAAAAACGGTGATCAGCTTGAGGCAGGCCATGACGAGTAGAATTACATCTTCTTTGGGAATTCCAGCAAAGGAGACAATGAAAGCGATGAATGGATTCCCTATCATTTCCTATGCAGTTTAATCTTAATTTTGAATGATTTTTTCACTAGCTTAAACTTTTTAGCCTTACATTCCTGTGATATTCAATAACCTTTTCTAGTAACATGACGTCATAAATTGATAATGACGTCATGAAATAACGTCTAGAAGTAAGTAAAATAGTAATACTATACATCTTTCATGAGCCCAGAGTGTGTGCTATTCGGATATTGAACTTATTTGATAATTATAATTGTGAGAAAACAATTAAAAAGGTTCAAAGTGAATTTTTCTCCAAGTTGTTGACGTCATCAAAAAATTTGACTTCCGCTCAAAATATTTTCCATTCCATCTCGGATTTGACACCTGCAAAGTTATTTTGGTGCAAAAATGCCAGAAAAGTTGAGGCCAAGTCCTCAATGCTTTTTAATTTTCTAATGACGTCATCAAAAACAAGTATTTTCATTCTTTGATCATTGATCATTCGTTTCAGCCTATCTTGGATTTGAAATCTCCATGGTTGATTTAGCTGGAGCGTGAAAAAAATTTGAGGTTAGGCAGTGCACTAGGTTTTTCTACAAAAAATTCCTTGTCTACAAGTGCAACACAACCTACAGTGTCTCGTCACGTTTGAGCCTGGGAACCAATGTTTTGCCTCGCTTGACCGTATACCTGTCTGGTGGTGGTGGTGGTGGCAGTAATTCAATCTGCAAAAGCACGACATCGTAGATAAGAGACAGATTCTCTTCGCAGACCTGAAGCTGCAAGATGTTGTTGAGAGGCTGTCTAGCGATCTCAAGCTCTGCTCGTTTTGCTTTGCAGGGTAAAGTAATTTTTGCTGCCAGACGTCTGGGGCCACTTGAAGGTCACGTTAGGCCACCTCTTGCTGTCTGGTCTCGACAAGACTATCACAAACATTCAGAGTTACCGCCTGAAAATACGTTAAGAGGAAAAGAGAGTAGAAAATACGGTGTTCTAATTGCCGGTGCATTAGCTGGAGTGTTGGCTTCTTTTTCTTTGTTACAAGATGAGCAGAACTGTAAAGAGGCAGAGATCCATTTGGAAGGCAAAGAAAAACTTTACAGCAAAGAACAAATATCTAACCATAAAACAAAACAAACAGGAATCTGGGTGACATACAAAAACAAGGTTTATGATATAACCGACTTTGTAGATGGCCATCCAGGTGGCAACAGCAAAATTATGTTAGCTGCTGGTGGAGACCTTGAGCCTTTCTGGGACATGTATGCTATCCATAAGAAAGAGGAAGTGTTGGAAATTCTAAATGAGTATGAGATTGGTGAGGTCAGGCCTGAAGACAGAGTTGAAAGGAAAGCAACAAAAGTTGGGCCTTTTGCCAATGAGCCACGCAGACACCCAGCACTGATTGCCAATTCACAAGAGCCTTTCAATGCTGAGACTCCACCAGAACTTGCTGTTGACAACCTAATCACTCCAAACGAACTGTTCTTTGTTCGAAATCACCTTCCAGTGCCAGTTATTGATGAGACAAATTTTAAACTACAATTGTCTGGAGCTGGTATGAAAGAAATCAACCTGTCATTGGATGAATTGAAGACGAAGTTTAAGAAACATAAAGTGACTGCAACCTTACAATGTGCTGGTAACAGAAGGAGTCAAATGAATAATGCTAAAGCTGTGAGGGGGCTGAATTGGACATCTACAGCAATTAGCAATGCAGAATGGGAAGGTGTCTTATTAAGAGATATCTTGCAGTATGCAGGTGTAGATATAACAAATATGGATTCAGAAATAAAGCATATCCAGTTTGAAGGGTTAGATATTGACCCAACAAAAGCACCTTATGGAGCATCTATACCTGCCTACAAAGCATTTGATCCAAGCAGTGATGTTTTAGTCGCATACAGTATGAATGGGAAGCCTCTGCCTAGAGATCATGGTTTTCCACTGAGGGTTGTTGTCCCTGGAGTTGTTGGTGCAAGAAATGTCAAATGGCTTTCAAAAATTGTGGCTAGCAAACATGAAAGCCTTAGTCATTGGCAACAGAATGACTATAAAGGTTTTTCACCAAACATTGATTGGCATAACGTTGATTTCAAATCAGCACCAGCCATTCAGGAATCACCAGTAACATCAGCTATTTGTTCTCCAAGTAATGGAACAATAGTCTCTGAAAGTGATGAGGAAATTGTGGTCCAAGGTTATGCCTACAGTGGAGGGGGTAGAGGGATTATAAGAGTGGATGTATCAGCAGATTCAGGTGAGACATGGCACACAGCAAAATTGAAGCAAGTTGATCAGCCTTTGAATAGAATGTGGTCTTGGACATTATGGACTGCAGTTGTGCCGATACCAGAAAAGCACAAAGGCTCTGTTGATATCTGTTGCAAAGCTGTAGACAGTTCATATAACTCTCAACCAGAAAGAGTTGAGCCCATTTGGAACCTTCGTGGAGTTCTTAATAACTCCTGGCACTATGTTAATGTTGCTGTTGAAGATGATGAATGATAGAGTTAGACTGTGATGACTTCAAGTTGACTGTGATAATTTTCATATGACTTTGTACAGTGGCCTAGCCTGAAGTAGTAGTACAATAAATACAGTGATTGTGAGAAATGTCAAGTAATAATAAAGACCAAAGGTATTTTACAGATTCAGCATAATTATTTTATAGATTTAAGGCAATCATAGGAAATATATTATCTTATTGTGTTTGCAGTTTGAAAAGTTTAATTTTTTCACTTTCAATCTACTAAAAATTTAAATCATAGTGTTGTCAGAAGTTGTAAACATCGAGACTGCTCACAAATGATTGTACTTTTATACTAGCAACCTCAGTTGAAATATTTCACCTTTAGAGATTATTTTATCTGTCATAGTCTTGGGAGTAAATTTTATAAACCTGTGTCTTTGTCTTGTGACAGTCTGTTTGGTTAATTTGGAAAAATATCTCATTTGTAACATGTTATTGGCATTCAACTTTATCTTTCGAGGGCCATTGCTAGCTATTTTGGTCAAAAGGGTGTCCAGGTCTCATTTGCCTGTAGACAGCCCTCAGTCTTAGCCAGGGTTCCTTTCACTTTGCTCCCCACTCCGTATCTACAGTCAGTGGCGGTGCCAGGGGGTGGTATGAGGGGGGGGGTTAACCACTTTTTTTGAAACATGGTCTACATATTTCGTCTAAAAACGGGTTAAATATTTTCTAAGGTAGGGGTAGATCATATTTCCTAAGGAAATTTGACCTGGTACACAGCACGGAAACGAGGCGATTAGGGCGCGGCCTCAATGGCCACGCCTATTACCCTCCCACTCGGCAGTAGCTGGCGCCGCCACTGTATACAGTCCTGCTTTAGCATCTTTATTGTAACAGAATTATCTTCAAATAGGTCTTTGAATAAAATTCACCACTGGAAGAAGATAAATGTATGCATATCAATTCAAATTACCGCTTCTGCACAAAAAATCTTCTGGTTGTCTTAAAGAGATTCAAAAGGATCCCCAATCAAACAAAATGTAAGAAAATGAAATGTTAAACACAGCAAAGTAATTTTCCGTAAATGATGCATCTTTCATTTTCCCGCCCTTTTCATCGTTGACGACGTAGCAGTGAACATCAGTGGACGTGAGCAGGACCGTCGAGAGGGGGGGGGGTAACCAGGGTAGTTACCAGGGGGCCTGGGGCCTTAAGGGGCCCGTAGAAAATAAGGTATGTATTTTTGGCTATGAGTTTTCAATTAGCAGCATTGGCAGGGCGGGCCCATGACCCGATTGATATTCGAAATTTATTCTTTCAACAAGGGGTCAACAAGCTGGTCTATGATGAGGGCCTTTTCTTGTTAAGGTTTATAATTAAAACATTGACGATACGATCATAATATACTTCTCCGGAGGCCGAAAAATTCGATTGCACTTACATATATCTACTTTTAGGTCAAATGTTTTAGTTATTCCTTGTGTGGACTTTCTATAAACGTAAAACTAAATCTTCCATTCACGGCGTACACCAGAGAAAAAGCACATGCGAAGAACCAAGACAGATCCAAACGCTATAAAAGTCTTTATCAAAATCACTAAGCGGGATCACGATCCAACCAACCCCTGCGATGTCATCTTACAGGCACAAGTCTGGTGCTCAGAAAAGGCAGGAAAAAAGATGCGAGAAAAAGAAGCAAAGAAAGCCTCTCGCACATTGTTTGAGGTAGGTGCTTACAAAAGAGACAAGGAAGGTGGTTCAACTTTAAATAAACCTGGTGAAAGCTCTGTTCAAAGCACCGCTGAAGAAGAAGAAGACAGAAACGGCTTGGTTGCTTCGGTAGACCATGACACCCCAGAAAGTAGAGAAAGCACTACTGATTCATCATTAAATCAAGATACTGTTCATAGTGGATCATCTAGTTTTGATGTCGGCACATTGACCGGATTTCCAACGATAAAGGAGTTAGAAAAGGTTGTTAGAACTGGTCATTTGCCTCATCCTCCAGAGTTTCCCAAAGATTGCGACGGCCACCAATTTCCAACAACGGTCCTTAATGTGAAGCAGCAAAATTGGGAGGTAGTAAGAAGAAGCTGGCTTGTTTTCAGTCCTACAAAGGCTGCACTCTATTGTTTGCCATGCACACTATTAATAATGGTTCAAAATCAAAATTGGCTTCTCCTGATGGTTGGGGAGCGAACGACAGCTGGAAAAGATTGTGGGAAAAGATTAAGGATTTCGCCATGAGGAAAGTAAGAAAAGCAGTTTTTTAACTCTGATTTTTAAACTGATTTGTTTTAATGATTTGTTTTATATAGTCACTATTTACATGTTCTGTTAAAGACCTTAAAATACAAATTCAAGTGTTTCAGGGGCGTTGATTTCAAAATTCATGCCTTTTACAGTCCATCTAACTGCATTGCTAAGGGCGTAATCCAAAAAAGGTTTTTGCAGCCTTCGACTGTGGGGCCCCATGACAGTCCCAGCCCTGGGGCCCGGCCCGTCTCTCGACGGCCCTGGACGTGAGCTTCTCATCGATCTTCAAGCTTTCAAAATATATATTCAAAGTACCTGAGCGCAAAAGAAATTGTACAATTGTAGTTATTTTGAGAGAAAGTTGGGCTGCATTTTCTCTCAGTGGAATTTAGCGATTTTTTCCGTCAGTAACACAGGCATCAATACCGAAAAGAAAAGATTTTAACAGTGGCTTTTAAATGTAAGTTCATATTTTCTAATTACGTGGATAAAACAACTTTTAAGGTTTAAAAACTGTAATTTTTCTGTTTGTGGCCGAGGGGGGGGGGGGGGAAGAATTATTGTTTTGTCGGAAAACTCTCAAACTTGAAAGGGGAAGTGAAACGAAACTTGTTGGTTTAAAGGAAAAGTGAAACGAACCTTTTTAGCAACATGGATTACTTGGACTAAAATACTTCTTGTATTATCGAGAAGCAATTCACTTTTGTAAAGAAAATACTAGATTTCCACAAAAACAAAATGATTTCTCAGTATTTACCTATTCCTATTTCTCAGTATTTACCTATTGCTGTTCTGAAAAGGGTCAAGTTTGGTTATGAAAATTTGCGATTTTGGTCATATAATTGTATCTAAATTTGATATTGAAGACCGGGACAGTGCCAATTTTGTGCCTATCACCAGATTTGAAAATTTTAGTCCCAGATTTGAAAATTTATGCAGTTATGTTGCATAAGAGAAAACAAGGGTGAAGTCGATCAATACCATCGTCTTCCGCCAGTGAATATTCATTTTGAGTATAAGATTTTATCATTAAAATTTGCTCCAAAAATGCAATTTCCGGCGATCTTTAAGCATAAACATCATCAAAAATTTCCCCTTTCGGCAGCCACCATAGTGCCGCCTCATATATAGTAACTACATTCTATCCTTCAATCTATCAATCTATAGGGTTGCGAGACAACGACATTCACAGTAAGTATGAAGAAATAGAGACAAGATAAAAGTACATTTTAAGTATCTTTCAAGTTAAGGCAAAGGTTATGTGTATTTCTCTTTCACCCTCCCAATTTTGGCAATTTTGGCACCCATAACAAAGATTTGAAAAAAGCTCTTTTGTTTTATAGACAAGTGGGGGGAGGGGGACCATAGGCCACGGCCCTCTTTGTCAGAGGCCCTTTGTTAATGCTCTATACAACTGTTTATTCTTTTAGTTTCTTTTTTAGATTTTAGGTTACGGATGAGGGGAGATTCCGAAAAAATCTTCAATTTATATCATAAAGATATCAAAACGATAAAAAGAAGACACTTGTCATGGTTTCGACTTCTGATGCGACCAACCCATGAAACACCAGCAAGCATAGCCCTTGAAGAGGCCAAAAAGCAAGAAGGCAGACCACCCGTTACATGGGTAAGTTGTATCAAAAAATAACTTGAGATTACTGGTCTTCTGACCAAAAGAGAGATGAAATATCCAGCTATCTTCTTACAAAGACTTGAAGAAAATCTTCCCAACGACAGACACGACTGGGCTAAAGCTGTTTTTGTTCGGGAGATGAATCATGCCTGTCTTCCAGACATGCACTAGCCCCCGTTTCGGGGTCATTGCACGTGCAAATTATCACTTGAAGCCCTGGCAGGAAGTTCAAGAATTATGTGGTCGCAGACAGAACAGCTGTGCGAATACTGTTATCAATGTGCATGTGCTATGACCCCGCAACACTGATTGATTTAAAACGGTATTGTTTCGAAACAAAGGACTGATAACGATAATATAGTTAGCAAATAAATTTAGTACCAGAATAAAAATATAATAGTTTGATTGAGTTTTTAACAATTCATCAACCAAACTTCAAAATATTTGCAAAATTTTTGCATGTAAACCAAACAACCTTGAAACTACGGTGGCTAAAGCCCCCCCCCCCTTTTTCAGAGATTAAAATTTTTTAACCGTTTTTTTATCATTTTTATAAACAGAGTATGAAATAAAAAAGGACACAAACTGTTTAGGTATATTTCTTTTATTTGTCGATTATTTTCATCAATTCAGTAGATAACTTTCTATATCTTTGCAATTTATGCCCTTTGGATGCGTAAACATGGCCTACTTTAAATACTCGATACAAATAAGATGCACATTTCTGTCTAGAAAGTAAAGTCCTCTCAATCAATCTATGGTGGATTTCTTGCCAACTCAGTGGCGGTAGTAATTATAGTAATTATAAAGAAAAAGGGCTATGCAATTTTTCTTTGGCTCTAGGGCCTGCAATCCCTAAAACCGCCACGGTGCCAACTGTACGCCTCTCTCCCAAAAGTCCACCGGGGCATTTGTTTCGATGTTTCGAGACAAAGAAAACTGTGGTGTATGAGTCTTTGTTTCATTTTTTTTCATGCTAACTATGTAAATGGCTTCATGTTTAGCACGCCAACTAACAAAGATTTTACGTATGTCAAAAATGTTTTTTATTAGTTTGTACTCGGAACGCCAAAAAAATTGACTGTCCGAAGAACTTTGGACCTAAGTACATGGAAATGTCATGTACCCTACCAATAAATACAACAGTTTCTTGTTATTTGCATTGATGTGCACTCTGAAAAAAGATCATCCTATCTTTCTTCTATTCCCAAACGCATGAATCCTCCCCTTCAAAAATGTTTCTATAAATAAATAATGTTTTTTCTGAGAATCGTCGAATTGTCTATTCTAAGCGGTATAGTGATTTGTTAAATTTTAGTCTGGGCCCATGAAATTGTAATTTTAATTGTATTTTAAATGAAATATAGAGAAATGAAATTATAATGTTAAATTATAATTTTAAAAACTTTCTTTCGCGTCGGGTCCTCCTATGTCACCAAACTTCACATGGCAGCTGCCCCTCCTGCCCTCTTCCAGGAGGGGCAGAGGGGGCAAGCAGTGCCCTTAAATGTTCACTCCTAACAAAAGATTAAAGAATCTTGTAGATAATTCACAAAAAAGTCCTTCTCTTTCGCATTTGGCCATTGATAACGGAAAATTATTTTCTAGAAAATGATAATAAACTTAAAAAGGAACAGTCTCTTATAAAAATTAAAAAAATTGCATCACAGACATTTCCATTTGATCGCTGGTCAAATGAAAAATCTGTGACATCGAATTAACAGGCAATTAATTCTTGCTGCTTCGTACAACTTTAAGCAACTTGTAAGGTCGTTTACACGATCACATTCTGTGATCACATAAAATATGTGATGCAAATGTGACCTGAATATGATCGTGTAAACCAGCCTTTACAAATAATTTGATACTTGAAATAAAATAATGGAATAATGGAGAAGATGTTACGATATCATACGAGATTCATTTTTAGCCCACTCATCTAAACGAGGCAAAAACATGGCATCTAGATGCAACATTCTGGTCCGAGGAAGACAGACACTACTTATATTCATTATCGATGCCAACCACAGGTTGTCTAGTTCAAAGCAACGGAAACACTGTGTAACTACCCATCAAGATGTTACCAGACTTATTTAAGATTTTCTGTATTTCTTTATTTGCAACAGTTAGTAAAGCATCAGTTTTAGAGAAGAACAACTTTGTGCTTACAGATAAAAATTGGACAGCTATGCTGCAGGATGAATGGCTTGTGAAATTGTAAGCTTCTTTATATGTCTACTCTGGGTCTTCTTGCCATACATTATTTGTTGCATGAATTTACGTTTTGGCATTTGTTGATGTTATTTTTAGATTTATTTGATACAACGACGATAGCTGACAGCTGCGGTTGTCAGGCATCACATCAGTATTTGGAAGTTATCCTTAAAAGCGAGAAGTATGAAACGGTGTTGTTGTTTGTGACAAGCATTCAATAAGTGGAAAGCAAGTGTAGTGGATCTAGATTACAGGCAACTATTATAAAGTCATGTCATATGGTTTGCATCTTTGATATGGATGTTCTTGTGCAACTCCACAATATCCCATCCAAACGAGACTGTCGAAAAGTGCTTGTCAAATTCTCAAATGACTGAATTTGGACATGTTTTTTATCAATTTGCCAAGCCATTAACAAAATGTTGGCCATCTTCTTCACAGCCCCAACCTACCAGTTATGCAAAGCTTGGCAATGCCACTAGAAAGAGATTTGCTTTCCACATATAAGAACTAGATAAATTCAATTTAAATATGAAAAAAATAGATAGTGCTTGTACAACTGGCATTTTTGAATAATATCTGTGTACCCATGTCTAAAGTGTGGGGCTGTTGGCACTCCAAAGTTATTTCAAAATTACTCTAAAAATTTAAAACAAAAGGATTTATATAATAAAGAAATATGTAAGCTGTTGAATGTGAAAAACAAATGTCCAATGACAAGCATACAAAGTTTTAACAATGTTTTATTGAAGTCTCTGGTTTTCTTAACTTTGTTTGACTTTGATGTGCTCCAGTATCTTTCCTTGTGTCTGCAATGTTTTCAAAGGATAACCAGGGACCATGTAGGCAGTTTTTTAAGGATGATCAGGACCCGTGTTGGGAGGTTTTGTAGGGATCGCTAGAACCTATGAGTGCTTTTGCAAGTGCCTGTGCAAGTGCTTGTAAGGCAAGTGCGATACTGTATAAGATGGTGCTGTCTTTGGTCTACTGCAAAACATTTGGGGGGGGGGCAGGAATGTTAGCATTCTTGTGTGATAAACATCAGCTTTTTGCTGTTGAATGAAGTCATTAGCAATTCTGTGTTTCTGTCAAGAAAGGTAGGAATGGTGATGTTTTGCTGGACTTTATGGTAGGATGTTGCATGAAGAACTGGTTGAACATGTCCCGACCATGTAGATAAGTGGAAAAATCTTTGAAAGCTCAACACTTGGCAACATCATGACAATGTTGATGTAGTTCTGCTTCATATATCTAAACTTGAAGTATCATAGCTTATATTTTGTTAAACTTGCAAAAAACACATAGTCAGTTGAATACAGTTGCATGGTCTTTTCATCCTGATGAGTTTTCTGAGACAATACAAAATTGGGCCTGTTTACATTAAACAGGGGGTGGCTGCAATACAAATCTATTATTGATTTCATAACTTGGCAATGTGAGGTGAAAGTGACAGTTATATTAATTACAAATGACAAAAGTCACTAAAAAGTGTTGAGAGCACTTTTATGAAGAGGATATTCTGGTTCCTTTTCCTCTCCTATCAAAAGGCAACTGGGCAGTTGACCCCTCATGCATGCCTCCCTGGCGTCCCTGCATATCACATGCCAAATTCTTATGACGGTTGCAAAGAGGGGTCTTACAGAGAATCATTAAATTATTTTCCATTTCGATGAAACTACCACCAAAGTTTCTTTGACAGTGTGGTTTTTTCAATCTGGTACCACTAACCATAACTTTTGTGTGACACTTCCAATCATAAGTGTTTATCTTTTTTTTTCAAATTTTAGCTATGCGCCATGGTGTCCTGCTTGTAGAAGCTTAGAGTCAACATGGGACTTGCTAGTTGATTGGTCAAAAGATAGAGGATTGAAGTTTGGTGGGGTCGATGTTACAACAGAATCTGGTATGAAACATCTAAAAATATATATTTTTATTATTGTCATTTTCTGTGCTTCTTTTTACTTTGTTTCCGGAAGTAAAGATGTGTATGTAAGAATAAAAGTATCAGTACTGATGTTGTGATGTGTTGTGGCATCTACAGGGTGAAATACTTAATTATTATCATGACTTTTTGATGTCTGGAAACCTAACTTCAGATCTATGCACAAAGTACTTTGCATTTTGAAAATAGCCATCACTGGTATTTCTAGCTTTGTTGCAGTCTTGGTTAAAAGAAAACATGATCTAAACATTTGTCTTAAGGTACTAATGATTTCCTTCAAATCTATGTGAAAGTGTAACAAAATTTAAAGCAAATCCCAGATACCTTGAAGGAAATATTTGGCCACTAAAATTCCCCTTATTAGTTTTGAACATGAATTGAATTGAAATTTTCAAAATTTAGCATCAAGTTAAAAAGGTTGTGAATATTTTTTCACTGTTTATTAATCAGTGTACTGAGGAATAAGCAATGTTATGATCCTAGCTATTCAGAAAGATCGTGTCACTACCAATCAAGAATTCAAATAGATTACAAAGTTTTATGCTTCTATGAAAGCCTGTAGAATCTTTTTTGTCTCTGCACTGCAAGGAAGATTCTCTCTCTGGCCTTCAACCTCTTTTGTATAAAAAGAAGACTGGGGAACTAGGTGGGGGTAAAAAATTTTAGCAATATTTTGACTGGAATTATTTGCTTGGCAGTTACACATTTCATGCAGACATAACAACTCTTTCAAAGTGAAATTACAGTTTAATGAGAGTATTTGATGAGAGATTTCACCTTTTAGGTTTAAGTGGAAGATTTGTTATCACGTCATTGCCAACTTTATACCAGTAAGAAATTAGCTTTTTTCAAGTCAAGTGTTCAGATTAATAGAAAGCTCTTAAATATTTGTTTAATCAATAGTTCTTGAATATTTGTATACAGTAATGAATAATGCAACAAGAAGACAGTGATTGTTTCTTTTGGGTCTTTTAAGAGTTTGCTTACTATGTATTTCTAATGATGCTCTACAGTAATTAATTCCAAAAATCTGTTCCAGTTCATTTCGTTTCTCTTAAAACACACAATGCTGTTTATTAATTGTAAAGGATTTATTGTAGTAAGCACTTGCAAGGGAGTAAATATTGCCTTCTACCACCCTGGTACATTTAAGTTGATTCTTGCTGTATCTCTTCAAATATTTATTGCATTAATATTAATATCTCAAGCATTAATTGAAAGGGGTAATATTGTTGCACATATTAAGCAAAATGATTACTTACATGGATGTATCTATGTTGCATATCAGGGATGAATTCACTTGATCTATTCTTTTTGCAAATCTGAACATATATATTTTGAAACAAAACTAAATACTTATTTTTGTAGTGTAAAAGATGGACAATTCAGGCAATATGTTGGATCAAGAGCCCTTGAAGAATTCCAAGAATTCATCACCAAAGAGAAGTGGAAAGACATTGAACCAGTTTCTGAGTGGAAATCTCCTAACTCTTTTATGTAAGTCAAATTTTTTGGTTTTTGGGGTGTGCTGGGAAAAAAGTCTAAGATTTTATTATTTCAATTTGAATGAGGTGTTCAAATATTTTGTTCATTGGTTTATACCCCAGCAACATTGTTTGAAGGACCTTTAAATTAAAAAACTGAATTTATTTAGTCCCAGGAGAACGAAAAGAGTAGAGTCTTTAAGAAGGTTACAATAGAGTTGGGTATGCAAGCATGATAGTGATTTCAAGTTGTTGTTGCACATGAAGTTGTGTCAGTATAAATAATCTGTACTGAAATTTTAAGTTGAAATTTACAAAATGCTAACCTGACTAGAACTACTGGATGTAAGACTCTAACAAGTTAATGTAATCATCTACTAAATGAATGTTGTTATTTTCGGTTGATTGAAATGAATTAGAAAATAACTATCATTAGCATTTTTATTTCAATTAAAAATTAGTTAACTGTGCATATGCCTTTGCAATTTGCCTCTAAAGCATAACACCCCCCTACCTTGCAAATTCAGGCTAGAGTGGCCGTGATAGAATCACAAAAAGAAGGAAAAGTCAGTTGGAATAGGAATATTCAGGCCAAAAAGGAGCCTGTTTCGTGAATTACTCACTCTTCAGGAGATGAATAACATCTAGATTTTTACTGATATTTGTCTAATGTTGGATGTTATTTAGGCAGAGAACAGGAAGGTTCTAAGTTGCAGCTCTGAGTTCCACTTTATGTTTATGCAAGGATAGAAGCGTGCATTTGCAATGAGCAAAAAGCTCTAAAGATAGACCAAACTTCTCATCTGACAGCAGTGCAGTATTACAATCGAAACCAAATTTATCCAGCATAGTAAGCAAACAGTACCAGATGATAAAGCGTCTCTTTGCAGCTAACAAAAGATAAGATAATATCCCAACAGTTGATATGATCCCTCAACAGCTCGTTATTTTTGGGATCACACGTCTTACAATTCCATAAATTTGAAGATTGCATGAAAAGTACTTTTCGTCCGACTATAGTCATGACTCTTTAGATTATAGCGTCGAATAATGAAGAAAAGTAAACTGAAAATATATTTTCACGCGTGGATGGAAAGAAGCGTGAAAGGGAGAAAGACACGTTTAATTGGTTATTTGTTTTTACCAATCAGCGACTGCCAAACTTTCACCTAATTGAAGAGTCCAAGAGAGGAAACGAACTCTTTCTGTCTACACAAGTTGGAATCCTTTGTTTTGATGTAAACAAATTCAAAAACTCCTAGATGAAAAGACAACCTTGCCTGCCAAATGATTTTGAAATTGTCGTCACTATGTGTTTTGGCACACTGGACTTGCGAGCAAATGTTGATCAGTTGCCAAATCAAATGTTATTTGGGGTTTTCGCAAATACGCCGTAGCTGTTCTCTTATCAGGACCTTTTTTTGCCTGATGCTCGCGGGAACTTGCTGTTTTATTCTATTGATAAATCGCTGACTAGTGTGATTAATCGATTAATAATAAATGTTCAGCTTACCTACAGTCATTTTCCGATGTTGATACTCGTTTCGGACGAAAAGTGATTTAGGATGCTACGATTCCGGTATTTCCTGCAATCTTCAAGTTTCGCACTACCAAAAACTTATTTGGTTATTTCCATAAATACTTCATTCTTCACATTAAGGCTTAAAAAGTAAAATATATATTACATTTTATTTTCAAGCATGTCAGCCATTAGTAGATTATTTGGTATGTCAATGGAGCTGAAGGTAATTTTTAATTTTTTAAGATAGAGTTCTCCAGAGTTATTAGAATTGCCTCTCTTATATCCGGTGCTTTAGCAGTTAACTTTAAGTTTTTTGTTTTTACTGCACTTCAAATTGATGCATGCCTTGAACATCTGCTATGATATTTGTGGCAGTGTATATTTTGAAACTGTTTTTTGCTTCTTTGCAAGTTGCTTTCAAGTACACTCTGTGATTTGCTTCACATTCCATGGCTCATTTGCCATTTTTGCACAGTGTAAACAAATTCTCACTGACTCATTACATATTGAATTTGCAGAGCTTTATGAAAAGGATGACATTTTTTACACCATGATAAAGTACTTTAATATACTATCTAGGGCTGATAAAAATTGAGCAGATTGAGCAAAAAGAACTCACTAGATAGGCATCTCGAGTTGGTGTATAAGCAGCTCTTGGTATATATTTATATTTGCCTTTAAGTCTTACCCCCCCCCTCCCACTTTTTATAATCTGCAGAATGGGGAATGAAAACGTTTTTCAGCATGTTGCAAAGTTTCCCTGCTTTTTAGTGCAACCCTGAAGTTATGTAGCCCCAAATGCTTATTATTTTGTAAATATCACTTTTTGCCTGCAATTATTAGCTTGACCATTTTTCCTACTAATTTGTGCTATTTCTACATCGCAGAACTTACATACGTCAATTACAGAAACATACGGGATACCTGTATGGGCGTCCTTTGTTTTGTTCGGTATATTTGTTGTTGCACTTGGCCTTATTCTTGGCTTGGTGAGTTTTTAATAAATCTTTCTGTTTTGTGATGAGAATATTTTGTCCGAGAGCTATTGTCGCGTTATTTTCGAATTGATTTTATTCTATAAGTCAAGAGCTACTTACAAAAGTGCTTCCTACAGCAGCTTCAAAAACATAATAAACCTTACTTTTTCTTTATTTGCTTTTTGTTTTTATTCGTTGCAAATATTTTCGTACCTCGAGTTAATGTTCTCTGTTTTGTATCTTTGTTAGTCAATTCGTTTTGTTCCTGCTTAATTTTTATTTTCATCGCAAGGCCTATCAAGCACTTTTTCTTTTTTGCATATTTTTTTCCGTGTCATCAACAATACTTCCTGCTACACAATTCCTTCCTGGCGCTAAGAATCCGGATAGGTGTCATGTTTTGCTAGATGTTATATTCGAGAGCGTTCCCTCATTCTAGGCGACCTGTACTTCGTCAATCCAGTGAAAAAATGCCTCGACGTGTATGACAAAATGTTAATCGGATTATTTTATCCGGATTCTTCAATTTCGCCTCTTCTTGGTATTAGATTCATTGAATCATGAAAGGTTACTTGCTCCTTGTGGCCTCTAATGGGTTTATAGCCAACCAGAAATTTCGTTACGGTCCACCTCAGTATTAATTTTAGCATTTTTACAACGACAGAATTCTTAGAAACAAAATTTTTTTACTTCAAACTGAACGAAATGGCCACTTCTTAAGAGTTTTTTGACGTTTTGCTGAATGCTACAATTTCCGTTTGGGAAGTAAACAAATTTCTTCCTAAAAAAATGTTCACTTCATTTACTCGATTAGTCTTTTATTGCGCAGTTAACCAGCTCATTGGGATTTGAAATATGTTAGAAAGCTATGGATTTTATACACAGAAGAGGACCTCTGCCACGGTGCCATTTAAAAGCCAGATATGTCGACGCTTTTCTTCAAAATTATCGGTTGTGTTTGTATTTATATCTACGTAGCTTCCGAAGGTAGTTCTTAAGACAATGAGAAGCTATGCTCGACAAGTGACCTGGCTCGTTTTTGATCTGACTTCATCTGACGATTCTCTAAGTGAAAGGTTGGTCACGGCTCCAGAATCTTGGATCCGTCATCCCTGACCTAGCCTGAAAAGCAGACCCCAATTTCAAAGGAAAAGCTATCCCTAACCTTAATTACTGTGTCATCCCAACACCTATCACTGGGCCATCCTCACACAACTTGTTTTCATAAGTTTTCCTCGAGCAACTACCAAAAAAGTCAATTCATTTAATTCACCGAACTCTCGCTGTTTAAATCGATTAAAATTCCCTCGTACGCCATCTTTGCAGGTTATGGTACTTGTGAGTGATTATTTATTTGGTCCTCCATGCCCACCGTCCTATCCAAACATGGACGACGCTGGAATATCTGCCTCAGCGAAGGAAAGCCTTGCCGAAATGCAAGATGACAGTATTGGAGAAGAAGACCTTGATTCTGATAGAGAGGCTTCCGAACCCACTGAGGCCAAAGAGGAGGGGTCGCCTGAAAGCAATGTGCGACAAAGGAAGGTAATAGTACCATCTTTGTTTTTCTACCTACAAATTGTGTTTTATGTTTTTTGTGTAACACCTAACACCGTTGTTATCCAGTACCTAGAAAATATCACAGTTCTATGGCTGTGAGCCGGAGGAAGAGTGTCCAAGGATGCGAGGAGGGTTATTGCGTACCGTAAATCCTCGAATTAGCCGAGGGGGGCTTATATGAGGGGGAGGCTTATAAAATTATTGTAGACATTAAGAAGACATTATTAAAATACCTTGTTTATTTTGTTAGGAATTTCTTTATGAGCAAATAATTAATTACTACCAAAAATATGAATTTGTTGTGGTATGTCAATAAAACGCCATAGGCAGCAAAAATCAGATAGCAAAAATCATCAAATGGAGGGGTCCCATTCGAGAATTTACGGTAGCAGTGGGGACTTATTCGGGGGGGCTTTTTGACAATTTGTAGTTCTAGAGTGGGGCTTATTCGAGGGGGAGAGCTTTTTCGAGGGGGGCTAATTCGAGTATTTACGGTATTTCGACAACAGTATATAAAGTGAGATCCATTTCGTTTGGATTTCCTTTTTCTTGATCAAGTTTAAAGAACAAATCATGTATAACTTTTCTTAAATTCTATTTCTAAGAAACTTCTATTCCATAGATTCAAGGAAAATTCTATGATAGGTAAATTGGGCAAAATTTCATCCGGGGGGGGGGGGATGTTGGGGCGTTTTCTAAACTCTGATGTTGTCTGTAATCGTATATGAGGTACTTTGTTGACATTGTTCTCTCTGTTTCGTTACCAAAATGTTAGGTTTTTAAAAAAGGCAAGATCTGTCCTTCAGATCTGTCTGAAAGTTTAGAAAGATGTTTTAGAGGGCCATGGCATACTTCACTTTTATTTGTAATATTTTGCTCTTGAAGGCCTAATGCATGCGTTTTGCGGTATCGAATCAGATTCTTTAGCTAGTTCAGAAAAACTAAGTCTTGCTTTAAACTTGCTCTAAAAATGATATATAAAATGAGAACGAATTTTACGATTTGATTCGATGATGTACACTAATGAAAGAAACTGCACTGACCTTTGAAGTAATGCCAATGGACGACCGTGCTTTCAATGATGTCACTATGTTATCAACGGATAATATCAGTGATTGCTTCACCATCTCTGAAATCAAAGGTATAGTGAAATTGTAAAAGTGGAAAATAAAATGTTTGCCATTGAGCATGTAAAATGAAATGTGCTCATATAGATTACAGTTTCATAAACAATCTAAAAACTGTTGACGAAATGCTCTCGTGACGTCAGCTGTTACTTGTACGGTGATTTGTCTTCATCAAGTTTCGCCCTTCTCAAAACATGCTACTTTTAAGGATTGACATAGTTGATTTATCTATGACGATAAAAAAGGAAAGAATTTAAAGTTTGCTACTTGCCTTACGATAATAAAAGTTTTTGGAGGAAAGAGTCCTAGCAAGTAAACCCGGTTTTCTTTGGTGAATGATACTCTAGTACAATCACTGCAAAAGGTCTTGGAGCACTAACGTTAGTTTTCAAAGGCAAATTCAGCCACCCCCTCTCCCCCTAAGGGGTTGTGGAGTACGTTTTTTCGTGTGCCTTGTATGATATTTTTCTATACTTTCAACATTGTTTTGGGGGAAAGGGGGACGGAAGTAGTTGTATTCGGGAAAACAAATGAAGAATAGAAAAGCACAGCGCAAAGTGTTGGGTGTTCCAAGTAATTTTGGCGGTGATTGTACCAAATCTTCACGAGCAACAACCAAATGTTGTGTATTTGCTTTAGAGTAGCAGGAATAACAAGACTGTTGTTATGGAATCTTGTCACTGTTTCTTACAAACAAACTTCATTGAGATATTAAAAATCCTTCGTTTTTGTTTCTAGATATTATCAGGCGATGAGTAAACCAACAACGAGGCACTCAGCACCCAAGTTCCGAAAGTCAGGAATATTTTCATCAAAGAAATAACGATTCAAGCTGAAGAGAGATTTATTATTTAAAGTATACTTTGTGGAACTATTTGTCTACAGCTTAACATGAATACTAGCTAACATTTCTATTGAAAAGTATTCAAAGGTGTATCACTGTCTATGATTTGCATCGGCGCATTTTATTATTGTTGATCGATAAAATGAACTTGCTTGCGCTTTGATGCAACAAGTTTTAAGAGAAAGAATGGTCCATGGCCTGTGCACAGTAGCTTAGCAGGATTCAACAAGTTTGCTTATTCATATCTTTTATCCAATAACATTCTCTTAAATCAACTTTCCAGTTATTTGGCTCGATTAATTCGTACGCATGTCTTGTATTTGGTTCTTGGAACTCGGAATTCGATCAGGGCAAACCAGAGGAACACAAAGCCTCGTTTTAGCAACACTTCCTTTTCTGATCCGCTCGCCTGTTCCTGTCAAATCCAATGCCTTTGATTTTTTTCTTTGTAATAATTTTGCTTCACCCTGGTTGGTCTTCTCAGACAGAATTTTGTGCAACCGACACTTCACAATTTCAATGTGCACATGAATCTAATTTAGGTCTTCAAAATTTTTACTTTCTGTAATTTCACTAGTATTGTAGTACTCTTTCAGCCTTAGAAATCTCCTTCAACATTTCTTGTTTACGTGCAAGAATACAGAAGCAGCCGTTTCTAGAGGCTTCTCATGTTTTAAGTAATTAAGAATTTCCAAAGCCTTCCTTAAAAAAGCTGTGTAAACAAGAAATGGTCTGGGTGCTGTGAAAGAAATTATTTTGCAGTTTGAAGCCACCTGTTTGCCTAAAAGAAGTTTGAATCTCTACATTTTGATGCGATAATTATTTCAACGATGCAAGCGTAATAAAACTTAGCCAGAGACTAATTTTAGCATAATTTAATCAAAAATTAAAATGCTGCTTCAGATATTGAAAACTTACTTTAAAAAAGTTACATTTTAGAGGAGAGTATCTGAATTTTTGACCATATTACCCAATTCGCTCAAGTCAATAAGTGTTTTACAATTTGGTTTAGGTATATGAATACTCTTGGTTATTTTTAGTTCAAATTGGCAGTCCGTTCGAGAGAAAACATCCGTAACAGATATGAGATCAATGCCGAAGGTCGTATAGTAAATCAGTTGCAGACTGCGACTGTGGGCTGATTGTGAATTTTCTATACGCAGTGGACAACCGAAGTCGTATTCAAGTTTTTTGCAAGTTCCTTCTTGAAGGCGCTAAGCGTGTACAGCTCTGCCTACTCGGCACTGCGTATTATGTGACAGACCGATTAAACAGTAATTTTCACTAATAGAAGTTAAAGTATATGGCTTAAGACATCCTTCAGGGTAATGGTATGAATCATTCCCCTAAAACAGAAAATACACTTATACTTTGAGGGAAGATCGCAAGTTTTTCGGCTGTTCAAAAGTTTGATCCGCAAAAGTCCCCAGTTCATTTGAAACTACCATGGATTGGTAACACTTCCTTGCGTTTCGAGAGTCAGATTTGGCAAGCCATCGCAAGATGTTTCTTTGCTGTCAATCCCCGTGTTTTTTGCAGCACTAGAAGAGCCCCTCCAACCAATCAAAAAAGTCCCGTTGTTTATGAATTTACGTGCCAGTGTGATTCTGGCTATGTAGGATCTCAAAGATTGGGGGATAGGAAAAAGCAGCAGCTGATTGGCTCGCGGCACTGATTGGTCAACTATACCGGTATTGTGCTTGGGTTCTACTGATTGGCTTATTTCGATCCACAACTGGGTATATATTTTTCATTGTGTTCTTCGGACCTTTATTCTGACGTTTTATGCTCTGAGGAGTGTCAGACGAAAAAGCTTTTAGCCAATATGTTGTAAAATGTTTGCTTTTTTCAAAACAATTTTCAAAAAAGACACTGCTCAATCAACTGTGTCCAGTCAAATTATCGACGAATTATCTCTGCTATTCCGCAAGGATAGTGTCTAGGCCTATTATTGTTCATATTACAATCAATGCAAATGCAGATTCACTTGAAATAGTACCAGTTGGGAAAATGCAGCCTCTCAAACTCGGTTGTGATTGTGATAGAGTTCTTAAGGGGTGACGTCACAAAAAACAATTTACGAGTTTTTAATTTGGATCTCATAACCTTGAAGAGCATCATGGGAAACGTGCGAAGTCATCTAAATGTGTTTATTAATAAAGTGAAATTTGACCACATAAGCAATAGCTCTTTCCCAATCAAATAAATGTAATTTGGTTTATGTTCATAACTTTATAAAGCAAACAAAAATAACACTAGTCCGTTAGAAGTCTTTCATTGACCGAGTGTCCATATTGAATGGCAAAGTTTCTAGATGTTATTTCTAGATGTTATTAGGCGAGGAGTAGACCAACGACGAGGCACTCAGCACCCAAGTTCCGAAAGTCAGGAATATTTTCATCAAAGAAATAACGATACAAGCTGGAGAGAGATAGTCATTTATTATTTGAAGTATATTTTGTGGAACGTGCTAAAAGCATGATGTGCTTTTAGAGTATCTGGTCAAAAGTAAAAAACTGAAAAAAAACTATTTCTCATTACGTCACACTTTAGAACTCTACTTTCCGATCACATCATTATATTGAATCATTGAACAGCGTGGCTGCCTATGGCTACATTAACCCTGATGCAAAGTAACCAAGTTCGCAGCATGTAGAAAACCCATGTGAGCAACAACCTAGCCTGCATCACAGACCATCAATGAGGAGGAGCATGGTAGGAGTTATGGTTTGTATCGCAGGCTAGCAGCAACCAAGGTTTTTTTTAATACCCGAGCGCAGTTCACCCTGTTAAGGCACGCTAATCTTTACCAATATATTTTGCCAATGAATTTGAATTGGTTGGTGAATCAAATTTGCTTGAATTCAGTATTTGACAGGATGAGAGCAACGGGAAACAGCAATATTTTTAGACATCTTTACCAAGCCCTCCACATTATTTGTTTTTCTTCAATCAAACAGGAGAGTACAACAAGCACAAAAAAGGCACAAGTTCCATTTGACTGCGAGAGATGAACAAAAAAGCTTGAAAGGGACCCACTATTGATAGACTAAAGTATTGTTTCAGTATTACAAAGACTATTAAGCCATAGAAAAACGACATTGATTCAGCGTTCTAATTACAATTTAAATTAATATAAACATATCATATAAAATTAAATGTATTTATAGACAACACAGAAATATATTAATACATTAATGAATTCATTCCATATCATTCAAACTATGAAACCATGAAGAAAATAATCAACCTCAACTTCGGCAAACGTTCGCCATTAGCTGCAAATTTAGGCCCATTTTGAATGACAATCGATAGAATTTGTGTTCGCTTCAATTGCAACATTAAATGCATAAACAAATGCTGCTCAAAGTGGCAAGAAATATTAATCACATAGATTCTAAATCATTTACCTGGGAAAGGATGTAATTCCCTTGCCTTCAGTCATCTTTTATACGTACGTAAGTTTTATCAAGTAAGGAGTTCTTCGTTACCTTGCATTAACAAGTTCAAAGGAGATTGAGAAATACCTTGAATAGATTTCATTTCCCTGCAGAGCATCTTGTAGGTACCACTGGGTCAATGCAAGGTCTTTTGGGAAAATACAAAGCAACTTCAAATGAAGCGAGCGCTACGCTGAGGCATGCGCACAAATTTCTTTCTAGCATTAAGTCTGAAAGTAAACATAAGAGGAATTTTCTGAAAATTTGACTTTCTGGTAATTTTTCTGGCCATGTCTGCAGCTTATCTAGATATTACCAAGATTTGCTGGGCTGGCAAAACCACTTCATCGTATTCTAAATTTCTAGTCAAGGCTAAATCTACTACAATTCATATTCACTCCATTCGGTTGCTAGCAGTAGAACTTGAATCCAGCCTTTATGAAAGAATACTTTCTCCAAAAACCCAATAGCTATAATCTTCGAAAAATGGATACTCTATCTGTTCCCAAGGACAAAACTACAAGTAATGGTATAGAAAAATTAGCTTTTGGGGTCCAACGTTTTGGAATTCTCTTCCAAACGAAATAAAATCATCCAAAAATGCAAGTCAATTAAAAGTTCTTACAAAAGTATTTTGAAAATCAATGCGTCTGTAACACTTGCAGTCAATAACTTCCAAAATGCAATCTCTTAAATTGCTTCATGTTAGTGTTTATTAGTGTTCACACTATTTTCAAACTAACAATAAAAAGGTATTATCATTATTATCATTCCCATTGCATTAAATGTCATTTAGTAAGTCCGACAGAGGTTCAACTCCACTGCCTTCGACGAGGAAAATCATCCCGTTACAAACATCTACAAAAAACTATAAACAGAATAGACTTAAATCAAAAATATATGAATCTCTTTCTAAACTTTAATTAGCGGATAATGAAGCAAATGTGATACGTCAAAAGCCAGTTGATTTAACTGCAACGGACAATGTTCCCACGAAGGGTCATCCTATGCAAATAACTTCTCCAGGCGTCCTTGGGTGATGTTTCAATCAACATTTCAGACGTATCTTGTATTCCTCGATTCTAGTATTTATTTCATCTGAAATGCTGTTAAGGCAAATTTGAGTAATGGAATTACCAGATATTAACTAATAAACAACTGAAAACGTTCTCTGGTTGAAAAAAATACCAGAGCTTTTTTACAGTTGATGTAGACTTCATTTTAAATCTTCAGTCTTGTAAAGGCTGCACACAGACTGTTCTTTCCTCAGAGCAGACAAAAACAACAAGGGTCGTGGTATAAAAAGGGATGTCAAATTGATGCCCTGAGCAGTCTCGGAGGACTTGGAGAAAACAGATAGTTTAGGCCACCTTCAAGCGAAGTGAGCAGAACATTTCCAGCGACCACGTCCTTTAAATGAGCTTAAATTTATTTCAGAATATTCCTTTAAGTCACATTCTTGCAGTCGTTGAAAACATCCAACTATTTTTCAGCCATGCTTTTCTTCCATCTGATTAATTCCATTCTTAAAACTCTTAAAAACTTTGTGAGGCCGTCAGACCTCGAGGCCCTGGGGTAATTTGCCCCCCCCCCTTCTCCGCGGCCCTGACCCTCAAGCCCACAAGGTGGCACAAAAATTTCTCATGTTTTTTGATGATCACATGAAAAGGATACCAGCTTCATCAAAGTTGTCATTATCAACTGCCACCTGTAACTGGCGCTCCAGTTCTACAATTTCAGCCTTTATGTCTTCACCAGTCTCATTTGCTTCAGTTTGTCTTGTTACGTCTTCGTTTGGTGCACCCTGAAAATACAACTTTATTTATAGATATAAAGTAATAAAGAGCCAATGAGCAGAGGGGGGGGGGACAGGAACAGGTAGATTCCTATGAATATTACCTTCCGAAACAACATGTTTTTAACAGTGATTAAGAAACACAAATAATAGAAAACATCTTATCGTATACAATTTCCCTGTAAATCAAAGAACTTTTTCAAAGTGATGGAAATTTCTTGTAAATCACACATTCTATGGTAAGATATTCGAATCTAAGTAAAAATATATTTGACTAGATTTATGCGTCCGAAACTTTGCTTTGCCTCAAGACTATGAATGATATTTCATCCGAGTTTATAACATAGTCAATAGAAAAACATACGAACTATGACCAAATTCTATTGACTAGAGTCATAAATAATCCTTGAAAATAAGGTTATGTTTCTCGAGCTATAAATCCGAGGGGCAATTCCTTCTTGCAAAAAGCGTACGAGATTTTCCCAAAAACAAAAGGATTTCTGGGGATTTTCAGCTATAACAATGGGATTTTCACAAAAGGTGTGCGAGATTTTTGTAGGGTGACTTGCCCCTCGTATCGATCTTGATGAAATGCGACAAAATCAGTGCCCTTGGATGCAGGACAAATTTGAGGGAAAATAGCGATTTGATCATGGTAATTAATCATTTCGTTTTGATGAGGAGCGTTGTAATCACAGGGGAAAACGGCCCTGACACTTTTATGTTGAATATATGCTGGTACTCAAATGCAGAGGCACCGGAAGCTTCACGATGCGGCGGGGGCATGAACTGCAGAAAGGACATTTTGGGGTGTCAAAATTTGCTGAAGAAACAATTCGGAAATCATCGTTTAGCCAATGACGAAGCCTGGTTGTAGGTGAAAGGCCTGTCAAGAGAGAAAGGGTCGGCTCTCTGGGGGCGTGGCCCCCAGGAAAATTTTGCGTTGTTACGTCCTAAAGAATCTCAGAAATGGGGGCAACACCCAAAAATACATTTGAATCAAGACTACAGTCAAGTTTCATTCTCGAAATTTCTTTCACCACAACATCAACCATCAAGGGAGGCTGGACCCTATTCTACCTTACATAAAAACAAAATTTTGTTCTAATGACCATCTACATGGCTTGATATAACTTTTGGATATAACTCTTCTGAACTACTACTGTCTTTTTCTATCTATATTCAAAGTTGGTACAACATGCAGCTATATTCAAGCTAAATTAAAGCCAATTAATTTAAATTACCAACGCTAAATAAAATATAATCAAATATAACTGATGTTGCATACATATTCCTTGCAAAGGTCACAAGTATACAATTGCACGACTACAATTCAGAGATTTTTTCGCTAATTTTTGTAACTCTGGGGAGTACGTATTTCGTTTGGGACTGAGTTCCATATTTGGCTTGATCTGTTTGACAAGGATAAGGAAACATATCATTATATTATTGATAAAAGGCTATGTACATAAAGCCTGGCCAGAGTGACATAGATATAATTTTCTGGCTTAGTTGTGTGCAGTGCCGCCGAAAGGTTTCGGAGGCCTTGCGGCAGAATGGAGGAGACCCTTTGCGAGCGAAGCGAGCAGAAACATTTTGGCGAAAAAGCCCTTTTTATTACCTAATGATTCATTTCAGAATAATTTTTGCCGTCACCTTCTTGCAAAGATTTAAAAATTTGTACAACTTTGTTATGTCGATTACTAATTGCTTTCACAAACTGGGAAGCCCCGAGAGCGCCCTAAACCTCAGGCTCAAGGCCAATTTTCAGTCGCTACCACCTTTCGGTAACCCAGGGCCGGCGAAACGTATTTGAAAATAGAGGGGTCAAAATATCAAAGTCTTGAAAGAGTTCAGAAAAGGCCACCACCATGGTTGTTGGCAAGAAAAATTTCAGAATTATGGTGTCTTATGGATGGCCAGAAATTGTATCTAAAATGAACTTTGACTGAAGGTGTCACATCTATTGTGATGTTGACTTGAAATAGAAAAGTTTTGCAAAGTTTTAGAATAACCACTATCATATGGCTCGTAATGAAACCATTTTTAGATTTTACAAGTACCCGAAATAAGATGGGGGTGAAAAATAAATGAAACACGGATTAATAAAAAACATTAACGTTGAAATATCAATAGAAGAACTTTCAACTAAAAATATAAAGTTAAGCAATTTTGTACAGTTAAGATATAACTTTGTAAAATCTGATCTTAACTTTTTCGGAAATTAAGTGCTTTAACAAAAATTTGAAAAACCTTCAAACTGGGCTTGACAAAATGAGTTTAAATAGAATTTATAATTGCGTCGATATTTTCTTTTTCTTAGTAGAAATGGATAATCGAAACGATCAAACTCTGAAGCTTTTTTGATGATACTTTTTAAGAGCAAATTTGCCCATACTTTATTTCTCATATCCTCAAAAAAGTTCTTTCCAGCTGTTTCTTTTCCTTCATCAGCTGATTTCTCGCTTTTTGTAATGTTTCTGAGAAAGTTTTCGTTAACAAATAGACCTTTTGTGCCAAGTTTAGGCAACGTAGAAGACGAAACTCCGTCAATTTGTGCTGGCACCAAGTTATTCTGGACTAGGTTTCTCGATCTATTTGCTAAGCTAAGTTGTTACTCGTTGTAAAACTTAGACAATGACCGATTTCTTCAATCTAATTCCCATATTCAATTTTATGTTTGTCTTCTATGATAAAGACATAGCAACCAAGGTAAAACTAAGGACATATCTAAGAGAATACAAGGCAAGTTACTTACAGAATCATATACTACATTTATTTCCACTTTTGCCTAAAACTTTTTTTTTAGTTCTGTAAAAAGGTTGGGGACCCCCCGGTTTCGCCGGCCATGTAACCTTTATTGTAAGCTTGTTTTTGGTGTTTCTAAAAGCAGATCGAAAAGAAACATTTAGATCATCACCCAAAAAAAATTACCTCTTTGCTCATTTCATATAACACCTAGGCTGGTGAGCTGCAAAGGAGCAGACAAACTAAATTTTGGAAAAAAGGGGGTACGTGCCCACTGTGTGTCCCCCGGTTCCTATGCTTTCGCTTGAATTTAAGATATCATTGATGCCTTGACTCTCATATCGAACATATGCAAACCAAGGTTGGTAGCAATTTGAAATTCATTCATTTCATTCGTTCATTTTTAATTATTTACACAGGGTAAAGCCATCAACTACATACATAAATTGCTTTCCAAGCTGCCCTGTACAAAGGAAACGATAAACGCTAAAATTTAAAATACAGATATATAAATATACAGATTAGAATAACAAAGTAAAAGCTATTAAAATACTGGAACTAGCGCCAGGGATAAAAAGGGTCCCTTTATGTTCTGGAGTTTTCGAGATAACATTTTACTTGTTTGAAATGTTTTGTTGATTTAGATTTTGCGTCCAGGCCATTCCATAGTTTTGCCCCTCTAAAAGAATTGCATTTTTGGCCACATGCTGTTCGTAGAAACGGGACACAAAGATCGGTTTCGGTGTTTAGAAAGGTACGAAATCTGTTCAGAATGATCATGAAAGTTAAAGAGAACTTATCAACGAAATTATTTTTGTTGGTCAAATTGCTTTGCAAATCGATTTTCAGTTCTCATCAATATTTACTTTTGCCTTGCATGTAGTTATCAAGAGATGCTTGAAACCTATATTTTATTAGCATTCAAAATATTTATATGAATTAATATTCCTCTGAAATCAATTTCTTGAAAAGGGCACTTTGCTGCCCCCGTGATGTCCCCGCACCACTAGGGCGCCGCCATGGCAACCTACCCGCGTGAGACACAAGTCTTTGTTTTTAACAATGCATGAGTGATACTTGAGTGATACAAGAGACGCGCGCGCATAGTACCTGTCAGAGGAACCACCTGTTTTGGTTTCTGAGAAGTAAGAATTTGCTCATAGGAAGTCTAAATTTGACGTTGGAAGTGCCATTCACGTGGCCTTTATACAAAAGAGTTGTTAATCTGCTTCACCAGAAGGCAATTTCTAATAATATTACTGAATATTTCGTAATCTATTTAATAATACACAGGAATTATTGTCCAAGTGTACAAGCTGTGGTTTTAGGGGCAGCGGGGAGACAGCGGGTGTTAGGGATACACTTTGTTTTACATAAGCAACCAGTTGATAAGCAATCAGGTGTGAGCTAGATAAAATTTTAGCAACTTGAGGGCTCGTCGACAAAGCTGTAACTTCAATTTTTAATTTCTTCAATTAAAAAGTTTGAGAAAAATCAATTATCTAACATTCATGTCGCATTTTGTTATCGTTTCTTGCTACCTTGGATTCCTTATGACACATGAATTTATTTGTGACAACATTGAAAAGATTCTTTCAAAACTAAGTTCAAGTTTACTTATTAAGTGGGCTGGTACCTGTTTTTCCGCGTGAAGAAAGTTTAGCCGGTCATAAGAAGCTTCGAGGGATGAAACCGCAGATAATTTAAGCATCTTTTGTTTTTTATAAAAAATGCAAATCACCATAGCATATCTTTCATTCTAACAATGATTCTGAAGCTTGTAATCTTATTTCTGGCAGTTTCAAGTTTTCTTATCACCTGTTGTACGTCGTTGTCATGTTTAAAAATCACAGGGAATACAGATCTAGAATTATTGAAACTTAACCAAATACTGCATATAGTAAAAGATGAATGTTTTCAAGAAAAAAGAATTCATCTAGCTTGAAATTTTGAAATCTTTTTAGATAAATTTACTTCTCCAAAATGACCTGACAAAACTTGGAAAATCCCGAGAATCGATTCTTCTGACTGGTTCCTACTAAAAATTCCGTAGATTACTTTATTTCACTTTCAAGAAACTTTCACTACAAATTCAGGAGATTTTACACACTTCAGTTAGGCTTCATTAGGCTTCTGAAGGATGTACAAGCAAACGAGGAAGGAAATTATGCCAATCAAGTGACAGGGGAACTACCCTAGGTACCAGACTCACTCTATATAAAATTTTATATAAAGTGAATCTGGTACCCAGGGTGGTATGCAGTGGTGGACCTTGACCTTCTTGACCACACGTGATGTACATTAAAAAAATTACTGCCCCTATCTTAGCTACCCCCAAAAACAAATAGTTGTACTGAAAAACTAACAGAGGCAGACGAAGGAAGAATTTCAAAGTGTTGAGGGTAAATTTAGGCAAACTGTCAATAGCTACTTCATCTCCGTTTCTGAAAAGTTGGGGGCGGGGGGTGGGCATGTGTTCCCCTGTGACTTTGGGTTCTGTGCCTATGTCTTCAGATACACCTCGGACCGTTGGAATGTTGCTCAACAAGCTTTTGGTCTTTTATGTGAAAAACAAGAGCATTCCTGTACTGCAAAACGCCGAACTGTTTTAACGTGCATTCATAATTGGCAAAGAACACCAGGGGGGGGGGGGATGATCAAGAAAATCCTCCTAAAATCTTTAAAAATCTTTTTGTTTTAAAAAGTCTAATTTGCAGTTTGTAGGAACGATATACTCTTCAAAGGATACTTGACAAACGAAAAAGATACTTGAAAGTGATGAGGTCTAGTCACTGTCACTTTTCAAATCGATTCAAGAAAGTCGGAGAGAGTTCGAATGCAAGCACGTTTATAACCTACAATTGTTTCTCCATCAAGCATTTTCCATAAGCTTAAACAAAACAGTTTAAACGCTGATGTTCAAGAATATGAAATTACAGCTTTCTGAGCGAAGAAATACCAAAAATGATTATCTAGAAACACGAAAAAATAAAAATGATAAAAACATGTAAAAAGATGGGGTTGGTAAGAAAACTTTGGTAAGAAAGTTACAATGGCTGCATTGGTTAAATATGCAGAAAATCAGTGAAGCAGAACGTTATATATGTGTCTGGTCTATCTAACTAAACAAAATATGTACTAAAAGACGACAAACGGCTGCAAATTATGACAAAACAAAAAAGATAAATGCAGATTGGTAAAATTCTTGTAAAACACAGCATTCGAGTGAGTGAGATCACTGAGTTTTTGCGACTCAGGCTACGAGATTACCGGATGAATGACTCGAGCTAATATTTATTTCTGAGAAAACTTATTTTGCCGGGAACAATAAGTTCACCGCAATGAGACCTGCAGGGACAGATGTGGCCTGCCGCCCAGCAGCGCAGACGTGTAGCCGACACTCGTAACCAGACGGTAAAGAAAAGACCGTTCTTCTCCAGTTTGGAAGGCAAAAAGCTCAATATTCGTCAGATTTGGTAAGTCAGCAAATTAACATATGAAGCTGATACATATTTCTTGAGGAGCTTTTCATGCATTAGATTTCAAAATGGCTAGACATTTAGTGTTAAGGTAATTCTCTTGAAAAGCAAAGTATCTTGAATGTATGTTGAAATCTAGGTCATAAGATAATAAAAACTAACGCAATTGAAGCAAGTAACAAAATTCAGAATTATGAGCTATAATTCGGAGGTTGATGCAAATTAAAAAGCAAGATCTGCAAACTAGAAAAGGACAGAATTACACGAGAAGGTGCTTTAAATATTTGTAAGGTTACGCGAGAACTGCATTCTGAAAACTCAGCTTTTATTATAGATTTTAAGCACATCAGCGTTTAGAATTTTAAACAGACAGGAATATGCTAAGGTTGCTTCGATAAAAAATTTTATCACAAATATTATTTATTATGAATTATTTCTTGAAGCAACGCGCGTAGAGCAAGTCATGTCCCTCTCCAGGTATTTCGGTAAACGGCAAAGTTTCCACAAATGCTGTGAATATAACTTTTACTCGAGTTTGGCATTTCACATCAAAGCTGTTTTCTTTATCATTTTGCAGAGCCTTTTCCAACGCGCTAGAAAGTATGAATGTTAGTTTCTTCGTTGAATTTCTCGAAATACAAAACTCTAACGATGGGGTCTCAAGAAACCTAAAATATCACTTATGCCCAAACTGGAGGCATCACTGGTTTTCCGTTTACTGTAACCTACTAACATTTTCAAGAATGGTGAGGATACAAGGAAAATCGGGTTGTTCATGCGGTGGTGCGGGCAGGACTAGAAAAAGCTCACCAAAAAACAACTGGCTACACACGAATCAAAATTCCTGTGAAAAATTTTAACTCTTTCACGGCTTCCTCACGAAAAAAACATTGAAATTTATTTTTTGAGAATTTTTCATAAAAGGGGTTTCACCTCGAGAAAACGAAAATTCCGCTTACGAATCGTTTAAGAAAATTAATTAAAACTGCCGGTTTGGAATTTCAAGTCTCTAATTTCGCGGCATTAGGGATTTTCCAAATGTACCAAATATATAGATGCAGCAATGATAAAGTTTGATTTGGTTTTCGTAATTCCAAAAGAAATTGAAAAAAATTCATGTTCAGAGATGAAAATACGTTATGTAACTCGAAAGAATTATAACAACACTATTGGTGTGGCCGAACAGTTTGTAGAACACAAATTACAAAAGCTCCATTACTCTCTCCTACGACGTGGCATCTTTCTTGATTTCTTAGAAATCAAACTTGCGTTGTTATAAAGAGAAAGAGAGCTTCGTTTGCTCTCCATTTAAGTAGGTCAAATTTCTTCTTGGAAAACAACGGCTGACTAAGATCCACTCATTGTGAAAACATTAGGTGATTCAGACCTGTATTTTGGAGGGGGGCACACATTCTTAAAAAGATAGTTTGAAATTGGTATGGAAGCAGCAGCCACAATAGATGAACAGAAAAATAGAGAAGAAAAATCTTCTTACCAAATCAAACCTGCAGATCAAGTTGATAAATCGATCGTCTACAAACAAAGTGGTCACTATAACAACAACCAAATTTGCAACTAGTATCATTCATAGGTTTGGCAAAGTTGGCTGGTTTGGGGGGGGGGTGGGGGCATCCAAAACCGGGGTCAAAGATAGTTGTAGAGGAAAACTATATTCACATATGCGCATTAGGCCCTTCATTACAGAATCTAAAAATCGTTTTCTGAAAACATCGGGAATACAAGAAGATCAAATACCATTTCCAAACATAATGTTATGAAATAAAGACACCGTTAACAAAGTGCAAAATCCATTATTTTTCCTTCTGTATGAAAAAGTAAAAACACATGCAGAAATATTGTAGAATTTTCAGAAACGGTATCTCCCAACGGCCCAGCTTATTATTTTTTCAATCGCAGAACAAAACAAAGTTGCCAGGGTATCATTTTACAGGCACTGCGGAGAAAAGGGGCTGAGCCCCCCACTTTTGCCAGAAATGAAACAAATTACCGCTGAATCATCAGTCAAGCCACTTTTTATTCGGTTTTAGCCCCCCCCTACTTGTTTCAGATCCCCACTTTTTTCAATGTTCCGCGGTGCCTCTTTTATATGTACCCCAAGCCAATTACAAAAGTTTCGCATACGCGGAAGTAAGTCAAGAACAAGGAATTAAAAACATCCACGTGGGTTGTAAATGACACATCCTCCAAACTGTTGACTCACTGCAATGTCATCCTCTAGATAGCGTAATAACGATAGCGAGGAACACAGTTAGTTCCTCATACATCGGGATCAGGTCGCAATAAACGAGTAAGTGAAATTTATTTTAACAACAAGGGATTCTAAGAAATTATAATTTGTGAACCTCGTGTTTAGTTTGTAGACATATAATATTCGAGGAAGTTATTTGTTTCGACGAAAAGCAAGCTTAGGAACGAATATATTTCTGTTTCTTAGAGTAGGAAGCCCAGGAAGTAGTTCTAAATCTTCTTCTTGTATGTTTTTGGTTTGCATGTTTTCCAAGTTAAGACTTTGTTCAATCCTCATTTACTAATCTGAACGACTTTGAGATTGAATTTTACATCTTTTATCGTGTAATCAATAATCAAAATTTCAGTGAACTGAAACTAAAGTGCAAAAGAACGGTTTTTTATCTTACAACAAAAAACTAGCTTAAAATTATTTTTGGCTTTTTATTTAGACACAAGACTACTTAATAAAAGACAAAGTTCTAAATTGCTTTTAGAATGAATTTAGGACGATCCTTTAGCCAGGCGAATTGATAACATAGGCACAGACTTAAAGGGGGCTCCGGGGCTTGAGCCCCTCCTTGCGAAAATGAACATGAACAATATTTAACCCGGCAATTTGTTAAATATTATGGGAAAGATAAGCCATTTCCTGGCACAGCTAGACCTAACTTTCACTAGGGCCCAGTGGCGGCACCAGCTACTGCAAAGTGGGAGGGTAATGTGCGTGGCCAGTGAGACCAAGCCTCATTTCAGTGCTTTGTTTCTAAGCTATTTTTGTCTATTTGATTATTTCATCTTCATATTTTTAAAACAAAATCCAAGTTAATGCAAAGATTAATGACACAAAACATTCCCCTAGGAGACTTTTAAACGAGATGCCCACAGCCAGTAATCCAAAAAAATATCTTTGTTCTGTTGCATTCCAATTTAAAGCCAGCGAATAAAAACAGGTAAAACCAGTTTTCTTTTAAGCCTCGTAATACCCGTATATCATTGCCACAGGCGGTTATATTGGTTCGACCTAATTTCGAGTTTTCTTGAAATTTTTATACACAAGACAGGGTTTTCAACCTGCTTGCTTCTTCATTGGAATTTCAGGTTTTCATAGAACAAAGCAAAGCAGATGAATTGAAATTTTGCGCTTGGATTTAGATGAACGCAAATCTCCACCGCACTAGGAGCACAGTTGACCTCGTTCCTGCCGCACCTCGTTCTTGTTCCTTCTCACTATAGTCTGAAGCCTACCCTCCCGCTCGGCAAACCACAACCAATTTGCATGTTAGGATATATTGTAGGTTTGGGAAAAATATTGGAATGAACTCGAGGCAAGATAACGTGCTAGGTGTACGGGCTCTTTTTTGGATATACCTGCTGCATTACTTGCTAAACGAGAATCGCGCATATAACCTTGCTCATTTTTTTGCAGAAATGACTGGTCACTTAACAGGACAAGTTGGTGGGCACGTCCCAAATGTGCATAGAAAAAAGATCGAGACAGTTGAAGACTGTATGCAGCTAATGCAACATATTTCGTTTTGTGAATCTTCAGCATGCACTGTTAAAGGGTGCCAAAGAATGAAGAAAGTTTTATGGCACGCGAAGAACTGCAAGAGAAAGATGCAATGCAAACTATGCAGACAAGTTATTCGGATTTGCGTTTTGCATGCTAGAGCATGCCTTACTCCAAACTGCAAAGTCGTATTCTGTAGTATGATTCGTGCACGAATGGTACAACGACAGAGGAGTCTGGCAACTGGCGCTGCAACCCAGACCTCCTCATCTCAATTAAATGAGATAACTCACAACATGGTAAACGCTGCCAGTCAAACCACCCATCAGACCCGAAATTTTTTCTTTCAACCACAACAAAATCTACCTCCAATGCAACGGTCCTTTTCTGCTGGTCCCGAGCCAATTGCCACTGCAAATTTGGTGCTGATCAGTCGATCGACGTCCCTGAACACGAACGATTGCATTGCACCCGAGACTGTAGGTTCAGAAGGAGGTCTTTTTCTGACAGAGAATCCTGTACTAAATGCCAGACAGGGTTTCAGGTTTGAGAAAGATCTATCAGTGAAGTACAGTAGAATGGACATTTCCAAACAATGACATCACAAGGTTCAAACCAAGTGGAATGTGAACAGGCAGGGTTTTAGGTTTGAGAAAGATCTATCAGTGAAGTACAGTAGAATGGACATTTCCAAACAATGACATCACAAGGTTCAAACACAAGTGGAATGTGAACAGACAGGGTTTCAGGTTTGAGAAAGATCTTTCAGTGAAGTACAGCAGAATGGACATTTCCAAACAATGACATCACAAGGTTCAAACCAAGTGGAATGTGAACAGGCTGCTTCATGCACTAGCTCCAATATCCTTTAACTAGATTAATCTAGAAATTCGAGAAACCTTTTCTTATGTCAAACGAGTCTTTAAATGACGTCAAGATATTCTTAAGATCGCGTGGTTCAATCTTTTGCCACTCTCAATGTCCCAACTCATCAACTTCTGTCCCAAATCATCCACTACTGACGATGCATTATTGCAAAGATACACATCAAAATCGCAAGCTTTATTCAAAAGTTTTGAATTTATTCTTTAGTGTCAGGATAGCTAAGCAAACAGTTGGCAGTGGACTAGAGAAATTCCATTGAAGAAAACTATAAATGGCTTCAAGGCTTTAGGCCAAACGCACAGAATCCTCACCCCGTCTCTTTCTAGCATAATAAAAGCTTTCCACATCACATTACATTCCCTACTTGATCTGATACCTAAACTTTAAAATCTTACACGTTTTTATTTTAGAAAAGCATATTGCATTTGGCTTTAAGTTTTGCATTGTATATATTTTTACTTGTTATATGTTACTTCATTAAACGCCATTAAATGATTGATAAATCAGTTTGTTAGTATAGATAGGATGGTTATCTCACAGATAGTGGTTTACGTTTCATGTGAAATGTTGCCAGTTTCCTAGATGTTTTATATAATCTAGATTATTGGGAGTTTCAAATACGAGCCTGAACTTTTTTCTTAAAACGTTTTTAAATCTGATATGGTTTCAGAGGAACATCGTCTGCCCCGAATAGATACCAAGCATTTTGAGTAAACGAAAAAGGTTGAAAATGAGACCAGGAATATGCGAGCTGGGGCTGAGCAATATTCTTATAATATTCTTTAAAATTGAATGATTCTGTTCCTGAATATTCTTATAAACAATTGACAGGCACCGCGGAGCGATTAGAAAAATGGGAGGTGGTCTAGAAAGTTGGGGGGGGGGCTAAAACCAAATAAAAAGAGGCCTGACTATGACTGGTGGTTTTTTTAATTTTCTGAATTTTTAGCAAAAAGTGGGGGAACCTAGCCTCCTAGCCCCAGCCCTCTCCGCAGTGCCTGCAATATTCGTATAAAAAGAAGTCTACACACAAGCTGACAAAACTATCACACAGATTCGGTCAGAGGAAATAAGCAGTCAGTCAGAAATTATCCTATTTGTCAAACATTTCGCTTAAAATTTGGCCTTAAAATAAAGGTACTCCAGTACTGATAGAAGAAAAAATTAAAATAAATCCTCTTTTTACGAGGGGTATATCATTCCCTGAAAATCATGTAAACATTTTGTGGAAATCCTTTTGTTTATCTAAAAAAATTCCTTGGAAATCCTTTTTTCTGATTGAAATCTCGCTTTTCTACTATTTATCTTCCCTGTTCCAAAGATATTCTTTTAGCAGTTATGAACATCCATTTCTTGACAGGAAACATATTTTGTTGTTCGTCCGAATTCGATGAGAAAATGAGGGGGGAGGGGGAGGGGTAATATATTGGCATGTTCTTATATTTGTGACGTGATTCTCAGATTTGATAACTTCCTCTACATAGCCCAGCGTATGTCATGGACGTTTGCAATTGGTAAAGTTAGAGTTTCCTGTTGATAGAAGGGCGTTTCCCGACAGGAAAAAGGGCGTGTCATATATTTTTAGTTGTGCCTCCTCTTCGAAGCCTAGAGGCTAGCGCCGCCACTGGAAGGAAAGTGGGAGAAAATGGAGAGAAGTAGCAGGTAGAATATCACTCTAATCCCACACTGTACAAGATTTTCTTACATTAATAGGATTTTTGGGAATTAAGGGGGATTTTTCTCGAATAAAAAAGGATTTTTGCCAAGGGAATTTTTTGGGAGTGATATGCTACTGGAGAAGAAAAATCAAAAGGAGTATAAATTAAAGCCCCGTTAAATTCATTTCTGCGTAGATTTCTCATCCGTTATTAAATATCTAGAGTCAAATTAACGTCCAATAATTTCATCCCACTTTAATTTTCTAAGTAACTTTTCAAAACCTTTTAAAATAGCTACATTTTACGATTATGTCTGAAAAAATGATTATACCTGAAAAAAGAGGACATTAGAAAACATCGAAAATGGAAGGACCGGAAGGTAGTCACAACTTTTTCTAGTTTTGAGTTAGGTACAAGAGTAACTAAAAATACTTTTTATAACATATATATCCAATAATATAACATATATATCCAAGAATATAACATATATATCCAAGAATATAACATATAACATATCCAAGAATATAACATATATATATCCAAGAATATAACATATATATCCAAAAACCTAGCATATAACATAAAAAATATCCAAGAATAAGAATATAACATATATATATCCAAGAATATAACATATATATCCAAAAACCCAACATATAACATAAAAAATATCCAAGAATATAACATATATATATCCAAGAATATAACATATATATATCCAAGAATATAACATATATATCTAAAAACCTAACATATAACATAAAAAATATCCAAGAATATAACATATATATATCCAAGAATATAACATATATATCCAAAAACCTAACATATAACATAAAACATATCCAAGAATATAACATATATATATCCAAGAATATAACATATATATATCCAAGAATATAACATATATATATCCAGGAATATAACATATATATCCAAAAACCTAACATATAACATAAAACATATCCAAGAATATAACATATATATATCCAAGAATATAACATATATATATCCAAGAATATAACATATATATCCAAAAATATAACATATATATCCAAAAATATAACATATATATCCAAGAATATAACATATAACATATCCAAGAATATAACATATATATCTAAAAACCTAACATATAACATAAAAAATATCCAAGAATATAACATATATATATCCAAGAATATAACATATATATCCAAAAACCTAACATATAACATAAAAAATATCCAAGAATATAACATATATATATCCAAGAATATAACATATATATACCGAAATATAAATATATATAATCCAAGAATATAACATATATATCCAAGAATATACATTATATATGCATAAAACCTAATATATAACATAACAATATCCAGGATAACTATAACATTCAATATTATATACCAAAGAATATAACATATATATCCAAAAACCTAAGATATAAACATAAAAAAATATCCAAGAAATATAACATATAAATATATCCAAGAAATATAACATATATATATCCAAGAATTATAACAACATATATATATATCCAAGAATATAACATATATATATCCAAAAATAATATTAAGTCCAAGAATATAACATATATATATCAGATATAACATATATATCCAAAAACTAACATATAAAATAAAAAATATCCAAGAAATATAACATATATATATCCAAGAATATAACATATATATATCCAAAGAATATAACATATATATAGTTATACCAAGAATAACTAATATAATATATCCAAGAATATAACTATATACCATATCCAGAAATATAACAATATATATATCCAAGAATATATAACATATAATATATCCAAGAATATAACATATATATCCAAGAATATAACATATAACATATTCCAAGAATATAACATATATGTATCAAGAATATAACTATATTATCCAAAAACCTAACATATAAATAAAAAATATCCAGAATATAATAATATATCCAAGAATAATATACAATATGTACCAAAGAATATAATATTATATATCCAAAAACCTAACATATAACATAAAAAAAATATCCAAACATAATAAGCAATTATATATCCAAGATATAATCAATATATATGCCAAGAATATAACATATATATCCCAATATAAATCCAAGAATATAATATTAATATATCCAAGAATATAACAATATAAAAATATCCAAGAATATAACATATATATATCCAAGAATATAACATATATATCAAGAATAATACATATTACCAAAACCAATAAATATATAACTTAAAAAATACCAAGATAATAAATATAAATATACCAAGATATATAAATAATACTATCCAAAAACCTAAATATATAACATAAAAAATATCCAAGAAATATAACATATTATATATCCAAGAATATAACATATATTATAATCCAAGAATATAACATATAATATATCCAAGAATATAACATATAAACATATCCAAGAATATAACATATATATAAATCAAGATAATACATTATATATCCAAGAAATAACATATATATATCCAGAATATAACATATATATCCAAAACTAATATAAACATAAATATCCAAGAATATAACATATATATATCCAGAATATAACAATATATATCAAGAATATAAACATAATATATATAGCCATACGAATATAACATAATAAAATATCCTCAAGATATAAACATATATATATCCAAGATATATACATCATATGATATTCCAAGAATATAACATATTATATATCCAGAATATAACTATATATATCCAAGAATATAACATATATATCCAGAAACCTAACATATATATTAACATAAAAAAATATCCAGAATAAACATATATATATCCAGAATAAAATATATACCAAGAATATAACATATAACATATCCAGAATTAACATATATATATCCAAGAATATAACTATATATATCCAAGAATATAACATATATTAATCCAAGAATATAACATATATATCCAAAAATAATATATACATATCAAGAATATAACATATATATATCCAAGAATATACATATATATCCAGAAAACCTAATATATAACATATAAAAAATATCCAGAATATAACATATATATATCAGAAATACATATATAATCCAAGAAATATAAAATATATCAAAAAACCTAACATATAAAATAAAATATATCCAAGAAATATAAACCATATATATATCCAAAATATAAATATATTATCCAAGATATACTATATACAAACATATTAACAAAAACAAGATATAACATATATATAATCAAGAAATTAATATATATATCCAAGAATACATTACCATCCAAGATTATATTATATCCAAGAATATAACATATATATCCAAGAATATAAAATATATCCAAAACCTAATATATAACAATAAAAATATCCAAGCAATATAACATTTATATTTCCAGAAATAATTCGAATATAACATCCTATATAATACCAAACCTAAATAATAAACATAAAAAAATATCCAAGAATTATAATATATATTATACCAAGGAATATAACATATAATATCCAAGAATTACTATATAATCCATACATATAACATATCCAAGAATTATAAATTATATATCCAAAAAAAAACATATATCATATAAAATTAAATATATATCCAAGAATATAACATATATATCCATCAACGAATATAACATAATAATATACCACAAGAATATAACACATATATATTCCAAGAATATAACATATATAATCCACAAAACATTAATATCAATATAATTACATATCCAAGAAAACCTTATATACCTAAGAAATCTATAACCAGAATATAATTGATATATTTCCAAGAAATATAACTATATATATCCAAGAATATAAACTAATATTATCCAAAAAATAATACTATATAAATCAAAATCGAATAACATATTAAATATCCAAGATACATTTATACCAAACATATAACATATAAAAATTCCAAGAATTATAAATTATATATCCAAGAATATAACATATTATACAAGAATATAAACATATATATCCAAGAATATAACTATTATATCCACAAAACCTAAATATAACATAAAAAATTCCAAGAATATAACATAACCAGAATAATATATATCCAAAACCTAAATTATACATAAATTCATAACATATTTACCAAGAATATACATATATATATTCCAAGAAGATAAACAATATATCCAAAAACCCTAACATATAAACATAAAAAATATCCAAGAATATAACATATATAATCCAAGATATAACATATATATATCCAAGAATTATTACATAATATATCCAAGATATACATATATATCCCAAAACCTAATATATAACATAAATATCCAAGATATAATATATATACTCCAGAATATAAACAATACTATATATCAAAGATATAACATATATATCCAAGAAATATAACATATATATCCAAAACACTAATATATAACAAAAAATAAATGCCAAGTAATACTAATATATATATCACCAGAATATAAACATATATATATCCAAGATATAACATATTATCCAAGAATATAACATATATATTCCAAAAAACCTAATATATACATAAAATATCCCAAGAATTAACATAATATATAATCCAAGAATATAACAATATATATATCTCTAAGAATTATAGTGACATATTTTAGTAATATCCAAGAATATAAACATATAATCCAAAAACCTGAATATATAAATGAAAAAATATCCAAGAACATTAAACAATATTATATCCATAGAATATAACATATATAATCCAAGAATTCCCGTTTTCGACTGTTTTCCGTCTGCAGAATTCCCATTTGGTCGTCGTCATCTTCATCTGCTTACATCCTAGTAGCTTTTTTTTCGAGTCATCCAAAAACTCTCTGTATCAAGGGGAAAGACTCGACCTCTTTCAAAAGCCCTCAAAAATTGAACATGATTTTCAGGCTCTGTCCACTCGAAAATGATATAAATTTTGTGAATTCTAAAATCCACTCTAAACGCTGAGTTTTTTTATCATTTCTTTGTGTTTTTCCACGTACTATGAAAATACTAAAGTTGATTTTGAATAAAGAAAGTGTTATGCTGAACATTGAAAAGTTCGCGTTAAAAAATACATCGGAATATTTTAAATTTCGTGGTTGGACGTGTAATTACTTGTTGCGCAATCCGAACAATCTGCTATTGGTGCGATCTACCAATGATTGAATGATCGCATTAACTTGGTTCGCACGTTATTTAAGGTTGAAAAAAAAAATAGGCAAAAGGGTAAATCCCCCATTTGGCGAATAAACACAAAAGAAAGAGCAATGAGGAGTTTCTCGAAAGTCCGACAAAAACCACAGAGTAATAGAAAATGAACGAAAACCCACACAGCGGCCTTTTTTACCCAGCCACAAACTTGAAAAAAGCCGCCAAGCGGAGAGACCTCAAATGTGAATAAAACGAGAATCACAATGCGATTGAAAATTTCTAACTGAGCTCCATACCAGTTAATCTTCTGGTGTTTCAAATGAGTCAGAGTTTTTATCTGGCTCATATTCAAGAAAAAGAACAATGTCCAGCAAGCTTTCGAAAATGCCGGATAGAGTTTCCGTGCAAGCCAAAATAACAACTCTCCTTGCGGAAGACAATTCTAGAGGGAATACTGAGTATAACAGCTGGCCTCGCGAATCACTTTTGTGATATAGTTAAGAATAAATAACATTTCCATAAAGCTAATATTATGATTTGACTTATTGTCCTGAAAGCCCCAGAGGCTGAAACCCCATGCATCTAAACCCCAATTGCATCTACAAAATAGATTTTGCGACAATGGTGGAGCGTGCTTTTGGTTATTTTGGACATCTGGAGGTGCTTTGTCAGCGAATTTTTCAAAATTTTCGGCAAATGAAGGTTGGGTCACTCATGCCTGAACACTCCCGTTGAGCACTTGCTAGCGATTTCGCTGTTGAAACCATAATAATTTAAGAATAAAGTAAGAACAATTTACTGGCTCTTTGAGAAAAAAGAGTGTCTTCGCCAAGGCATTGTGAAGGATTTAGCAGATTCTATTACAGTGTAATCAGAAACGGGAAGGGGGGATAGTGTCGTTACTTTTCACATAAAAAAAGGAATTTTCCTTCAACGACACCAGTGAAATCATTATGAGGGAGTGGAGAAAATACTTTGACTGCACTTTGGGAGAACATATAAAGGTGATCGGGGTTGGGGACACACCAAAGAGGCAAACAGAAGTGTCATCGATGGAACAAGAAAAGTTTGACTAGGAAATATTTATCTCAAAACTGAACTTTCAAAAAAAAGTAGAAAAAACATGTCTTTCTCTTTTGCTAAATTGTTGTTTTTGAATTATTCCTTAGTTATTTCAGCATTTCTTAATTTATTTTTAGCTGATTCTTCTTGAATTTTATCTAGAATGGATTGATGAGCAAAAGAAACTGAGACCTAACAAAAATAAAACTCAACCAAAAAACAGACAATTTAAAATAGAGACATGACAGATAAAGCAGCATATTTTCAAGAGCCACTCTTTCCTCTTTCGAAAGTCTCTGCGATTTACGATACGAAACCTTACTGTGTTCCTGTAATGCCATACTCTACCGCAGCAGTGAAAGCGACAAACAAGCACTTTTAGTAGCCAGGGGAACCCGAAACTCAGTGAATGTGGGAAGTGAAAGCGACAAAGTAAGTCATAGATGAAAAATACATAAACAAAGTTTCGTAATTCAAAAGGAAGTTTAGCCTGGTATTAAATAAGCTTTTGTAACAACACAATTTCAAAAAATTGGGAAAAGCGGAGATATAACAGTCTGATATCAATGAAAATAACAAGTTTCGAAAGAGCAGAAATAGAAACAAGCTTCTCTGAGTGACGTCAAACACTTTGTAAAGACACGTCTATAACTAGACGCAATAAGGCTAAGGGAACGGCAATAACAAGCTCAGTTAAGCGCATGGTTTCGCTATCTTGACGTTTTTGTGAACTAACACGTTTCCTCTGTCTCGGTGGACTTGCTACAAGTCTCTCTCTTTAAAGAAAGGGAAAAGGGAAAAATGGAAGGGAAGGAATAGCTCTCGTTCCCTCCCATTTTTTCTTTTTTCACTTTTTTTAAAGAGAGAGACTTGTAGCAAGTCCACTGTCTCGGCTGCCGTATGTTTTTTATCTGCGTCTTGAATGGTATAAAAGCAAAAAAGCGCTTTGAGCAGTGCAAGGGGTGTGGGGAGGGGGTGGGGGGCTTGCGAAGAAATTCTCCAAAATTCTCCAAAAATGGGCAAAAACGTATAGCGAAGAGTAGAGAAGGACGGCTTTCTGGCACTTACAAGGGGGGATTCAGCCCCCAATCCAGCTTCAAACATCTGTATATAATATGAAATGGTTGAAAATGCAAAACAGCTAAGCTGCAGCTAGTGAAGCCATTAGTTGCAAGCAAAGAATCACTTGGGCCCAGTAGGAATTAAATTTGCTATTATGGGAAGCTAAGTGCAGAGTAAGTAACACGATATACATTAAATTGAAGTTCAATACAAAGATCGAAAAGCGACGAGTTTTTGTCTGTTTTTCTATTGGCCAATAATACAAAGCTTTAACCACATAGAAGAAAATGTGGTGTAAAATTGTTTGACTTTTGATTGCAAGTGGCCAGTGTATGGGGAAGAGGTGATCGGTTATTGGATATATCGTCTTCGTCTAACACAGTGGTGCCGTGGAGGGGGTTGGGTTGGGCACAGGGGGGCTCATGGTTCCTACACACAACAGAAAGTATATTGGGTATGCTCATGGGTGTGCCCTCTTGAATTTGCCTATAGCACAGCCCCCATTTCGAACTTTTTAGGACGGCGCCCCGTTCTAACTTGCTGTTCTAAATACACACAAAAAAAACTTGTGAGGGAATGGCTGAGTGATTAGGTTTGCAAACTACACATGGAGGGGTACGAGGTCCGAATCACTATATGACCAAACTTTCACAAAGAGAGTGAGGAGAGTCACCAGCTCTCTGTAATCCCAGCCAAAGTTATCACGAGGTGTGGTCACATCGCGAGGAAGGGCAGGGCACTGCTCTCATAGTTTCTCAGTGTCCTAAAACAACCGTCGAAAGACAGGTAGCAACAGGTGTAAATCAACTATAAATACAGTTGTAATTCACATGACATCAATTGTATAAATTCAAACATACCGGCTCTCCCGGAGGTATTCCAACAGTTGCAGTTAAATCTTCCGATGCAAGAACACCGCAAGGAGCATGACAACTATCAAATTCTTCTATCTCTGGCTTTGACCAACCGTATTTCAAATGGATGTCATTGATAATATCCTTAAAAAAACGTTATATATGTTAAATGCTAAAAATTTGATATTTAAGTTTGGAGAGTAATATAATCTGAGACTGATCATAAGAGAGTGGCAAAATAAAAAAATCAGGACAATCCCATTTTATTGTCAGGAATCCCAATGTTACCAAGAGGGAACGCCCATATCCAACTTATGGTTACGTAAAGGCAGGTTTAAAATTGCACCGCAAAAATTACTATATAAACTCCCAATAAAGTCAATGCAAAGAGTGTATTCCAGTTTTCAGTTTCATATAATTTTAAAATTCCACTACATACAATCCAAAAAAGAGAAAATTTAAATACAATTAAATATAGCATGCTTAACAAATTAATACAAAGATAAATGCTACACAAGAAACCTAAAAGAAACAATATATAGTATTACATCAAGAAGACAAAGGAATTGTATGTAGGGGAATTTCTTAAGGAGGGGCTCCTCAGTAGCTAGGCTAATCGAGGAGAGAGCACCCCCTATTTATTTATAACTGATTAGTCTGGTAAAGCCATAATTTCGATATTGTTGCCCAGTATGGGGGGAGGGGGGGGGGTATGCGGAATCACGGCACTAGAAAAGCTATGGAAACTACAAAATCGTGCGGCCAGAATCCTAAAAGCCCGTACAACGATTCTGCTCTTCCAGTTATAAAGAAACTGGGCTGGCAGACAGTTCATGACTTGATTGTAAAAGAAACTTTGAAAATGGTTTACAAGTGTACAAATAATGAGGCTCCCTCGTATCTTGCGTGCCTGTTCGACTGGTTATCAGAAACCAGTAGCCGGGAACTTCGAAACACCGAAACCGATCTTCGTGTCCAGTTTCTACGAGCAACATGTGGCCAAAAATGCTTTTCTTTAAGAGGGGCGAAACTATGGAATGGCCTGGACGCAAAATCAAAATTAACAAAAAAATGTTGAAATAATTTAAATCCTGTCTCGAAAACTCCAGAACATAAAGCGACCTTTTTATTCCTGGCGTTCGTTCAAGTACTTTTAACTGCTTTACTTTGTTATTTCATTTTGTATATTTGTATTGTTAAATTCTAGGGTTTATCTTTTTTCTTTGTACAGGGCAGTTTGGAAAGCAATTTCTGGATATATAGTTGATAGCTTTACCTTTTTAGTTGATAGCCGCAAATAATTAAATATGAAATGAAATGAATCCTTTGTTGCGTAAGGTAATGGAAGAAATTATACTCTTAAGACCCTTTCAGACAACACATGTTTGACAGATACTTAAGCAAGATTTTCTTTGGTCCAGGCAGGCAGTCTTTATTTCCAGTCAAGGGAAGCAAATTATAGAAGAGCTAAAGTGCGGGTGTCACTGTCTACAAATTAAAGCCCGAAAAAAAGATGGCCTGAAGTAAATGATAGAATTAGACTGGTCCGGATTCCTGCTAAAGGGACAATTGTTCCCTCTTTCTTAAGTAGAATTCTTTTCTCATTGAGAGTTCATACCACTTAAAAACTTTATCTTTTTGTAACCCTATTCACAACTATTCAGTTCGTAAACCTCGTCTTAAATTTATTTGAACTTTAGAATGTTAGCTTATCTCTAACTGCTGTAATTTAGACCTTTTCTATAATATTCCCTAAACAGACTAACCCATCGGCAAATACAATATATGACAAATAATTACAATTTACAGAACTTAAAATACAAACATAAAGCCCTAAAATCTTATTTAATCCTCCAGGAAGTTGTGTTTGAGAACCTAGTACTAAGAATCCCTTTTCATAATGGACCTATCAAAATTTTCAAAAATTATTTCGAAATCAATGTAATAATTTTGAAAACATCGCTCAAATCTAAATTTCAGCCATTTGTACCCAATTAAAATAGTATTATTCACAAAAGACATTAAGATTCGCCACAACAAGCAATTTTTCGCCACGCTAAAAACAAATCCACGATTCAAGAATAAATTCACATCCTCAAACAGAACATTTAAAACAGAATTAAAAAATGGCCAGGTAAAAAGTCCACAGAACCAAAAACCAAAATCCACTTTTCTGATTATAAAATTAAGCCCATCCTGTAAAAATTCATGACTTCATAAATTTTGACAGAAAATATAAATTCGAATCATCGAGTAGAAATTTCGTATAATCGCGCAATATGATAACAACAGCCAATTCTCCACTTCTCTATCGTATGGAATCTATGTATAGAAGTGGCCTCATTAAAACAGCCTTATGATCTGTTCAAAGGAAGCTGACTTAAGAGGTTGACAGGCTGAAACAAATTGTAATTTACAACTGACACAAATTTTTGAAGGGCAATGTCATGTGATACAAACAAAACAGGGGTCCCTAAACAGTGACTATGTGACTATGTGAACCTAGTGCCCAGCAAATCACTTCATGTATTCACTGTTGAAAAGAATTGGAACAACGTACGTTACCTTATCTGTCATAGTCTAGAGTATTTATTCATTTTATTCAATATTTAGATTGTGTCTTTCAAATTAAGTTTATAACTTTTATTAGATGACCAAGTTAACCGACTGAAAAGGCCAGCGTTTTACAACCACTGTGTTGCGGCACCTTGGAAAATTCTCCAATTTCACCTAATTGGTTTAAAAGCAGGCCCAGGTTTTACAATGAGTGAATAAAAACATGGTATTCCATTACAAAATACTTATTCTTTGTGTTTATTTGATTCCTATTCAAAACACATCGACGAAAATGACTTTAAATTGTAAATATTGGCGACAGAGTTTCTTTTTTTAACATTTTATGTTAGTGGAGTGTCTTGTGATTTTTCAATAAAAAATGAGCCAAGGATCCAAAGAGTTGGCAAACACTGATTTAAACCATAGTGAAGAATCAAAGGTATCTAAAATTACATCAAGAGCAAACATAGCAGATGATTGGTAACAATCGATTCTCCCTTCCTTACTTTCATTTTGACACACATCAAGTAAATCATGAAATTGCATTCGCACGACCGACAACCAGAGAAAAACCATTGAAGGCAAAGGAAATTAAGCTGCCATACCCGGGCCACGCCTTGCCTTTTGGTTCTTGAGGTTTGTAAGAAGTGACACATTGGGCAGTAGACAGCATGGATGATTTCTACGGTGTAGTTTCAGCCATCTGTCAATCATTAATTGGCCAATCAGTGAGTGTGATACCTCTCACACAATTATTCATTGGCCAATAATTGATCGAAAGATAGCTTGAGACATTTATCGGTTCCCAGAACGCTTACCTTACAAATTTGAATTTCGAATTGGATAAATGGTCGTATCCAGGAATCGGTATTTGATCTAGAATAAACAAAGTAACGTTTGCTGTTCTTTGTGACGTAACAACATATAATTCGACATTAAGTTGCAATCAGACAACCTCAATAAACAACATAAGTTAACATAATCAGTGGCGTAACGGAGATATCTGGAGCCCTCAGGAAAGACTGAGACGGGGCCCTTATTTATGGATGCTCACGGTCTGCATAAAAGTCCAGCCCCACGCTGTAGAGCATGCAAACACAATAGCAAGATTATAAAATTGAATTTTTGTCGTTAACTAGGAGTAGCTCAGCTATTTAAATAGTTAAAGTTTTTGAAAATAAGGTTTATTTGAGCGTAAATATAATCAAGGAAAGTCTTTAAATATGAATACATAAATAACTTTGGGCCCATTTATGTCGGAGGTCCTTAGTTAACGTAGTAGGGTGCCCTAAACTGTGTTACGCCACCGATGAATAAATGAGACAAGCAGAGGCTCGATTTGCCAAAAAGATAAGAACAGCATAAGAACATGTCAAGCCTCAGATGAAAAATAAGAAGAAAAAACAACGAGATTTTGAAAATGTTCTCTCGTGTTCAAAATACAGAATAGATTTTATCAGCTGATAAATGTTGCTACTGAAAATGCCACGCAAACATTTATTTAGTGGTATCAGAATCAGTATCATCTAGTTTTAGAAAAATCAATGTTGAAATTAGAACAACGTTAACAACATCCACGCCTTGAATAATCATCCGAAAAATAAGAACATCGAGGCTCGCCAAAAATTATCTTGCTCTAATAAAAACAGAGTGTATCACACGTTAACGTAACAATTTATTTACTTCTTGTAGCGAAAAAATATCTGACGCAGCCATGGGTCACACTTCAATTTTTTTGGACAGTCATTGCAGTGAAATGCTATTTTAAAACTACCGATGTACGAACAGAGCAAATCTTTGCGGTTAATGAAGCTTTGAGAAAATACCCAGACGATAAACACACCCTTTTGCTGAAATACTAGTTTGAGGAAGTTCTGCGTCACAATCAAACATCATAGGAAGTTTTATTTATCTGTGAAACATCCCCATATAGTTTCCATTTATCTTAAGGCAAATCCTCAAATAAAAATGCTAAAACGGTCATATTAAAAGCTAGTGATAACAAAACCCCTTCTTATAAGTCATTATCTTCTTTCAAAATGTGTCGCTTTTTCGTTAGCTCAGATCAGTGTTTAGTCACTTTTGCAGTACCATGTCCTGTGTTACCATACATGGAATATCCTTCTTTTGTCATTACCTGATTTTATCCATTAAGGAGGCAGTTCATGTTATATTTGAATGAGTGTTAGTTTTAACAAAACCAACATAACTTTTGTGTAAGTGTCAATACATACACAATTTTTCTGCTAGTGGATGACATTGAAATAAGAAACAATTTTTGATAATTATTAATGAAAAAAGTAAATTGGTTTCCATGGAAACAATATGTAAACAAGTGTACCCTTTTTGCCTTTGACATTGATAAAACAAGTTCCATCAACCACAGGAAGCTGAAACTTCTGAAGAGAAACTGCATTGCAACAAGCTGTGCAATGTATTGGGGTTTTTTCAAAATTATCAATTGATAGGGGGGAATGTCCAAAAAATAGTTTTTTGTAGTTCAAATTAGTTCAACAAGAAATTTTGTAAACTTGTCAATTCATTGCATAGAACTATCTTAAATACATATACTGTGAAAATTTGAGCTTGATCTGGCAACAGATTTTAAATTTATCAATGTTTCCTATACGCACGTCTACAATATTAAATGTTGAGAAAACGCATAGTAAAGTTTTAGGATTATTTCACAACCAAAATGATGCCAAAATATAAGATAAAACCAATGTCCTGGTGATAAATATTGTACAATTAAGTCTTTATAATAAACTTCCATGCAAAATTCTTCCTTTAGACCTTATTTTTCTTGAATTCTGTTAGAACAGCTATTTCTTTTTCATCAATGAATGTTATATTTTGACAATTGCTATCATCTTCTGAATCAATTCTTTTTCTCTTATTATTATGTTCATCCTCAACTTGCTTTCTGGTTGCTCCTCTTGCTTTATTTTTCTTCTTTTGTCTGACTTCAGGTAGAGAGTCTATATCAAAAGAACCTGCTTTATATGACTTTTTATCTGAGTTTTTTTTATTTTTCTTACCCTTATGACGCAGTGCTTTCCTTTTTGTCTTAAATTCCATGCTAGATTTCCTTTTTGAATTTTGCAATCTCTGTTTGTTTTGGTTCCTCAAATATTTCAAGGTATGAGGACCAAGGTCTTTGATACCCAAAGATTTCATCAGGAGAGCTCTACTTGCAGCTCCAGTATTCCACATGGAAACTGCTTCACAAACAGCTATTTTAACTTTTGTGGTCCCACAGTACTATGTTTTTGGACACCTGTTTGTCCACACTTGACCATTAAGGCTTTCATTTTGATTCTGGGTCAATCCTTTCAGGCATCTTTGAAGCAATGCATCATCTGAAAGCCTTTGAAATATTGGTGTTAGTTCTTCAAAAAATACACCGGGTAGCCTCTTATCTTGGCAATATTTTCCATCATTGTATAGCTTTTCCTTCCAGAATTTACACCATGTATCTTGATCTTTAGGGCAAAACTGGTGTTGTTCTTCCAATGATAAATAGTTGTTTATGATACAATGATGCTGAATGGCTTTGATACTTTGCTTCATTCCATCAATCGATCCTTTGTTGTTTCGTATTGATGATCCATAATAGTTTTGAATATTGTCAATAACAACTTTTGTAAGTCTCCCTTTACCACCAACATATTTTCCATCTGAAAGTTTACAACTTTTTCTTTTATTTTTGAATTCTCTCAAGGCAGTGCCAATTCTTTTCTGGATGTGACCTACACATTCTTCTTTTCTGACCTCAGGGTCATTCCATGCGAAGTCAACCCAGCAGAAGATAGAATTTTACCTCATGTTTTTAGATTTTGGTGAAATTTGATTTGGTGATTATGATAGTTGAGATATGTATATTCTGAAATTTTCAACTCAATATCATTTGTCGTTCCTGAAATATAGCCTTTTATTTTTTGGGCTTTATTGTATCGATCTCGCCCCCGGAAATAAATAATCAGCCATAATTTTGCTTCTACTATTGCTATGAGGCTGGTTGAGGTCTCATCTGAAAGGGATTTTGAAGCTCTGTTTGAAAATGGAACATTTGAAATCATTGGTCCTTTGAAACAAAATGTAAATCTAAAAGTGAAGTAGTCTCATAAACGACCCCCCAGAAAAAATATACATTGACCCCCCAAGAATTTTTTCACATATTTAGTAACCTTATACATTGTTTATCATTCGTGTTAAGTATCAGCTTGGGGTTTGCAGTAAATAGAGAAATACACTCTTTTGAAGTTGAACATTTGCAATATACTGGCATCAATTTAGAACAAAATACAGCGTATAAAAACATGGTTATCAAACAATCAAAGTTGCATATCTGTCAATATCTGTGTTGCTTTTAAACTTTCTTCTTTAGTCAAAAAATATGTCCTTCCTGTATGAGTCCTGGGCTCAACCTTGGTTAAAATTGATGATTTTGGAATGAGCAAAATATCTTCTTTTGTTGGATAGCAAAATGAAGGTGATGGGCCTGATGGTTGGAGGAATTTTACTTTGACCTCGCCATCATCTTTATCAGCTTGTAGAATTAAAGCCAGCCACCATTTGTTGTCATACACACATGTCACAAAGCCATTAAGATCATGCCATGCTAAAATATCTCCTTCCTCTTCAAAGCTAACTTTAACTATTGTCTGTGATTCACACAAGGAATAGTGCCGTGCTGCTAATAATGTTCTTGAGTTGGGTATTGGCGAGAAAGAATGGAACTGATGAGTACCAGGCACTGTTTTGCTCTTCTCTGATCTTGCTGAAAGTAACCTTTCTTCTGTGTCATACTCATCCTGTGATACAAATGCAAAATTGATATCCTTCAGAGATGAATGAGCCCATTCAAACAGCTGCAGTGGTGTTTGTATCTGGTCGTCATATGGCCTTTGAAGACTGGCCCTTGCTGCAAGACGCTTGACTGTTCCACCAACACCATCACAAGGACCTTTACCATGAGATGTCGCAAAGAAATTCCATTCTGCTACGAACCCAAAATCATTTTCATGGAAGGCAAGATTCAAAAAGTTTTTCCGGTTTTTGTATTGGGAAGCTGCACCATCAGTGAAGTAATAAGCTTTCGTAATCTGAAATCTATTCTTAAGAAATTTAACAAGCTTCCGTTGAAAACAGTGGAAGGCTGTGGTGTTGTGACTTAAGCAATCTGATATAATCACCAGACTGATGCACTTTAGATTGGTAGTTGTGTCTTCCTCTACTGGAAAGCGATGGTAGATCACAAATGGATGTAAAGTTGCCTGCATGTTATTCCAATGAAAACTTTGAGCTGCATCCTGGAGAACAAAGGAGTAATTTTCTGCAAAATCACAAACCACAAGGACTTCTCCCAGTTTCAACTCTTCCTTTGCATCTCTATAATAGGCTGCCTGCATTCTTGCAATGAATCCATGTCTTTTAAGTTGCTGTAAATTCTCTATTAAGGTCACAATGAAGTCTTCTGTGCTCTTAGTTATTGTTTCGAGTGATGTTCTATCAACTGTCACCCAGGCCTTGTAAGTAATCTCATCTACATCTAGACTCTCAAATGTTTCTTCTAGAAAGGTTTTAAGAAATGAAGTGTCTCCACAATAGTTACAATCCCCGAAAAAGCAAATTGGTTGGGCAGGGTTACAAAGAAATGTCTCTATGAGATGACCATGTCTTATCGGTCCATTGTAATCTTCACCAACCACCCTACAAAATTCAGCAGAACTTGATATCTTTGACCCCTCAAGCATCAGTGTGACATTTTGATGAATTGTGCAAACACATACACTGTGAGTTCCACTTGCACCAGGGAGAACAACGTTTTTTGGTCGCAGTGATGCAAACTTCGAAAATCCCAGCTTAATATTGTTTTGACTCTTGAACAGCTGATATGCTTCCTTTAAGTTACACAGTATAAGTCTTTTTTGAACTGTACTCCTTTTCCCATCTACAAGCATTGATACACAATCCTTTTTCCCAGGCATATTACGGCTGATTTCATCAGATTGGTAAAATAATTTGACAGATTCTTTGGTGGCCTTTGGAATTTTGTTACCAGACTTTGGATTTGGAGTAGCAAGTACTCCCTTTTCTTTCACAAGTTTCTTAGCTGCTCTTGCTGTGTAATTGCTTACATTGAATTCATCCTGTATTTGTAGAAGAGTGAAGCTACTGGGGAGAACAGTTAAGATTTGCAGTTTGTCACTTCTCTTATCGGACGATTGAAACTTATCTTTAAGTTGACCAATCATTTCATTGTAGTACTTCTTGTACCGTTCAAGTTCTTTCTTTCTGATCTCCTCCTCATTGTTTTGTGATGGCAAGCTCATCTTTCTACGATATGCATTTGCAATACTTTTAGCTTTATCTTCTCGGTACCTTTTCCTAGAGGCAAGCATTTTCATCTGCACTGGAGATTCACCCATTGCGCACAAAGATTCATTGACTATGGATATTTCTGCTGATGTTGATTCAAAAGATTCATCACCAGCATCATTGTCATCATCACCTGATCCTGGTGCATCTGTGATATCTTGAATAAGCAAAGTAGAAGGCTCAGGTGGCTTATACGAATGTATGTTTTTTCTACAAGATGAACACCACTTTTTTCCTGGAATCAAGTTGAATGCTTGGTATCTTTCTGCTGTTTCCAGAGTAATTTCTCTTAAATCTTTGGTTAACTTCTTACCCGGATGTTTTGACATTGGATCACAGCAATGCAATTGGTGCGAGGCATAAAATGATAGTTGCTTGTTCTTTTCACGACTACATATTGTATTAGCATCAATACCTGTTCTCAGCTTCAATATCTTAACTTCATTTTCATTCAAAACATGTAATTTATGATTGTCAGCCAAGTAACAAACAGTTCCAGTAGTAAAACAAAACTCACAGCTCCCCTCCATACTTAATGCTTATTTCTAGTAATAATCTAAACTTTCTCTGGCTGGTGATCATCTTTTATAGCTTTATGGTGATCATTTAATGGAGGAAATGAAACTGACATCACAATACAGATTATAATGAGTTATTCAGCAATTTGTTTGTCAGTAAAGGTGTTAAATGATCTCCACCCATGCTAATCCCCTAGAAATATTTTGAAAAGCCTTGCTCATTGATTGAAATCTTAACACCTTATCGGTATGCTATCGAATTTTTTCTCTTAAGTAAGTGTCGCTGACATCATAGTGGTAATTTTTTTCTTTCACATACCATCAATAGGTCATTCATCTAGCTATAAGACAATAAGTTGAATGGTATATTATCGACTACAATAACAGCCCAAACAATGATTTTAACCTAACCAACTATTTTCCCAGTACTAAAGGGAAAAGCTACGAAGGCAAAGAGATCTTACTAGAAAATTTTGCATGAATGACATACTTCTTAACTTTGAAAGAGCATATTTCCTTACTTACTGCAAACCCCAAGCTGATACTTACCATGAAAGATAGACAATGTATAAGGTTACTAAATATGTGAAAAAATTCTTGAGGGGTCAATGTATATTTTTTCTGGGGGGTCGTTTATGAGACTACTTCACTTTTAGATTTACATTTTGTTTCATAGGACCAATGATTTCAAATGTTCCATTTTCAAACAGAGCTTCAAAATCCCTTTCAGATGAGACCTCAACCAGCCTCATAGCAATAGTAGAAGCAAAATTATGGCTGATTATTTATTTCCGGGGGGCGAGATCGATACAATAAAGCCCAAAAAATAAAAGGCTATATTTCAGGAACGACAAATGATATTGAGTTGAAAATTTCAGAATATACATATCTCAACTATCTTTATCACTCAATATAAATTTCAATAAAATCTGACAACTTCTGGATTTCTGTTGTGTTGATTTCATATGGAATTACCCCTCATAATCTTTGCCATATTTTCCCTCTAATGCCTCTTTAACTCTCCCAAAACTACTGCTGTCTCCATCCCCCACAAAATCAATATACTTAAGTCCCCTAGATTCAATACTTCTTAAAAATATTTCCATTGCACCAGATGCCTCCATTTCTCCTGATGATCCTTCATGGTTTATTTCACAACGGGACTTGTGATTCTCATGCCAAGATTTATATTGATCTGTCTCCTTGTCATCCTTTTCATGACATCGATATTCATGGCATGTTTTTGATTTGATAACATAATCAAGAACAGCACCAGTTCTAACTGACATCACAAAAACAACTCCAATCCGGGAAGAATGTCCTCGTTTTTGCCATGTGCCATCAACTGTGACACCAACATTTGCAATTTTCCTACCACTATCATCAAACTGTATTTGAAAAGGTTCCTCTTTCTCTGTTATCTGTATCAGCTTCTCTGAAGCTTCAATCAATACTCCTTCAGTCGCTTGTACAATATGTTTGCAAATATTTTTCAGCTGTTGCTGATAACTGGACTTTGCAAGAGGAGGTGGTAGTCCCATGGTGCCACAAAAATCTGACAATCTGGCATGACCCATCGAAGATGAAGCTATGACAGAGCGGGCATTGACCTCTGAAACTTTACTGCCAGTTAATGCTTTGCTTGTTTGCAGTAGAGTTTCATTTCCACAATTTTTACACACAAAAGACAAGCTTTCTTCAAGTCCTTTTCTCTTCTTTTCATCTACCATGATATCAATTCCCGTTTTGTCGGTTTTACAAAGTGTGCAAATAAATGCTGCTTCTAGACTCTGTTTTAGCAGATCGAAGTCAATAATTTTGAAACCACACGCAGGATGAATTTGTTCATATCTTTTACCGAGCTGTAAAGACCTGTTTCTAGTCTCATAACTGCTTTCATCGATAACGTCGAAGGATGAGTCAAGGTCGAAACTTTGGTCTGCCACACTTCCTGACTCACTAGGCCCTTGTGCACTACTTGTAAGAGGAGGACTTGTAGCCTGCACTGGACTAGCATTCACTGATGGAATTTGTTCTGCCTTACGAATATCTGGGATCTTTATACCTTTGAATCCCTTACGTACTTTCCTCCGAATAGATCGAAACTTTTTAGCAGGCGACATTTTGGTTTGGGAACTGAAAGTATTTCACGAGGTGCTTCAAGATTGAAGAAACTGAGTTGAAGTGAATGCAATTTTGAATGGTAAAGAGGCTGGAAAAGACGGAATGGACAATGGACAAACACCTGGGACTTCTGTCGGTTTAAATATCTGCCGTATTTGGCATTTTTTTGTTAAAAACTCACCATAGCAACCAAAAAATACTCGTTGCTAAGGTTTAAATTTGTAAGTGGTCTCACAACAAATCGAAAATTCTCGAAAGTAAAACTTCAAATACCAGCTTTTCAACCTCAGGGGCATAGAATATGCATCACAGAATGCAAAAAAACAATTTTTGAATTTGGTCCATATTTTCAGTTATTCAGCATTTTTACCCTGAACTGCCTCCTTAAACGCCCTCTCTCTAACAAAACCCCCCCTCAAATTAACACCCTTATAAAACAAAACTCGTATAATAAACGCCAAACCTCACATAAACACTTTTATTACAATTCTTTGAAATATTGCGAAAAAAAACAATCTCGTGCTTTTTTATCACTTTTATAAGCAATGTTGAAAAAATCATAAAATCATTTCCAGGTTGAGCATTGCCCTTGTAAACTAATGTCTCAAAGGATAATTACAATGTTTTAAAAAGGGCATCCATTTCAAATATCAGATTACATTGTAGAGGAGAATTTAGCAACTGAAATGGATTCAGGAAAAGATGAGGGTGATTTTTTAACAATCAATTAGATTTTGTACTTTCAGATTTAGCGTTGATTGGTTTGAAAAAATTGATTTATTCTGCAGCTTTCAATAATTACCCCTCTCTAATAAACGCCTCTATCTATTAGTCGCCCCTTCCAAAGCCAAAAGTTTTAAATGCTGCCCCGGTGCTTAATAGATTAAATGGTTCTTTTTAAAATGCACAGCTGAGTATGCGTAACTAAAACGGGTTTAGCCTCATTCAAAGACCAGTCTTGCAAGGATGGTGCTTTTTTGTAGCAAAATAAGCACTACGAACAAGGATGTGACTCTCAATTTCGCGGTTCTCGTTATGGTTTGCGTATCTGCGACCCAAATGTACCATCAATAAAAAGAGACATTGGCAGACTGGTGCTAGAAGAGGGCATAATGCCCCCTAGAACAATGAGAGATACCCTTAATGATTTCTCATTATTTGGTATTCAAGAATGCCATATGCAATCCTTAAGGCATTGATCAATCGGGCACAGAATGTTTAAAAGTAACCTTCACATCGAGGAATTTCGGAGTGATTTTTTTCGGTATTTGCAGAAGCTGGGAAGATTTCACAACCTGTTCTTATGCACACGAATAATGATCAATGCTCAATAGCTGCTTGTGCCATAAGAAATTATTACTGTTTTCAGGCAAGCTTGCAAAAACACTTGCAAAGAATCGAAAAACACAGGTTAGAAAAACAGATTCAAGGAACCAGTTTTTCTCAGGCAACAGTCAAAGTCAGATATTTAATCAGGATGTTAGAGATGTTAGAGATCAGAAATTCGATCAGAAATTAGACTATCATTCTAAAAATTAAAATGTTTAATAAATAATTCACTCATCTGAAGTCGACTTAAAAAATATCCGCTTACCTTGTCAAATATTCCTGTAACTTGCTGATCGCTTTGACTAAAGACGAGCTTATATTTTTGTCTGTAAACGGAAAAAAAGAGGATTTTTCTTCACTATGTAAGAGAGATGAGGGAAACCCCATTTCGATTCTAAATTTCTTACAATTCACACGCTTGATAAAGGCAGTTAGAATCTTGTTCACAATATACCGGATTCATTTTGAGTCGACGTGAATCCGATACCAAACGAATCCGGTATAGTGTGTACAAAGCTTTGAGTCATAGTATGCTCTTAATTGACAACAGCAATTAGTTGATAAAAGTCAACCAAGAGTTGGGAACTTGGAACATCAAAATAAAAAATATTAACAGGTGCAGAACTGGGTTTTAACAAACCAAAGAATTAATTCTTAGAAAAACGAGAAATGCTCAAGACTTCTTCTGTTGAAGTAATTAGAGGTGAAAGAGTTTAATAAGCAGTGTTTTTTGCTATTTTAGTTCGTTTTGGCACTTCAATTTAAAAACTCATCTGCAGTTTTATGTGAAATGCTGGTCGAAGAATCGAAACTCAAAAGTTGATATGACCATATATGTTTTCTTTTTATATAAGCAACAAATTCATAGATTTTCGACTTAGGAATTTACGCATGAGAGACGTAAGAAAACCGCATGAGAAAACTTAAGTTTTGACCAATGTTTTCACAACGACACTGTCTACTATGGTGAAGTAATCATTCAAGAAAGGATAATACTCTCATATCAACAGAAACTGTGAATAAATCACGACAGTGCCTTTCTACAATGCGAAGAAATCGACCCTATGCCTCTCTATCAGATTTCAAAGAAATGGGGACTCGGTAATAGAAACAACGGTCACTCACTAGTTTGAAATACCAAGTAAACAAAACTACGTTATCTGGAATCCTCTAAAATATGCAAACACACAGCAATAAAGTGCCCTCTAAAGGTTAAATGAAACATGTCCCATGAGTTAACCGTTCTCGTTTTAAGCTCTGCAGTGCGTGTAAGGATTTGCATGTTATATAAGGACATTTTTACCATATTTGGTAGAACGATAGTTGAATATTTTGGTAATGCGAAACCGTCCATATAATCGTGAGTAATGGTTGTAACCTGAAGAATTGAAGTGAACACGAGTATCGCGAAACTGAATTAATATGTATATCGTTCGTTGCAATTGCTGTCGCAAGGGGCCTAGTATCTGGAGAAATATACAGCCCTCTATTATCGAACTACAGAACCTTTACATTAGCTGCGCTTTTTTCTCAGATACGAGCCTACCAGCCTAGAGTACGAAGGGGATCACCTTAATTCCCGCCATGCCGACTGGAATAGGTAACAATACCCTATTGTATAATCCAACCAATTGGAATTAAGGTGACCACAGAAATTCGTCGGAACATAGTGCCTATATATAAGGCCTTGAATGCATAAGGGGATTCATACTGCTTTTTGACAACTGTTATTGCTTTAATGAGATACAGATTCATGGCTTCTAGGCAAAAACGTTTTACTTCTCTGACAGCGACTGTATCAGTAATGCATCGATCAACAAAATGTTCATATAATTTACTCATGAAAGAATATTCAGAGATTTCTTACCCAAATCAGCCTCAGTTGAAGAAATACTTTCGTTGGTCTGGGAAATTTTGTTATTTAGTTCCTCTATCGACAGGTTCAGTGTTTTCTTGTCAGACTCAATAAGGCGTAGCTGCTCTTGAAGTTCTTGTCCCTCTTTTGAAACGTTATCTCTTTCTTCAATTATACTCTTCGCTGCTTTGAAATTACGCGCTAAAATATGAAGATAAATTACTTGAAATGCCACAAAATAACAAAAGGTATAGCCAATTTTACTTGAAGACTTCGCTGAAAGTGTAAAACTGATTAAATGTGTCTAGGACTGTAAATTGATTACAACTACCACATTGCCGACGGTCAAAACTTTCTAAAACTTTGATAGTAAACTTATATCAACAACAAGTTAACAGAATCAAGACTTAGTTGATGCTAGAATGATAAAAATACGCTAGGTTTGGGTTGAAACAGCCACATACGTACAAGAAAGGGTCTAAAAGTTCTGGAATTTTGTCACATTCTAGAAGATCGGAGATAACAGGAAAAATCTTTCTCAAACTTCCTGCTCAAATTTGAACGGCGCCTCAACCATTCACACACATTCTAACACGGAATAGTTCTGGAACTTTCTAGCAGGCATGGCAGGCTTTGTGCAAGACTGCCATTCCAAAGATGATATCCATTCGAAAATAATTTGGAATATCAAATATTACAATCACCTGATGCAGCAATTTGTTTTTTCTTTTCTAATTCTTCCACGCGAGCCTCGATATCATCGAGCCTCTTTTTCATCCTTGCAATTTGTGCACCGCAATCAATATCCTTAAAGAAATACCAGTTAATATGAGACACACACTTACAATAAGACTTAAATGTTGTCGACTGTCAAAACTGTTATTAACAACAAACAAATCTACAAAAACCAAACCTTGTACTTGGCTGTGCTTAGTTCTTCTGAAAGCTTGCTCAATTTATCAATCATACTACAAAAAGAAATTATATTAAAAATAACACCTCTTATATGCATGTAACGTAATAAAAGACATAATTTAAACTGTAAGCTAGAATTTTTAATAGTATACAATATCAAACAACACTAACTGCTATGAAATAATGCAACTTAACACAGCATAACATTAACATGACAAAACATTAACATGACAAGACATGAGATGACATGACATGACATGACATGACATGACATGACATGACATGACATGACATGACATGACATGACATGACATGAAATGACATGACATGACATGAGATGAGATGACATGAAATGACATGACATGACATGACATGACATGAGATGAGATGACATGACATGACATGACATGACATGACATGACATGACAGAACAGAACATAGCATAGCATAGCATAGCATAGCATAGCATAGCATGACATGACATAACATAACATAACATAACATAACATAACATGACATAACATAACATAACATAACATAACATAACATACATAACATAACATAACATAACATAACATAACATAACATAACATAACATAACATAACATAACATAACATAACATAACATAACATAACATAACATAACATAAAATAACATAACATAATGAAACACAATGATGAAACATAACATAATGTTAGATAATAATGATTCAAACCTTTGATGCTCTTCACTTGGGGAAAAGCAAATAAGATCTAAGTCAATGACATCCTTCAAATGTATGACATTTTCTTCCAGCTCTAACTTCAGTTGCTTCAATGACGCTATCTTTGTCGATAAGGTTTCAATATTATCTTTGCAGCTGCAAAATATATAAAATAATGAGATTACTCCTCAGTCCAGGCTAAAACACAGCATTTAGAAACTGTACTGTAAGTGCTTTGAATTATGGAGCTTAGCTTTTAGCCTTGAGACCTTGACTTATACGGCGGCATTAAAAGCAGAGTTACCTTGAAAAGGCATTGAAAACTATCGACGATAGAGTTTGTCAACACCAAGGTAATCATTCAACCAAAAAGGCAAAATATTTAAACAAAATTTCAAAGTGACGGCAATGTTTTGGGAAGATATGCGTCTGGTTTAGTCTTATATCAAACCAGGATATTGTGGCGCTCCGAATACTTTTGAAAAGAATGCTCCCATCCCATCATATGATTGTAAGTGAAACTTAACACTTAAAATCGATTATTCAAACTCAAAACTGTTTTTTTCACTGCATAGTTGCCAACTAAAAATTGCCGTTAAAAAATGCAAACCCTCCTAGGCAATGTCAATTTTTTCAGACAGAGATGTGAACAAAATAATTTTGTTTCCAAATTTTTAAACATTGAAGAATCAATAACCTGATATTAGGGGCAATAAAATGTCACTGGCAAAACATATTAGAAAAGTGTTATAACAACAGGAAGATCTTAAAAGTCTCTGCTTGATGCAAAGGCTTGGACTGCGATGTACGCGACAGCGGACAAGGGGCTTCTAGCGAGGGCTGGGCCTTCACCTTGTTAGCGACAATTTCTGAAGAGATGCGCAGTATTGTTCAACCTTAAAAATATTCCACATAATATTTCTTATAAGTTTCAAGAATATCTTACTTGTAAGACTGTTATATTGTAAATTGCTTCTTTAGTCGTTAACTAATTTAATCAATCAAAAAGCTTTGCGTTTAACAAAGTTCAAAATAGCGCTAGGACGAAACAAAGCAAGAAAGTAAAACACATGTAGCTGAAGTATACTTTTCGTCCGGCATTCCACAGTTTGTGCTCTGAATGTTGCATGAACACTATATTTCAGTTACCCAAGCTTTTGTTCCGCCATTTCGTGCCATTTAGAAATAATTTAATTACCGTCTCTCAAAATTTTCCTCTTTCTCTTGCCTCTCTTTCAAATCATTGCTCTCCTTTTCAAGCATTTCCTACAAAGAACAAGTAAAGTTTCTAGATGGTTTCAAATCACATAAACTGGAATTTGAGATCGGGGGCAAGGGTGTAGCACTGGGAAGGATAAGGGGGCTAAGGAGAGCTACGCCCCCTTGTTAATTTGAAAAGTAGCGTATATTGAACATCATTTTGTGTGGGAGCCAACTTAATATTTTCATAGCACGAGAATTGTGGTAAGGGGGTCGTGTCAAAGTAAAAAAAGAACAGGTTTCAGGGAAACTGAGACCTGAAAAAACCACAGTTTTTAGATGGTTTTAATCAAATGAAATGAAAGCAACAGAAAAAAATGAAATGGAAACTACCAAACTACATTTTAAGGGGGTAATTCAATAAATTTTACTTTTGTCGGATTCCAGCTTTAGACGTTATAGCCCAAACATAGACACACAGCAGTAAGCATTTGTAGCACAGAGAATAACATGGTGTGCTCTTTCAGAAAATCTCCCACATGTACGACAAAAGCAGCTTAGTTTTTGCCAAAGTCATACCTTTGGTTTAAATTCTTGGCTTTTTTTACAGAGAGTTCTCTATTAACAGCCATAAATAGAAAGCAAAATATTGAGTAAAATGACCAACCAGTTTCGAATTGTTTTCTACTTCTTTAGCTATTATTTCTTTTTCTTCTTTTTCCAGCCTTTCCATTTGTGGTAGAAAATCTTTCGTCATTTCTTGAATAGCAAGATTTACTTTGTCAATATCCAAATTGAATAAATCTTCTTTCTTTCGCAAGACGTCTAATCTTAACTCCAGTTCTCTAATTTCATTCTAATGGAAACAAAATAGATAACAAAAAATTGCTGTTCAAATCAGTTCAAATCTGCAATATACAATAACAGATGATCTTGAAAAGAATCGCAGGGAAGGTCATCAAGGATAAAATTAACAGACATAAATATAGAATTGATAAGAACAAAAAACTAACAAACAAAAAAAGTTATGAATTACACCTGAAATGAAGAAACAGGAAAATCGAAAAGAAGAGATTTTCAATCAAAACAGAACTTTGGTCGTTATAAAAAGAGTGACATGAAAATGCATAAAGATTAGCAGTATTTGTAAAAGGTAAAAGAAATTGTGATATATGAACACGGAATGGCAAGGAGTGATTATACTAACGTAAGTAATAATATATGGCAGAACAAACAAAGTGCAAAAGAAGAAAATACAAAAAATTGAACTTTAAAAAATCTATCATAAACTTTTAGGCATGAATTTCGAATATTTTCACAGTTATCTAGATGCCCCAAACTGCTTGGTTTTTTTTAAAGCGGTTGGCATCTAAGAAAACTATCAAGAGTTGATAAGATCCTTTGTGTTGTACCTTTGGCATATTGCAAGGTCTTTTCATGATGCCAAGATGATCAATATTTACAAACAAAAAAATTTATAAAATCTCATTACTTACTCGTATAACATCTCTGTCCTGCGTTAATCTAACTTTTTCTTCTTGCTTTTCTTTAGTTCTGTCCATAATTTCCTTATCAAGTTTCACTTTGCCTTTACAAAGGTGCTCTTTATCCAATGCAATGTGTCCCATTTCTCGATCAAGCTTAGTTTTCTCCTCGCTTAGCAACAGTTTAGCTTTGTAGAGGCTATTGTCATTCTTAGTTATTTTCTCATTTAAACTTTTTCTTTCTGTCGATATTATTTCTTCGAATTCACGTTCTAGAGTATCGCATTCCTGTAAATTAGTCTTTATGGTCAAGTTAGATTGCTCGAAAAGTTCGGATACCTAGAAAAGATTAATAAGTTAATATCATTTAAAGCAGCTGAAAATTGTAACATCACAAAGCAAAAAGCGTTGCATGAATTGTGGAAGACCGAAGCTCGATAATTTCTAGATAAAGAGCCTTTGTATTTGTAGCTTGCTCGCAAGTAAATCATATTCGAGAAATATAAGCAAAATTAATGCTCCAATTCCCAAAGTAAAATTTCTTTGAATACCCGGTAGAAGCAAGAATTCAAAAATGAAGAATACAAGCACGAGATAGCTTGTGCACGTAAGAAGTGTCTAAGGCAAAAAAATGTTTCCATGCCTGAAAAAATACTTGTGGTGGATTAGGCTGTATCAACTGGTCGTTAAAGCGTGAGTATCCATCTTTGGGGGCGACAATCACAGTAAAAATCGCGGTACAACAAATAAATGTTTCTTTAGTTCTATCATAGGAGACGAACATTCTAGTGAATCTCAAAATGCTAATAAAGACTGAACTTCAATATTATGTACAATGCCTGCAAACAGTACACAAAAAGTCCAGAAATCTTCGTGGTGTTTTCATTTGCGTTGGCTAAATTTGCCCTTTAAAACTGTTAACAGTGTACCAAGATTTTTGGCAGGCATTGCAGCTTTGAGAAAAAAAGAAGTTTCTGGACACATAAAATCAACAGCATTATAAAAACAAACCCGTCGCTCTACAATCGGATGCCTGTATTTGAAATTGTTCAAGTCGTTCTGCTTTTCCTCCAGTTGATGGTTGATACTTTCGGCTGAAGAAAAATCATCTTGCTTTATTGCCAACTGTTGCTGATCTTGTAGTTGTGCTATTTGGGACACTAAATAATCTTTTGAAAACGTCGTTTCCTTTAGATCGCATAACAGTCCAATGTGTGATTTCCGCAAACTATTCAACTGCTCCCTGCCGAATAAAGATGTTAAATACATAATTATTTTATCAAACGGCAGCTTCAAATGATAAAATTACATAAAAGCCAGGCTTGAAAGAATACCCGTAACTTAATATTGACTCTGCAAGTAACAAAAGGATACAATAAGAGGTAATAAGGGACAAAAAAGGGATACTAAGAGAAAACTTCAATAGATAAAAGAGACAGCAAAAGATACCAAGAGACAAAAAGGACACTAAAAGACAATAAGGGACAGTATATAGGAACGCTGATTGGCGAAGTTCCTATATTTAATTTTGGTTTTGTTGTTGCGAATGCTGTCGTTTTTATGTCTGATTTAACGTGCAGAAAACACGGAGCCAGCAAGAGACGATATTGCGTGACCGTTGCGTCTTGATAAATTTACTGACTGAATTAAATACATGGCGTATACAAATAAAAACGAGGGGACGCTACAAATGTGTTGTTTATTACGTTACGTGGATACGAAGACAATGGGAAGTGTTAATGACAGAGACACAATGGAGGACATGATTACGTTTAGACAATGGTCACTACAAGTATAAGTTAACAAAAGATAGCAAAAAATAACGAGAGACAAAAAGGACACTAAAAGACATAAAAGAGACAGTATGAGTTAACAAGAGATATGAAGAGATAACAAGAGACAAAAAAAGACACTAAAAGACAATAAGAGACAGTATAAGTTAACAAAAGATAGCAAAAAATAACGAGAGACAAAAAGGACACTTAAAGACATCAAGAGACAGTATGAGTTAACAAGAGATATGAAGAGATAACAAGAGACAAAAAAGACACTAAAAGACAATAAGCGACAGTATAAGTTAACAAGAGACAGCAAAAGATAACGAGAGACAAAAAGGACACTAAAATACATTAAGAGACTGTATGAGTTAACAAGAGATATTAAGAGGTAACAAGAGACAAAAAAGGACACTAAAAGACAAAAAAGGGACACTATGAGACAAAAAGAGACAAATAGCTATAGACAATAAGAGACAATAAGAGACAATAAGAGACAATAAGAGACAATAAGAGACAATAAGAGACAATAAGAGACAATAAGAGGCAATAAGCGACAACAAGAGACAGATACTCCAGTTGATTGCGTTGAGCTTGATCTAATACAGGTAGACTTGAAACAATATACCTTAAAAGCTGTTCTCTTGATTCCAACGTTTGCAAGTACAGTTCTGTTTTTTCTTCCTCGTCAAGTGTTAGCTGATACGATGAATATGATTTATCAAAAACATCACCAAGTTCTTTCAATCTTTCTACTCTTACACAAATTTCTTCTTTATTCAGAAGAGTTTTCTCAATAGCATCACCAATTTTCATAATTTCTTTTGCTACTTCTGAACAAGAAAATTGTCCTTGATCCAGATGCGTTTCGATTTCTATTGTTTTCTTATTCAGTTTCCCATTGCAAAGGGTTTCTTCGTTGCCAGTGGCAGTTGTACGGTCAACAACATCAGGCTTTGTGTCTTCGTAAGCCACATTAGGTACTTCATGTAGAGAGCTATCGACATCAGGCATGCTTTCTTCATTTATTTCTAGTACATTTGACTCAGTTGGTTGGTTCATATTATCTATTTGTTCATTGCCAACCAGTTCCTTGCGCTCGACAGCATCAACCATTTTGCTTGCTTCGCCGTCTCCCGCTAAGTCATCTCTAGCTCCAGCAACGTTAGAACCATCGTCTCTAGTTATATCTTCTGCTTTCTTGTAACCTCTAACACCGTCGTCGTCCGATAAAACAGTAAACGCACTGCTATCGTAACTGCTTGTTGACTCTTTGCGATGGATAAACGTTTCCTCTCTATTTTCAATATCGTTGTAATTTTCTTTGCTTTCGTCTATTTTCATCACATCGCTTTCAACCGAGCCTTAAAAGAAAAGTACCAAATTTATCAGTTCCGTAAATGTCCTAGATCAATATGGAATTACGCTAAGAATAGACTTAAATCTTACAAATATTCCTGGCTAAGAAATAAATCTATACTATTTACAGCATTTTAATACCTTCTTGCACTTTATGTAAAAAGTATTTCTTCACATCTGTGCCAGTTGAACAATTTATCGGATATATTTGGGATTGTTCGAACTCTCAGGTCATTGAAAATGTCAGTCAAAGACGAAATTAGAGTTTTTGTCGAATTTTGTTAACGGTAATTTGTCAATATTGCTTCCTATGTAACTTTGACTTAGAAGTGTCGATCCATTCTCGCAATGGCTTGGTCCTTCTTAAAGTCAAAGCATTCCCAATATATTGGCTGGGTCGCTTTCTAATCGCTAAGTTTTGAGCCGTCATTGAGTCCTACTATTCCAAAAACAAACTTTAACAGCTTTCTATCAGGACAAGAAATTTGCATTGTCATTTGGACCTTCGCGTATTGTACATCGTGGATTTTCATCAACGCAATAAGGGACATATCCACAAACAGACATCTCCAGACAGCGGATGAATAGTTTTGTCCAAAGATTTTTCAATTAACAAATAACAAACAAACAAAGGAAAATCTGTCCACAACAAAGACTTTGTTTGGAGGTTTCAATGTACTAGAAGTCTACGTAAATTGCTAATGATAATGGCTGATGATGATTGCTGATGACTGCAATGGCTGATGATAATGGCGTGGCAATAACTACGACAATCGCGAGAATCAGCTTAAAACCTGTCCCAGATATACTTCCATTTATACCATGTCTGAGATGCTCAGAACTAGTACCATGCTCATTGTCTCTAGAAGATCAGAGACCATGGAGGGGGAGCAGAGGAGGGGTGGCTTAACTAACACTCCTGTTCGGTGAGATAAATATTGCTATTAAGAATCCATTTACCTTCGGATCTTGTTTCTGATGCAGATGTAGTTGATGATGATCTTGTTTTCTGTATTCTAAAATGCAAAACAAATCCAATCAACATTTATTGAAGCTTCTAACATTATCACATGGCCTAAACAGACTCAAAAGGTTTTTTAAATGAGGATCTACATAGAGATTGCAGTTTTAAACGTGTATCTGTCAACACATACAGAATTAAGATGAGTTCCCAATGATAAAATAACTATAGTCAGAAACATTTTATTAAATCGATTCGATTTATAGACAAATTACACATTTATCATTTTGGATAATTTTAAAGTGGCGAAACGCACATGTCACTTGATGCTGTTTCCATCGTTTTGCCATAGCCAGGTTGCACCGCTTTTTTCTTTTTCTTTCTTGGCGTAACTTCCACCCTTTTCTTTTCCGTGGATGCTGTCTTTGCAGCAGCACTAGCTATAAACCAAAATTGAAAAAAATCTTTTTAGGCCTGCTATTGAAAAAGAATTTAAACTTGGCAATAAATAATGGTAATGCTGTTCCGTTTCGAACCCGATTGAAGCATGGACAAAAGTTGTTTTGCACTCGTTCGTTCGCTCGTTCGTTCGCTCTTCTTGCGAGAAAACATAATTGTAAAACAGTCGAAAGGTTGTTTTATCGGGCCGAAGCCCAAGGAAAGCCACTAAATTTTCAACGTGAATTTAGTGCCGAAGCATACCGAGTAAAGTAGAAGTTAGTCCCGATGCACAGAAAGTAAAGGGAATCTAGTGCCGATGCACGAAGTATATTTTGATTGCGAAAGGATTTTGAGTGCCGATGCACAAAGTATAATTTGAAATTTGATGGGACTGAAAGCGCCCTTGTTTAGCCGCTACCTTTGCTACCTAAATTTATTGGAGAAATTCAAACTATGTTGATTTATCGTACAGAGGTTTACGTTATCGAAAACAGAACTGACAGCACCCTAGTTTAGCCGCTGGCTGCACTACGTAATAAATTAAAGAAAAGGAATCGTTGATTATTGGACGAAAGAGAGATTTGGAATTATTGTAATTTTCTTGTATCGCTTATAAATATTTTTTTGTTGGTATACATTCAAGAATTGTGTTATTTCGAAAAATCTTTGTTGTGTGATCCTTCATATTTACGGACAGTTTATCGATTCATCCCGGGTCTCTGGAAAGAGCATAAAGTAAATTTGTCAGATTTTTCAAATGGTTCATCCACTTTTAACACATGCAAAAAAACCAAGCAGGCGCTTTATTGTAATTTTCCGCAGGCACATAGCTAATGGGTCATTCCTTTTCAAAATGAAACAGGTTGCTAACCCAGCATCCTAAGAATCAATTACTTCTTTGTATAAATGTTGCCTAACAAAAAACTAAGACAAGCTGAAGATTTCAGCTTAATATCGCTATCTATTCCAAAAATAGAACAATATGAAATTTAGCCGATTTCAGCACATTTTCTTCCATTGGCCTTTTTGATTTTTCCAATCATCCAACAAATGTATGATTAGACCAATGAAGGAAAAATGAAATTTGAACGAAAAATACATCTGACAGATAAATCAACTGAGTAAATTTTGTATACCTGCCCAAAAATGACAAATAATGAAACAACATCATCAATGGTAAAAATTCAGTTTTCTCAATTGACAACATAATATATATTTAAGAGCAGCATTGCTAAAAATACCTGATATAAAAGAGAACTGTGATTTTCCAGGGCCTTCTTCTGATACCTTTTCTTCTGGCTGTGTTTCATTTCGCTCTATAAATTCAAAGAAAGATTAATCTACTTTATATTTGACTAGAACATTTTAGCAATATTACGGCACAATGAAAAGATTCACCAAGAATGTTGACCGCCATCCTCAGGTCACTGATCTTTAAAAGGCACAAGGAAAAAACATGTGTCATTCATTATTATGCGGACCTCATTTTTTATAAAAGATTGACTAAAAGAACAGCAACAGCCACTGAGGTTATCGTAAATAGTAGATTGGGGGAAAGGATAAAACAACATGTTCCTTCCGAGATAAGAAAGAAAACTACCCTCAAAGAGAACAGCCTCCTCGATCTTGTGGTCTAGAAACACCGTTAAAACAAGTGATTCTGCCATCGGACAACATCTTTTAGATAATCAAGATTGTGCCAAAGCCTATAATGTCGACGTGTTTCAGATAATTGCCAGATTCCGGTCGTCTTTCCATCTAGCAGTTTTGGAATTAATCTACATACAAACGAAATAGCTGCTATTGCGTATACAGAAGGAGTTCGTTTTCTCTCTTGTACCCCAGTGCAATTTTTCTTTAGGCACGGGGCACTGGTTGGACAACTATGCTGGTCTTGAGCTTCATTTTTCTGATTGCCCTATTTCGATCCACAACTGGGTATATATCTTTTATCGTGTTTTTTCGGACCCTTATTCTGACGTTTTTTGCTCTGAGGAGTGTCAGACGAAAAAGCTTTTAACCTAAATTATAATGCCAATATGGTTTTAGCCTAAATTTTTCAACTACTGGGGGACAGTAACACAGCATAATTCTTATTCTTGGAAAGCTCAAAGAATAAAAAAATGATAGAAAGTTACCTAATAATGTTGAAAACTGTGACACCTCCCCAGCATTATGTGTGGGAAGGTCAGTTTCTTTGTGTATGGCCTGATTGTCTGCAATAAATATCACATCATAAGAGCATACAAGCAAAAAATAATTTCATTCCTAAATATTTGTTGGAAAGGTTTTATATTTTAAGAATAAGATTTTAGATATTCCATAGACTTACATATTATGAGATATTCTATGAGATGAATCAAAATTCTGATACATTTCATAAAATAAAACTTTCTGTTCAAAAAAGTTTAAAAATAAGCAAAACTTTGGCTCACAGAAAAATCTTTTGTGGTCAGTTTCTGAGTAAAACCAATATAGATAGAATGCTGAAGAAATTCATTAAATTTAGTTGCTAAATTAAAAGTCAGAGGTTAAGCTAATGCAGTCTATATACCTCCATCAAGAAATGAAAAACTTGTTTTTGTTGGTTCCTTGACTGTTGCCTCTATGTAACAAGAGAAAAAAATTATTTGTATTATTTTGGACCAAGCACCTTTGGCTACTTAAAATACATGTTTAGCAAAAAAACCCAATTTTTCATAACCGTAAAGAACCTAGAAAGTTTTCTTACTGCTGCTCTTCTTTTATTGTACTTGGCTCAATATTTTTAGGCTCAATTTACACATATAAGTATTAGTGTGTAGAAAGAATAGTTTTAAGTTGTAACTCTTGAGTGTCATGCTTAATGTTATAGTGAGGCGAGGAGATTTAATTTTTCTGTCCACAAGAGCAGGCTTTAAAATTCTTTCTAAATACCAATATCATACACAGAACATCAGTGGTTTTTAAGTTGAATCTTCTATTGATAAAAACTTTGCAAATTTTTTAATACTTTGTTAAAGATATTTTGGCACTGACTCAATAAGGACTGGTTAAATTTCTTAGCTTCAAAATCTTTAATGAATGTTTATTCGGGTTATGGCATTAGTCTGAATATTTTCAAACAGCCATATTTCAAGTAGGGTATTGTAAATCATAATCTGATATGGATAATGACATTTTGCATTCAACATATTGAGATTGTTAGCATGCTTCAAGGTATATATCTATTTCAAAGCAAAAACAAGCACAATTATGTAATTGTTCCTTTTTCTTTAAAACCTTAGCTTAAACTATACTGATAACACTTTCCTTTCCCCTTATCAATTCTTGGCTACAACTATGCAGGTATCTCCTTGATCCTTGAAGTTTTCTAACCTGATGCTCCAGCATCAGTCCCGTCACTAGATATTGTGCTCAAGGGGGGTTTCCACGTCTTATTTGCTGACAAAGTGGGTGAACCATCCTGTGAGTTTGCGAATTTGGCGACAATTTACCCAAAGATGGCAAAAAACTCTTCGTTTTTACAATGGAATTATTTTTCAAGGGAGGGTGTCACGCCCCACACACCCCCAATAGTGACGGGCCTGACTAGCATGCATCCCAGCTCATAAAACCGTTCCCAAAAAATATTTTGCATGCAACACAAAGAAGCAAATGGAAATCATCCTTTATAAATCATTCAGTGTATATCAAGTGCAGGATTCATCATCACCTGTGATAAAATTGAAACTGCTTTTGGCATCTTGAGATTGATCTGAAGTGACTTGACTGTCTGTTTCTTCAGCTGGTAAAATCTTTGGAGGCTCCCAGCCCTTTTTTGAGTCCTAAAAATGACATAACTTTTATCATTTTATCATAGTAACATGAAATTTGCTAATCTATATATTGACAAATTTAAGATCTAGCCAGATATTTGAGCCATCAATTATAAATTATAAACATAACAACTAACATTATAAAACTGAAGATATAAAATTTTCTAAACTACTTCTAAGGAGCTAAGCCAATTTGTGGTGGGGAAAATCTCCTTTTATATGTTGCAATAATGAAGCACTAGACGAAGAAGTGGCAATTCATCAGAAAACATCTTCAATTATGGCAATGTGCATAAACTTGTGGAAGAGAAGAAATATGTGTTCTCATCTTTCCTCTATCATCAAGCTTTTTGTCTTCTCAGCTAACTGAAAGCTTTCCATTAGAGAACTAAAGACAGACATTTTGCAAACCATTGCTTCATGATCAAACACCTTGCAAGGGTTCTTGATGCTTGAAAAAACTATATGCAGGAATTGTCTTTCAATAACCATTCTCAGTGCCCTGCAAAGTATTCAAAGCTCCTTTGGGAAGCCATGTACATCACGAGCACTCCATTCAGATGCTAACTGTCTTCTTTGTCTTTTCATGATCCTCTTTAGGTGCCTAGTTGTTGCTTTTCTACCAAAAATGATCCAACCCTGGTTGACATGCTCTCCATAAAAACTGAAAATTTGTAAACTGAATCTTGTGTTAGCTCTGTTCGATGCTTACTCAATAATGGCAGCAGCTCTTTTGAAAGAACTCCAATTTCACCACTTTGAAATCACTAAGGGTAACATATTGACATATTGTTTCATAAACCCCCTTCATATTTGCTTTGAGTGTGAGCAGTTATTAGAGCTCTATAGCTGCTGAAGATCTTGGTGTCACTGTTCCCAATGCCCTGAATCCAAGCCTGCTCTTCACACTCAAGGTGTCCGTAACTTCTAGCAAACATCAGAAAGAATCTATTAATCTCTTTGACAGAAGCTTGAGAAAATTTTGAGGCATCTCAACCTCCTTGTGAGCCCTAAAAGGTTCATACAAATAAAGGTTCAAACATATATATGTATGAACCTTAAACCTGTATAAATATTATAAAATAACAAAATAAATAAATAATTAAAAACACATGGATCGGCACGGCACAGCACGACCTATAAAACGGCCCTTACAATATCCACTAATTTTCAAATTAACCAGGGGGCGTAGCTCCCCTTGGTCCCCTGATCCTTCCCAGTTCTACACTCTTGTCCCTGACCTCAAATTTCAGTTTTTGTGATTTAAAATAATGATATTGATTCTACATCCTTTTCACCACCAATGGTTGTTTATATGTCATACGCTGGCCCAAACGCAGGCAGCAAACCCATCCACCTTTGTGCCAACACATTTGAGCTGGAGCTCCTATCATACTATATGCTCTTGAAGTCAGTGTCTCTGAAAGAGTCTGTCCCAATCTAGTTCTTGATACAATCGTTTCATGATTACACTGATCCATTTTTGCAAAGAGCACGAAACATATTACAGATTGGTGGGGGGCTAAACATGCTAAAAACCCAACCAAGAGCAAGCTGATTTATTTTATGGTTTCAGGTACATCTTGGAAATCAATAGAGGGTAATAGCACCCGTAGCCCTGCCTTCACTCCCGCAGTCCCTGTTAATTATCGTAGTTATCTAGAGCTTTCTATTAATCAATTGGGATACATACGAAAGAAAATATCAACAATGCATCATTAATGACTAACAACAACAAGGGTAACATCCGCTTTTCAAATTCTCAAAGACCAAGACAAACTATAAAACAGGCTATCAAATCACACACCTTATCTTTATCTGAAGGATTTCTAAATCTACTGAAAAATGACATCTCTCTTAATGCTTTTTTCTCCAAAAATTAAAACGAAATGTTTCATACAACCATTTTTCGCAACAACAACAATCACAGTCTCGGTTTCGCTGCTGCGGAGGAACTAGTCTCTTTCAGGTAACATACGTCAGCAACACGAGAACAAAAGGAATCATTTAGAAATTTCAACTTCAAAACTTCCTTTTGGCCAAACACGGGTTTCTGCTGGTTGACAAAATCTCTATAGACAAAACGAAGAATACATAATCAATTATCAAAATGGTAAGTTATTCATTTAGAATTACAGTTGCAAAGAGAATTATCTGCTTCAGTGGAAACGGTAACTCGATGTTTTTAGATAGAATTTGTGTCGTCAACCTTCGTAAACGAATGGCCTAAATCGTTTAGTCCCAACGGGTGAAATATTTTCCTCAACGTATTGTTGGTGGCTCGTTTTACTGAGTATATTTGACCAAAAGATTGATTTCAAATTTTCGCCACAGGGGCTATGCAATTTTACAACATACTTTTGTTCTCGATGAATTCTTTTTATTTTCTTTTAAGCAAATCTTATAACTTAAGCTATGACCGAATTAAGTAATTTATTTAGAAGGAACTTTCATCTGAGCATCAATGTAGCACATTGTTTAAGAAAATGTATTAATGAATGTAGAAGTAGAAATATACTAGAGATTTTTCAAATAACAGTTTTTTGGGATTTTTGTGGCTGCATGCAAAATGCAATAATCCCCTTTAGTTTATTTTCCAATTCAGTTTTATATCTAGAATATTTACAATGTTGTGAGAAAAAGACTTCAAATCACCACTTAGACCTTTTTTAATAAATTGAGGCTGTAAAAATTATATTATTTTTCATTGAAATTTCCACCTACAGGTAGCTTTTATAATAATCCTTTTCTCAGTATATATAGGGATATGTATGCAACAGACTACTGAAAATTGGCACAATATGTATTTTATGATGCAACTTTGAATGACAACTTTGTAATGTTTGAATTGCCACCCAGCTAAATGTTTGCAGTTTTAAACCATCATTTCAGATTTATCCAAAATATCAAGTATATAATTGAAACAGAAATGATATCACCTTAAAATAGAATTTTAAGTGTGGTAATTTAATTTATTTCTTACAGGTTCAGTCATCATCAGCAACATCTGTTGGCTCAGGTGGGCGATCCCCCAAAGCAGGTGGTGGTGCCCCCAAATCAGGATCAACAGTTAGAAATAGGTACCCTTTTATTGACCATTTTGTGAATATTTGGGAATGAAAAGTTTTTTATACTGAATCTTCATCTTGAATTTTGAGTAATTCAAGCTCACTCAGCAACATGTTATTTTCTAACGGCTTTTGAAATCTGCAATGTTATAACCTCTATCTTACATCATAAGGAGACTTTTCTTTACACAGATAACAATGTTAGGTTTCCTTTATATGTATACTACACATAAAATGACAGCAAATATGTTCAAGCTTTATTCTGCAATTACTTGTCATATAAACAATAGCTTGTTTGAATATGAAGGAACATACTATGAAGGAAAATAGCTGCCAGAGACTTATGACACCATTATTGATAACAAATTATACTATTTCAGGAAGGGGACCAGTGCAGCCCCTGCAAGGAGGACAACTGGTAGTTCACCACAAAACATGTGGAGGTTTTATACAGAGGATTCCCCTGGAATAAAAGTGTAAGTAATTTGTATCATCTTTGTACCACATTTTTACTAGTGATAGGGACCTTTATGTCTTGATATAACAGTGCTATAACAACTTTTGCATTGAAATATTTGTGTCAGCATATTTGTATCCATTTTTTAAAATACTTGCTTAAAACAATTTAAACTCATACTTTTTCATACTTTACCATCAAATTTTTATGTTGTTATTAGCAAAATAAGAACCAAAAGTTTGACACTGAAGTTGTCATGAAAGGTTTTTCTCCTACAAAAAATTTGTTTTCAAACTCCCTTTGAAAATACTTGAAGTTTTAAATTATCTTGTTTATTTTTTCAGTGGCCCAGTTCCTGTATTGGTCATGAGTTTGCTGTTCATCGCTTTTGTCTTCATGCTTCACATCTGGGGAAAATACACAAGGGGTTGAAGATTTTTCATAAACTAGTTTATAAAAATTATATGTTGTGGTCCTCTGTAAATTATATATTAAAAAATCAAATAGGAAATGGTTTTTTTTCACTGAGATCTGAGCCATGAATTACATCAGTTCCATGCTATGTTGTGATTCCCTTTTTTGATAAACTGTTGCAAACATAGACTGACAGCATTGGCAGATGACAGGTTTGTCATGGAAACTTCAAACCAATATTGAAAACTAAGGTTTTTGAACCCAATGTATACATCATTTTCAAAAATGGATGTTTTATTGAATAGGTATTTGTCTGCTAAAGTGCAGATATCTCAAAATTCAAAAATATATCTAAAAAGCAATATATCTAATAGGTCAAACAATCAAGTTATCATGAAGACATCTATTTGTCCTGTTAAAGAGTCAAAATTGACAGACATAACTTTGTCAAAACCCTGAATAGAATAAGTCTGTAGATTTTAGCTTTAGAAATCCATGCCTAGCCCACTATCACCAGCAACAGAATACAACAACAAGTGATAAAGAATTTATTTTAGGCATGCATATTTCGATCACATATATACATGAAGTATAAGTTTCAGTGTCATGGATGCTAAGCCCTACAATACTCAACAGTTACACTCATCCAAGTAGCTATTTACAAGCACACAATTACAAAATTATGGTATTTGTCCTTGATTATTGTCCAACAGAAAGATGTAAAGCATAATTAGACACATGACAACCATAGTTTATTTGTCTACAATAACAAGCACAAAGAAAAGACTTTATATTTACAAAAGGCACTTCAAACATGCCTGCTTGACAGAAATAACTGGTAAAAACTCATAATTCAAGGACATTCTTTTTTCGTTTTATCTTTTTAACAGAAACTGAAGAAGAAGAGCTCCTAAATTATATTTCATTTAAACTGAGGAAGAAGTAGGTTGTTCGATCGCATGGAGCATTCAATTTTTTACAGATTTGCAACAAAGCTTAAAATCTTAACATTATTAAAGCTCAGTTCTGAAACTAAAATCATGGTTACTGAATGAAAAACCACCCTTTTAAAAAACAGAGAAAGTCATCACTTACTCAGCATATTTGCCTAATGAAAAATCTAAAAGTCCAGAGCAGTTAACAAGTAAAAATCAAAGCTATACTACCATGCAAATTCACACTACCAATTACTTGCTGAGTAATGATGTAATTTGACCAAAAAGCACCAATCAATCTAAACTATAATTGCTTTGGCCCTCATTTTTAAGACTGACTTGTGAAGGGCCTTGGTTTACAAGTACACTGCTCTTTTTCATTTGGCAATAAAATTGCTAAGTCCCTGTGGTTACAGGCGACAAGTTTTTTTCAATCATCAAGAGTTCACAATTTGAAAAACTGTCAAATTTGAAGTGTCTGCATTGTGGGCAACTTACATGTGCTTTTTCAAAATACATCATTATTAGCAAGTGAAATATGGCAAACAAATGCCCAGATTTAACCTACAAACAGGATGAGTTTTGATTTTCTGAGCAGCTTTCTTTGTTGGGTGTTGGGTTAAACATCCCAAGTACCTTTTGTGCTCAAAATATTGAGCAGTCAGCCACATTTGTTTCCCAAACAGCACCCATTTTATGGCATCATGTGCTGTCACAGAAAAGTCCTCTGGGGCTACTCACAAATAATGGCTGCGCAAATGCACTCACTGTCTAGGGTCACTTGACTTCATGTCTTAGGAAAGTGTCACACCCCTTTGCAGAATCATGACGAGCACCCATAAAGGATCCTGCAACAGATTTTCAGACAACAAATGCTATCTATTTTAGCCCAGGATGATGATTCTGCTGTAGTGGTATATTTCGAAAGGACACTTGGTCATGGTTGTAGAATCCTTGCGGAAAGTCCTGCCTTTGAAGGGAGGCAAGTTGTTGCTGCTGTTGTTGCTGCATGTTCATTATTTGCCCCATATTATATGCTAACTGACTTGGCTGCATGTTTCCATTATAAATTGAAAGTGTTATAGGGTCAACAGATTCCATATTAACATCTCCATGTCCTTGGCTGTTACTCCAATTTAGGTTTGGGCTCATGGGGCTCAAGAAGGGATACTTTGGAGAAGATTCAGATCTGCCATTTGTCGCAACAACAGTTCTCAAATCCTGCAAATTTGATTCTGGAGTAGTTATGGTGACGTTTGGAGGCCTCTCCATATTGTACTGGGAGAAATGCATTGTTGTCGAAGGGGTCTTTCCATTACCCATTGAGTAATTACTTTGAAATGAATTCGGTGATGTATGCATTGAGTTGTTGGTGTATTCAACTGTGTTTGTACGTATGTTTCCTTGGTATGTTGATAAGGGGCTTTTAAATTCACGAAAGTCACATGTTGTGTTTGGGGGAGCACCATAATATGAACCATTAGGCATAAATCCATCAAAGTTTGTGTAACCTCTTTGCTGTGGGGCACTGAATGTCAGGTCTGTAATTGATCGTCCTTGACTCTGTGGAGGTGATACTTGTCTTCCAGTAATAGCTGACATGTTATTTTGTTGCACATTCTGCATGTATGCCATCTCTAGATATGGATTTGACTCAGTTGGTGGTGCAACAACATTAGGTGGGCAATTGACTTCCATTTCAGTTAACGATTTTGCTAGATGGGTGAGTGAGTTTTTCTTCGACTCTCTTGCGCGATCTAATGGGCCTACAAGAAAATGACCTTTGCATAAATCACACTCTATCAAAAATCAAATCAAATTTGAGTAACTTTGTTGATAGATCAAATGCTTTTGAACTTTTCCAGCCACAGGATTGATTAAAAATACATGATTCTCGATTCAAAAAATGGAAATTATGCAAAGTTTTACAAATTAATTAAAAAACACAGTCAAAAATGCAAATCTGTCACAATTTCTTGCCATCAAAGTTGTAGATAAGTGAAAGGGAGGAAAACGATGATGAGAATCCAATATGTCATACAATTGAATTTTGAAATAAATTTTGTAGTACACTAGTACTTTGCCCCAGCATACAGGTCTTCATCAGGGATTTTACTCTGACAAAGCTGTATGCTGGGCCACAATATCAGCTTAACATTTAAATTATCTTGTAACTCTATTTACAATCCATCGGATTTTATAATTGCTTAGCTCTATTTTTCCTTACTATTTATACCATCATCCCTCATTGAACATAATTTTTTAACAGAAAAACATCCTCCCTCTCTTCCTTCTGACAAAAAGTTTGCAATTTCAATGGGAAAAGTTTAAAAAAGAAAATTTGACCAGAAGTGTAGTGCAGCTGCTTAACCTCAAAAAAGGATGAATTGTGTATTTTATGATACAAGCATGAAAGTTGGTACAAGTACACAATTTGACATGATGAATAATATGAGATGCAGAACCCACTTCAAAATGCCCCAAAGCTATTTTTAAACTGGGGTACTTGTACCTAGTCCTCCTTTGGGTCTTCCTCCATATCTTTTATACTATGCAAGTTATAAACCCGAAACTTATTTTTCTTCCATAACTTGACATGCTGAATAAGATAAGATGCAGACCCCACTTCAAAACGCCCCTAAAGCTATTTCTAGACTGGGATACTCTTATCCAGTTACTTCTTGTTCTACCTCATACCTTTTTTGACATGCTGAATAAGATGATATTTCCCCAAAATGTCCCCAAGAGCTTTGTAACCACGAAGAAGCTGATAATAGAATGTTTGTCTACGTGAAGAGTATTTCCAGTTCAGGACATGGAAGAGTCGCAATCGAAACGGTTGACACTGATGTTTTCATAATAGCAATTGCATTGTTTCGTCAGCTCAGCGGAGTACAGCTTTGGGTTGAGTTTGGAACAGGAGATAACAAAAGATGGCTACCACAGGCTACCACTCCACGTTTACACAAACGCGCTAAAAGAAAGGGTTTGCTTTGGCTTCTTATTTAGGTACGCGTTAACTGGCTGTCACACAGTTTCTTCATTTTGTAAAAGAGGCAAAATCTGTTGGACGATTTTTCTTCGGGAAACTGTTCTTTCGTTGCTCTACCAAGTGCTACTGACCAGTGGCGTAACCGATGTAGGCTGGAGTTCGAGCTACACCTAAAGGTCCCCTAGGGAGGGGCCGCGTAAAGGTTTTCACGATGAAGGTTTGTTTGCATTAGTTAAAGTGAAAAGTGATTTGAGAAACAAAAATTCTTCTATAACATGTTACATAAAGACATTAATTCGCAAAGACCAGTAGTTTCCTTTTAACTGAGACAATAATTTATTCACGTTTACTGTGTGAAACGTCCGTTTCAATCTTCAACGTTTTTAATATATTATTCGGATAAGATGTCTTCAAAAATCCAATGCTAGAGCCTTCAAGAGAAGAAAAAAACATCAGGCAGCAATTCCCAAATACAATGTAATGGCACTTGAGTCTGATTTAGGTCTTGGTGAACAATTTATCGGCGGTACAGAACTTGAAAATGGCTTTGAAAAAAGCTTGTTCCAGTGGCAATTTTTTTATAGGCACGAAACACTGATTGGACAACTATGCCGGCCATGTGCTTGCGCTTTTCTGATTGGCCTATTTTGATCCACCACTGGGTATATATTTTTATACTCTGAGGAATGTCAGATGAAAAGCTTTAACAAGTATATTGTAAAATGTTTGTCTTTTTTAAAGCCATTTTTGATGGGTATTGAAATACATCCTCGTGTTCTTTCACAACGTATTTGTCCTTTGAATATTGAGATGTTACTTTTTTCGCATAGTCAATATTCGCCAAAGATAAAAAAGATGCAATAAACAGTCAATTTACAATGTTTTATTGGAAACATTCTCTAGACCCAATGAATTAGACGCGATTGCAGGAATTTGTGTGTAGTATTTATACAGCTATTGTACACAATACTATCACCTCACAGATTCTTGTCCAGTTCCCAGGTTCCCAGAAAGCAAAATATTTTTTGCAGCTCTGACCTTCAGTATCCTTTTTTTTGACCCCGAAATATCAAAGATTTTAAACCATTAAATTCAAGCTCGACTCATTAATTTTAACTCTCCACTTTGAAATTGGTGGCGTTTGCCGAATATTCCTTTGCTAAGCGACACTTTTGCCAGGATGAATGACTTTGAGCAAATGCCTGATAATTAACCTCTTTGATATTTTTCACTATCTGTTTTGTTTCTCAATGATATTTCCATCTTTTTATCGCATAAATTTGTCTGGCTTTGGAAAAAAATCATTGTTCAAGAGCCTTCGAACAAAGTATTCCCAAAGGATAACAATGAACAGATTTTATTGTTTCAAAGGCACTGGTTTTGCTGTACGATCCGTCGTGTCACCGTATTTCAGTAAATGAAGCAATGAGGTTCCTTGAAGATTCCTTGAAGCAATGCCACCAAATAGGGTACTTCCCATCAAACATACTTCAATCCTCTTTTCAATAAGGGTAAGATTAGATACTTGTTTTTGAGCTCACTAGTGACCAATAGCTACGTACGAACTTAGACAATAAAGTTTCAGAATGGTATCAAGCAAAGCAGGCCCATTTCACGGAAGATGATTCATCTTATTCAGCATGTCAAATTACGACAGAATACTAAGTTTCGGGTTTATAACTTGCATAATTTAAAAGATATAGAGGAAGATCCAAAGGAGGACTGGGTACAAGTACCCCAGTCTAAAAATAGCTTTAGGGGCGTTTTTGAGGTGGGGTCTGCATCTCATCTGACTCAGCATGTCAAATTGTGTACTTGTACCAACTTTCATACTTGCATCATGAAAGTACAATTTAACTGCTAAGTGACTGCACTACAGCAACTATAAAACTGGGTAAATCCCTCAAGAACAAATCATCAGACCATTTCTATTTGTTAATTTTTTCACCACTAAACAATGCCCCAAGCAGAATAAAGAAGGCACTGTAATGTATTTTGACTCAGAACCACTTGATTTTTGCCTGACCCTGGCACTGAATAAAACATAAAGGGACTGACTACAAAAATATACAGAAGTATGCTGTTTAATGATCTGCTTTGCAGCAGCAATTGATAGAAAACATTAAAATCTTAGACTTATGCTACTGAAAATTCACCTAATAGTATTAAAAAACCAATAAATTAATATGCAATGCTATGCTTTGTCAACAGGTAAACAATTTAATGCTTTAAATCCACTTGTGAAACAGAATTCTATTACTGGAAAGGATAATTACTTAAGATTAGAAAATGCTAAATTATTTATCATTTTCATGGGCTTGTAAAGAATGCTGTTGGATTTTGGACAAAAATGAAATGCAGTTACCATGCCGAGGAATGTTTTCAAAATTCGGTTAAGGAAAACATGAGACATTGGCAGGAGGAATAAAAACAAATGGCACATTAGTTCAACATCTAGGCTCAAATGCTTGTCATCTCTTTCATCAAAAACCTTTTCTTCTTCGAAAGCAGTTCAAAAGCCTATGCAATCAGTATTTTTGTACCAAAATCTGCTTTTGACAAACATAAACAAGGTTTGGGTTTTGAGGTCAGTTTCTTTAAAGGAATGTTTAAAAAGATTTCAAGAAAACTAGCAAATTCCACTTACCATCTGGCCTAATAGGGCTGCAAATGCTGCTGTTGGTAGACTGCTGCCTTTGAAACTGGGCAAGCATCTGCTGCTCAACACTGATATCACTCATCGTACTAATAGACTCTGATCTAGCAGAAGCACACGTGGTAGGATTTCTATTATCCTGAACAAGATTGAAATTGCATCCTGGATCTTGCAGTGAAGGAGAAGACATATCAAAAGTGTCAGAGAAATCTTCTGGTGAATCGAGAATGTTCTCTGGTGAAGATTTGAGAAGATCTTCAGACACATCAAACAGTTCTTCTGGATTTTCTTTTAAGATATCATCTGGGTTTGAATGCTCAGTTATTGAACCTGCAGGAAAATGTTGCTTTTGACAGTGACAAAATGTGAATGCAAAAGTGTATGTCTTCTATACATACGTGTGCATCTATGAAAAGCCTCAAAGTATAAATTGAATTGAATTGTTTTTATAAACTCTGACTCATGACTCAAGATTTTGTATCAGACTCAAGAAGAATACAAATTACTGCAAAAACTGATCATTAATGGAGAACCAGTGGAAAGGGGGTTGTAGACTCTCTGGGTGCAAGAATTGAAAGGGAAACTTGCAGTCAATTTTTTTTACACCTAAATTTTATATAATTTTGGTGGTATGCAATAACAAGACAATAACAAGAAAACCAATCATCATCAAAATCTAAATAACAAACACTCAAGAATGTTCTAGCCTTGATGACAATAACACCAAACCACTGGTGGAAACGAAGGGACAGCTACCCCCCAATATTTTGGAGGACAATGGTCTTTTGTTCCAAAACAATGAGAAAATGTGATGTCATCTTCTCAAAACAATAGGCTGGCCCCCTAATATCTGACCAAGTGTATGTCCCTACTTCAAACTTAAGCTTAAAGAAAGTACATGAGCAATTTCAATGAATGAAGCAACAAACAAAACGCAAGTTTCATCCATCCAATTTACTGCATGGTTCTGCTCCGTTTGGCAGGGTATCATGGATGAGCAAAATTCCAAAACACCCATGGTGGATGTTTATCATAGCAGCACACAAACAGACTTTACATTTTTTTATGCAAAAGTTTTCCTGCAGTCTGAAGTTGTATTTTGACTGAGAAATTTTGAAGTAAACCACGCAACGCATTGAAAGTCAAATAAAACTCTCCTCAAACAATAACACAGCTATAAAAGAGGAACAAGAAATAGAAGAACTTAAAAAACTACAATGTACCTGCAATAACAGCATCACTGTTCCCGTGATACAACTGCAAAGGCCCGAGGTCTATTGCGTGAAAATCAATGGGTGCAGTGAGTGGGAACCCATACTCCATTGACTCTTCCTCTCCGAAATCGTTTCTGTTCAATCCGATTCGGGCCAGACTCTTAATATCCTCGGAATCCCTCACCCTCATCATTGCATCACCCTCTTCATCGCTACAATAACAAATTCAGAAGGGGCATTTAGATTTGGAAGCAACTGGGAAAGGACCAATAATGAATTATTGCAACATCTAATAAAAATTTTCTTTAGAACGCAATTTCCAAAAGATAATCGATTGAGCTAGTTAAGTGAATAGAGCCAACTCTTGTTTAACTCAATTATGTGTAACTCGAACTTTCTCTAATTCGAAAAAAATTTTCAGGTCCCTTCAAAAACCCTAGCAAACTCATAAAACCTATATGAACTTTTCGGATCTCTTTAATTCAAACTTTTCAAAATTCGACCAATTTTGTCGTTCCCTCTCGAGAAAGAACTTTTCTGGTGGTGGTATAAGTAACCTTACCTAAAAAAAGTTATTGTAACTGAAGGGCCATTTTGGCTGTCACTCAAGTCATTTCCAGCGATAATTGTTTTGGGGATGAAGAGTGTAAGTTCAAGGAATTTTTGCCAGCCATGTGCTGAGCTCTGAAAGATTAGCACCATTGCCTATTTTTATGTTACATTCTTATCAAAAGACCAGATAAGTTGACAAAAGCGTTTTTCTATGCAAGTTGCGATGACATGGAAAAGGGCTAAACAGAGCTGATGTGGGGATAACTGAGGCAAAATCCAGGATTTTTGGAAACACGCATAAATCGAACACTTCTCGTATAACTCGAACACATATCGTTTAAATCGAACACTTTTCGTATAATTCGAACATTTCGACGATTCCACAGAGCTCGGGTTACACGTGAAAAGATGCCAAATGCTTTGGGGTGGGGAAAATTTAGTAACTAAGTAACTTAGCTCTATATTTTGGCTTTCAAGTATTTTAGAACTCTTCTCAGCTATGATAATGTCTGTGTCATCTGTATAAAGACGACATATCATTTATATGTAGCAAAAACAGTAGAGGGCCTAAACCAGACCGTTGAGGTACACCATAAGGTTTACTTCATCCAAGATGTCTGAACAGTTTGCTCCTTTTCAAAATCAGAATTTAATTTGACTCTTAAATCCATAACTTGCAGAGCTTTCGCTTTCAGAAATTGACGCGCGTGGTAGCAGCTGGGCGCGCGAATCGTCATCGCCTCAGCCATTACGGTCGTTCTTTTTATCTATCCTGCTGCGAGGTTAGCTTTTCATGTGAGCAGTTTTGCATTGCAAGAATACTAACCAATCGCAAGCCGTTATTTTGATGGGTGGCTTAACAAGTTGGGTATACGCAGTCCTTTTATATGGACACATTACCTTTAACAAAGATGCTGGTTTTTAAAATTCCCTTTCCATATCTTGTAACGTGTCGCGCTTAATATCTATTAACCGCTCTCGCAGCCCACGTTGGGTGCGTGCCTGCACGCCCTTAACTAAATCCTCTAAAGAAACACTCTCGAAACTGTTTCGTGGAAACACGCCGAATTCGCTTTCCACCCTTTTAAGTCAAAGGTTGCTGTCTGGCTACGGAAAATCTCCAGACAGCGGGTATTTTTAGACAGACTATTTTGCAGCAAAGGTGTCCGGTTGAAGATGGCTGAATAGGATTACTCTGTTTACTAAAGACGTCCGAACCAATAAAATCGTACGATACCAACCTTGAGTGCCACCCATGCTGGAGACTATGAAATTTATAGGGAATTTCCATCTCAGAACTCTCAGAATTTTTATCTATCTACAAATATTTCAACATATATGCTGGAGACTATGAAATTTATAGGGAATTTCCATCTCAAGGCCCTCAGGATTTCCATCTTTCTACAAATATTTCAACATATATGCTGGAGACTATGAAATTTATAGGGAATTTCCATCTCAGGGCCCTCAGGATTTCCATCTTTCTACAAATATTTCAACATATATGCTGGAGACTATGAAATTTATAGGGAATTTCCATCTCAGGGCCCTCAGGATTTCCATCTTTCTACAAATATTTCAACATATATGCTGGAGACTATGAAATTTATAGGGAATTTCCATCTCAGAACTCTCAGGACTTTTATCTATCTACAAAATATTTCTTTCGCAAGAATAATCTTGATATACCAACGTATCTCACCCTTTAGCAACCACTTCTTTCAGTGAACACCTAGACAGACTTCGGCCATCGAGCGCTATGATTTCTTTTAGGCAGTGGCGTAATGCAGTTTAGGGCACTTTAGTTCGTTAACTAAGTGCCTCCGAAGCAACGGGGAGCTAAAATTATTTCAAAATGTCTACTTTCACCTTACTTTCAACAAGTTTGAAAGATCTTTAACTAAAGCAAATAACTCAGCTCCCCAGGCTAGCCAAAACAATTTTCAGTTTTTTGACTTGCTACTGTATTTGACATGCTTCTGATTGGATTTTCTTCAAGTCCGAGATAGGAGCCCCGCTTCAGTTTTACCTTATTTCCCCAGATTTCTCCGTTACACAACTAATTCTGGGTCTAGCTGCCCCCATAAAAACAAAGTACTTGCTAAAAGCTATCACAAGGCTGGACAGCGGCTTTATAAACAGCGGTTCTTACAGCTACCGAAGAGCTTAGGAAGGCACGCCTTTATATTCATGTCTGTAACAAATCCACAATCAAATATCAATGCCTTCATTGTAATTTGCAAAACTACTTGCAGATAAACATTAAAAAACATTGAATAACGAGCTTGCATTTGAAAACACATTCATTTCTAGTCCAATAATTTTGTCTAGAATAATCTTATTCTGCACGTGTGCTCAAAACTACTTTTTGTTTACTGGCTGTTTTTATCTCATTCAGGAATTCATACTTTATATCTATATTCATACTTTATAGCGTATTTTATATTTACAAATAAGGCTTTTTACTGATAAAATCGAGCTCAAATGATGTGAAAAGAGAAAATGAACAGAACCGACCGGAAATGAAATTATTTTCAGACTACTGGGAGAAACGATATATACAAACCTCCTTCAAAAGATTGCAAAATGTTTATTGCTACAGAATTTGGTGACGTGGGAAAGCAATGTGAAAATGGAAAAACTTTCACAAAGGAGAAAGGAGCCATGAATGTATTAAGAAAAACAAAACATCAAATATTTTTGAAAAACAACTTGTTTGGCCTGACCCAGTTTTCTGTGATATTTCTTGACAATTGCTGGTAAAGGCGGAAAATACGTCTGCGAACCTCCAGGTTTACCCGAATGAACAAGAACTCACACGACGAACAAACCCGTGAAAATGTGCTTTCAATGTATGGAGCACAAATATCGCTATTTAAAAAGCATGCTTTTGAAGACTGATCCTTGCAACTGTGTGACAATAGTTTGAGAAACTTTAATTCACTAATGAGCCCAACAATTTGTTATCTATAATTTTGATTGAAATCTAAAGTAACATAAAGGATTTTGAAGAATAAAAATTGATGTAAGCTGTACTTACAAAATAAGATACCAGCATAATCGTAGGAGGAGAATTTTCAAAATGGAGACACGGTTAATAATTTTGCTTGATTTCGCGCATATATGCATGTTATAAACATTTACACTCACAGCTTGAAGACAATATAAAATTGCCTTTGGGCATTACTTAATAATCTTTGTAAGGTAAAAGGAAGTCAAAAATGTTGTTTTTCTTGAATTGGCAAAATTTATTTCAGGGTTTATCAGTTTTTCCCAGACTTTCAAATGTTTCAAACACTTTCCAGACTACCTGTGATTTCTTGGGAATTGTTGCTAACTGGAAAGCACCAGGGGCAGATCTTCAACGGGCTCTATGCAAAAAAACTGCTTCTCATGACGCAGACTGAATTTTCTCGCCAAAATAATTGGCTAGTACATAGAGATTTCTTGTTTGAGAAGCACACTTCTGCTAAAAAAATAGCAACCTTCATTAGATGTTTCTTCCTAGGTACAAAGGTGCACCTTTTGGAGCATGGCACCTTTTAAGGAACCTACTGAAATCTCATTGAGGCTGCACATACCTTTCTTATAATCGAAACTGCACTCGTTACAAAATACTTGAGAGAGCTAGAATGAGCCTATAAAGCAAAACATTTAGGCCATGTACAGCTACCCTAACCAAAGGAAGTCCTTTTCCTAACAATGACATTAGCAAAAAATCCACGTAACTACAACGAACACGTTAATAATAAGGGCACAATGCAAGCAAACTAAAACCAAAGTTGGGCGTTACATTAGTCGCAAAGCTAGACATAGCAAGACAGTGTAAAGCAGAGGATGCATGTAATGTCTGGATGAATGTCTTATTCAGCCAAGGTGAGTCACAACTGAGCAGTCAAAAAGGCATCTTCGAATATACATAAAGACAAATATATTGCACAGACAAGAAATTACAGCAAGCGATTGCTGCTTCAAATACACAAATAGAAGTCTTATCTGAGTACAGAAAACGCCTGAACTTTTCTCTGGATGAAATTTTGCCATATTTGCCCTTTTCGAAGTTTTCCTTGCATCTTTTATATAGATGTTTCTTATAAATGGAGGTTATGTACAGTTTGTTTTATTTTATAACAGAAAAAAGAAAAGTTCAAGCACGATGGCAAATTCCTGTCACTTTATATATTCTTGTCAATTTACGCAGTGACCCTCCTCTTGGGTAGCCTAACTCCAGAGTCTGATAACATGCAACAACTATACATTGGCAGCTGAATGAGAAACAGCAGAGAATGAATAATTATCCCCGAATAAATACTGTTTTGGGTAGGTTGAAGCGAGCCTAAGGGGTTTCGGCTTTGGGTGAATGGGTCAAATTCTTTCTTTAGCTGCAAAATTTTGAGCGTGGTAAAAAACTGCAAAATTTAGCGATAAGAAGGCTAAATTAGAATCGGATCGCATAAAAGATGAACGTGCTTTGAAAAAATAAAAAATTGAAACTTCAACTAAAGAAATAAATGCCCAAAAACATTGAATCAATTGTACTTCTGTGTACTGGGTCACAAAATAAACGATGCATTATCCTGAAATTAATCCGTTACTTGGACATAACATGTCATTTTAGCCTGCAAGTAGCAGGTCTCAACATAACAGTTAATGAAATAAGTTCCCCAATTTAATATTTCGTGGCAAGGTACTCAGTATTATTAACTTTGCATAAAAAATGAGCTTGAAAAACGTAAAGCCGGTTACCTCTGACGCTCCAACAAGCCCCTTGCGACTGGCCTAGGTTCAGACATTGAAAAGCGAGGGCTTGTAATGCCCCATTCTTCGAAACAGTATACGTCACAAAAGACAAAACAAGCGTACCCTGTTATCGTAACAATGTCAGAACAAAAGGCTGTTACAGTCAAGGTCAACGGCAAAAAGTCGCCTGCGACTGCAGAAAGCCTTGCAGCAGGGAAGCGGAGACAAAATACTGCCTAGCCTAACAGCAACAGTTCTGCAGCCGTATACGAAATGTGAAGATTGAGAAGCACTAAGCTCAGAGAATCCAAACCTAACTGTCTAGGATGAGATACACGTAGGAAAAAGCAAAAAAGCGGAAAAATCGAATAACAAAGCTGCAGGGAAGTCTGAAATAATTACCTAGTCCAATATATGCAGGCTCGAAAGCGACCAAAAATATTCTGCATAAGCCAAAGAAAAGACCCAGGACTACCTCGATTGTTTCATGTCTAAGAAACATGACATGGACTTTTTCCACTGACATGAAATCCTTTTATCAATAATTCATTCGTCGTTTTCTTTGTTACGAGGCCAGTCAGTAACAGCCGGGGGTCTATGCCTTTGCTATCCAAGTGGGCTTACGTATCTGGTTTTGAATTTCCAGACAGTCCAGTTTTACTTCGAGCCATCAAGGTTTCGACCTATGAGCCCGTCGATAGTCTCACCAAATTAATATTCTTGATCAAATAATGATGTGAGGCCAAATTAATATCACCGATTTCTTGCTGTCATAATCTAAGGTTATGTTATCTATAACAGTCTATTCGAAGACAAAAAAGCTTTTAGGGCAGGCTTTTCCTTTTTCAAAGAGGGGGACAATAGCCTATTGTTTGAAACAATTGAAAGTCACTGAGGCTTAGAAGCAACTACCCCCTAGTTAGTATGTTAAAAAGGACCTGATTTATAACCATTCCAAAATTATCCATTTAATGGTTAGTGAGTATTTTTAAATAAAGAAAATCTTACATTAAGCAAACATTTTTCGTGTCCCGGGTGATATATTATGGTTGCATGAGTCAAGTCTTAAGGCTAACAGCAAACTTTCCAAAGAGCTAAGGACAGTTACATTAAAGGTTATACTCCTCTACATTAACAGCAAATAATTATTTTTGAAGAATTCTGGCATTTACAGATTTTTGGGGATTTTTCTAAAAAACAAAACATTTTCTTCAATCATAGGCGCAATTTCTCTGGAGCGAAATTTCTCCTCGGTTACTTTATATCATACACAAACAATAATAGTGTCAAATCAAATCGATGATTTTACTCGAAAATTGTAAGAATTGTGAAACTGTACTCTGTTTTAACATATAACTTGAACTATTTCCGTAGTAGCAACCCAAATAGATAGAAGTCGACCTGCGTATTTTCGGTATGGAGAGGGACAAATGATTAGGGGGGTTGTTTGATAATGATTGGATTTGGGTGCCACACCCTTCAAATGCATAGGAAGTTGATGATACGCCCTCCGATATTACCTATATGGTACACAACAAAATACAGGCTGAAGCATCTCTGAGTCGGGGTGCGATGAAATTATAATACAAAAACTTGTGTTCTAGAGGGATTTTAAGCAAGTGACGAAAAAAACAAGCCATTTTCCTGATGAGCAAGCTGAAACAAGAAAGCCAATGAGCTTGCAAAGTAGACAGTTCTGAATAACTTATCAAAATTGACCCCCGTTATGAATGAAGGCCAGACAATGCAATGGACAACATGGTTATTTAAATTGCACTGTAGGACATTTTGATGAAACAAGGGTCAGAGAGATTAAGATGACTACGCTGGAAACAGTGAAACCATGCGAAAGTAACTCAGTACAAAAACCGTATCTGAAAGGCCATGAGCCGCTTTGAGGCATAAAAAACTAGCACCGGAGCAGTGATGGAAAAAGGCTTGGATTATGTAAAAAGCTCCTTTAGTTGACAGAGAACAGTGGGAGAACTGAGAACCGCGAGGCCCTCCAACTATGTCAGGACACCCATGGATTGCACTCTTGCTCTAACAGAAAAAATAACGATGCATGCAAAGATGTTAAAGGAAAAAAATAAGGTGAAGACTGCAAAAAAGAAGACCCAACAACACTGCACTGGCTGATGGGGCAAGCCATGACATCATTTGGAAAAAAGGACTTAAAGCTGACACTCATGGATATATCAAAATGACTTTGTGCCAAACAAATGTAATAGATGCAAGAAAAATATCAAATCAGAGTAACCCAGAACAGGCTGTGGATTTGTTAAGAACTTTCTGAATCCTATTCGCTAGTAAAACTCAAGCAAGGAATGGGTGGTGGCAAGTCGAGTTGGAGAATGAAAATGACAATACTGTGGTGTGGTGTTTAACTATTTCAAGGACATTGTTGATATATTTGAGAGCCACTCACCTCATTACCCTGTTGGTCGTGACAACAAAGTCTTCTTTGTTATTTTTATAAATAACTCTTGCGTAACCACAAATCCATGTCCAGTCATTTGACTTGCTGAGCAGTCTGAACGTTGCTGTTGTGGTCCTTCCGAGGTGAATAACTAACGAGAAAGCGTAATTATCAGTTACAAAATGCGAATCATTGTATGTATAACATAGGTTACTTCAAAACTAAGCTATAATGAATTAGGGATGCCCACTCTCTCGGTAACGCGCTGGAAAACTCACCCCACCCCACAGATGTTACGTAGCAATTCTCCAATTGAGGACCAATATATAACCTTGAATATTTCGACATAATAAATAATTCTAGCCTCAAAATGTCAAAGCTACGACAATATACTTTACAAAATAAATAATGATTTGTCATATAATTGTCAAAATTAATGAAAAACTTGTAAGAGGATTTTAGACAATCCCTTAGCCTAAAAAACATTTAACGGAACCAGGCAACACAAGGCTACGAGACCTGATAAGAGACAAATCCACCGGTGAAAAATTAAGCCTTTAATCAAAAGGCAAAACAACACGTACGACATGAAAAACAACAACATGCAAAATTAAGAACAGTGTAATGACGAGTTAATGAGATTTGCAAGCATATAAAGAAAAATTCGCAGAATTTGTCTTTATCGATTAAAACAAAATGTGCTGTGGCCTATATAATAAGGAAAAAACAAGAAATAAGCATTTTCAAAGATAAATCCTAACTTTATACCAAAAAGAAACGCATTTAAAAACACACTTTTTTAAATCTTCAACACCGGAGCTATCATTCTATCAATTTGTTCATTCTCCAGATCAACTTGTCTTCTTTCTCAAAAGAACAATACCTTACCACGACAATAGTACGAGCCCCCCTGAAACGCCGTGGCGGTACAACGGCTGATCCGATTTTACTTTGACTAGACCACTCAAGTTTGCTTGTAGCAGATTTCTGTCTGGGTTTTTTCTACCTGTACGAAAACACTTGACAAGATTTGACGGAGGTCAAGAGAGTTCAGTGTTAAAGCTCGTGCCTATTACATACAACGTTTGCTTGGTTAGCGGACAAAATGTTGGGCAGTTTTATAAAGGCAAGTACTTTCTCGACAGCTTTGACACTTGTTTAGAAAAATTGCAGACAACGTCTTAATTTTAATTCTCAGGCAGTCGGCTTACATTCACTGGCAAATTATTGAGTCTAATGATAGATAAAGCTTAAAACTCGGACTTTTTTCGTAATCTCGAAAACAAAACATGGCGATGGACTACTTTGTGCCTAAACTAACCATCTCTCAAAATTCAAGGCAAAAATCACTAGAAATATTTGGAGATTGTTGGCCCTTCCGTAGACTATAATTTCAATCTCTATCTATTTCAGAAATATATCGTTCCAACTAACATCGTCCATATTGATACATACAAAACACGGAAAATGGGAGAACACTTTAAAAGAAGTATAGGTTTACTGATGGTCGCAGTTAGACAATAGCTCCCAACTTTTTAGAAGTCATTAGAGTGTCAATATCCCTTCGTGTATATGGCAAGTCATCTTTTGAGCTAACATTCTATTATCGTAGGCTTAGATATTTGTAACGCTATAATTTACTATTTTAATTGCCTCGCGGGTCAGCAGGTTTATAAAAGTTTATGCGGGTCTGACCCGCGAATTGTGGTAACTTGGGAGCTATGTATACTTTCTTACTGATGGTCGCAGTTGTACATTTTCGCCTTTCTGTCCCTATATCAAGCAAATGGAGGCTCGTATTATTCACATTTTAAGGACATCATGGTTCAGAGGACCTTATGAATGTTAAATATAGCACAAAAGAATTGGTGAATGGCGAAAAGGCAAAATTAATAGTAGCGAACTAACTTTCAGTATGCTTGCAGCGCAGGTGCTGTAGGTCGGCGCGATGTACCATGACGTAACTCGATCTGCCAAACAAATCTTTCTTTGAGTAGCCAAAGAAGTCTTTCCCTCTTGAAACAAATATACCGTATACATCAATGGGTGAAAATATAAAAACCACAACTGGTTTCACAAATCACATGACACTGATAGATGTGTATAATTTCTTTTTAAGGATTATATCAAAGCCAGTGACTTGGAATGACAAGATTTCAGGATATGAAATACTGTACAATGCTGGCTAATGGCCAATTCAAATAATTAGGGCTACAAAAGCTTACGTGTCGTAAGAACCTATATTGTTTATTTGCTAAATGAGATTCGTTGTAGATAATGTGTGGACTAGCTATCTGAATTTAGCATTTGGTAGCAAGATTCCCTTAGAAAATTCTTCCTTAATAATTAACTAACAAAACAAACTTATAATTTTGCGAGAATCATTCTCCTTAGAAAAAAAAATCGTGCAGCTAAAGCCCTTATTTGCAAGCCTCTTTTTCATTACGCCCTTTTGGGTTGCTACCAGAGCCAAGGTTAGAGTATTTTATTACTCACCTTGCATCCATATCAAGGAATGTGAAGTCCATTTTGTTTTTGCTGCAGAAAAGCATGCTCTTCATGCGCACCTCGAGCATCGAGTAGGTAGGCCGTGAGGGCTGACACACTGCAAATAAACCGTACTGGTCTGGCCCATCATCCAACATATAATTTAGTTTTCTCATGTACCCGCTTACTTTAAAAGGCTGCAAGATGAAAAACGATACCATTATAGATATATATGGGGAATGCAAAAGCATGTTAGAATCTTCTTAAAAAATTTCTCGAGTATACCATTGCACTGCATAGCGATAAACTGATAATATGCCCTGACTTCGATTTTAGCAAAAAAGAATGAATTTTGTCATTGTTTGTGCAAAGTAATTTTCATGGTTAAAACTGGACGGTCTAGGTGATGCCTTAAATTTTCGTTATTTATATTGTTGTTTGTTTCAAAAACCGACGCAAAAAGTTACAACTGCGGTGGAAAGTCATGCAGAGGATGGTACGTAGAACTAACAGGTTTAAAAGCAAGAAACTCTCAAAAATAGCAAAATCTGGTTAAATTTCTCTAAATTTAAGGGCCTCTCAAACCGTTATATTGCCTTCAAATATTTTCGTTTGCATGTGCTACAGTTAAATGTAATTGCGAGAAAAATTTGATATCACAGTTTAATTGGGATGTCCTTGCCTACGTACATGAAGCCAGAAATTGTACATCGGCGCTTTTCAAAACATTTAATGCAAATAGTAGTCCATTTATGTTTCACTGGAATATGAATATGAAGTTCTCAGGTATCTTCCACCACCAGATATTGTGAACAAAACTTCCTAATAGTTCAAACAAAATTACTTTGGGGAAAAGCAACAAGGCCTACCTAGGTCAAAGTCAATTTACAGCGAATGGCCCAGCAGGTTACAGTTGCACTAGAAATGGTTTCATTAAATTGAGAGAATTAAAGGCAATCTGTCATGACGTTGATTAATTATAAGAACAAAGGGATTATTTATTGTTTCCAGTCCCCCTTTAATTTATCGCATTGTAAAAAATATGGCGGAGCGCTGGAATTGTGTTTAGGCTATTGTTCCAGCTATTGTTCTTGTTAACCAATCCACAACGAGACAGATTGCCTTTAAAATCATGATATCAAATTTAATAATTTTCAACTTAACAAGTTTATTTCAAAGGTTGAGGCACTGATTTTACTTTCAGACAATACTTGAAGGCCTTTCAGGGGCATAATTATTTTCGAACAACTAAGAAATTGACGGATTGACTAGAACGAATTGAAGAAAGGACAGTGTAATGAAAAAAGGAGTGGTTTGGGGAAAGATTTCCAAATCTTTCACGAACTTCAATTTACCTTGTACATATCTGAAGAGCTTGAATTTAAAACACTTTTCATTCGAATAACAAACTCTCTGTGCTGTAATTCTAGAATAGAACATACATGACAATAAAAACTGCTCATCCATAAACACTCTGCACTGCAAAAACGTACATGATCGAGTGAACTCTAAGTTGTGAATGAAATTGTCACATTTTTTGATCGAGTGAACTTTAAGTTGTGAATGAAATTGTCACACTTTTTGATACAGAATTATCTTTCTTCGGTTTGATCAACAATAGAAATAAGTCCCAAATAACCAATAAGTTATATCCTACAGCCAAACCAGTAAGATATAGCATGGTCTTACCAATAGCGGCTTCGTCTTCAGCCTCGTTCTCATCTTCATCAATTTCAACAATCTGGAAAATGTTAATAATGAGAATTATTGTTTACTGGTCTGTCATAAAGTGCTCCATACCATTCAGGCAGAGCTGTACACGCATTATGTCAGGCAACTGTTCTGATGATCGCATTTAGCGTGAAACTTTGAGTAGCAGCTTAAAGTAGAAGACGTTGATAAATAAATAGTTTAATAAGTATTAAGCTATCCGGACTAAAGAGGGAAGGTAGAAACAAAATTTTGTTCTGAATATGCCTCTCCTGAATATGCATCAGCTTAGAAGCAGTGAAAATCAAAAACTGAAGGGAGCTTAGTTTATGAAAAATTAAGAACATTGCGAGTTAGTTGATACAGCCTAAACATGATCATCCAAAAGCTGCACACGTCGTGAAAATCGCTAGTTAGAATTTGCATTATTGTTCAATTTCAATACAATTCCATGATTACAAAGGTTGGAGATGCATTTGAAATAAAACAACCAGGTTCTTCACAGAAACAAAGACAAATTATCAACAATTTTGTGAGCATTTTTTGGCCTGGAGCAGTTTTTGCAAAATATGACTGAATAAGGATTTATATGAGATGTTTCACCTTTGGTTTTCGGCTTGGCTCCAGGCCAGCCCTGAGCTCGTCATGATCATCATCGTGAATGTAGGAGTACAAACTCTGATGGAGGTATTGTGACTGAAACGGTAAGAGCAAGGATAATGACGAAAGGGAGTCACATGGATAGCTAGAGATCAATGGCATTGAATCATGATAAAAGGAAATAGTATAGGCCAATGCCCCGTGTCATAATTTTAAAGCTCGGGCTTCGCTAACAGCCAGTTCAGAACAATGGTTGTTAAAGTGACGAAACAAATGACAAAACTTTCAATTTACAGACTTTCTAACAAACAACATGGTCAGAGTTTGAGACAGCAAATTTCACAGATTTATTACAACATCACACGAAAAGGTGAATAAAAGAGTGAAGTGAAAGTCTACTGGACAATTAATACGTGAAATAGGAAATACGCTAATGTGCGTCATAGTATTTTTACCTGGGAGTAGCCAAGGTGGGATTTCACACTTTCTGATATGAAAAATATTACACCTGTATACGTAAGGATGATCAGGAATCCGTCGATGGCCTACAAACAAAACATAAAAAGATTACAGTCCGCAAATGTGAAAAGAGCTTGAAGTTCATTGAAATTAGATAGTATTCATAACGAAATGATGATAGGAAAAATATTCACGAAGAAATCTTTGAAAAGAGAAGTTATTATTAGTGTTTTTAAAATTGATATAACATTTCAAAGCAGTGGTCTTACAGACTTTGTTGACGCTGAACCTTTGATGAAATGGTGACAAGAAGTTCAGTTACAGTGTCTCTTTATTTGATTGTATTAAACCAAGCTATCTTGTACTCTAGTTGGTTTAGACAGAGCAAAATAGTACATGTATGGAAATACTGCCTTTGAGCTTGTAACATATAACAAATACTGCCATCGCATGTTTTATAGGACTATCAAATCGTTTAAGGCTAGCATTACTAGCTGTCACTGTAAAAGGGCTGGAGCACCCTCAAAGCCACACTTTGCATAAAACCTGTTCCCATCAAGAGAGGGGCTTCTTTTTTCGGTCTTGAACGCCCAAAACATTTCCGATCATCTTGACATGGACCTTTCCAGATGTACGTGACAACCTATGCGATCCAACGAACTCTTGGATATGCGAGCGTATTGAAGAAGGTTCAAGGGGAACGAAAAATCAGTTCTTATTGTTGAAAGTTCGATTTCTGGGGTTTTGGTGCGTTGGAGAAGGTTCAAAGAGGAATCAAAAACAGTTCGAGCTAGCGAAAGTTCGAGTTATCCGGGTAAGAAAGTATCTGGGGAGGTTTAGCAAATCTAAAACCGCCTGAAGGTTTCATTTCTCTTTCCACTTGGCGATCAAAGCGGTCTGGGTGACGACAGCTGTGGCCTAGTCTGTCGGATCCCTTTGACGACCGAACAGCTCCCACATGATCCATTTCGGGCAAATCCCGTGATGAAATTATTTATCGTAGTCCATTTACAGTAGATGTTTAGATGAAAAAGGTTTTGTAGTAGGCGATTAGTTATTACCAAGTATTAAGTTGTCTATTGTTTACCTAGTAATGCTCGAATATGTTGACATGATTTTCGCAATAATTGCAGCAGAATTTTAATCTCGAATAACAAACCTCGTTGAACAATTGCGAGAAAATCCCTTTTGGATTTGGCAATGCCAAAGGCGGCGTTATTTCTTTTGCCTTAGGACTCTTTCCCGCCGCAGCACCTGCAGAAAAAAACGCATGAAAATAGCAGGCACCGCAATGCAACTATCGGTATTCTTTACAAGTAACAAGTTGTACTAAGAGAAAAAAGCATCCAATCAACATTTGGCAACAATAACTTTGGCATTACAAGCAGGGGCGTAGCAATAGGGGGATCGTAGGGGGTGTGACACCCCCAATACTTCATGAATGGGTCGGGACATCTTCAGTTTGTCCACAAAATCACTTTTTCGTCGGTAAGTCATCTATCAGTAGGTGAAATAGCACCTAGATCTTTCTCGATCTATGTCTTCGTCGGTAACTTTTCATTTCTCCAACCCCCCTCCCCCCCCTCCCCTAGTCTGAAGGTCAAGCGATGCCACTGACTATAAGATATGTTGTTCCAACTGACCTCTTTTGGAGCACACAGAAAGGACTATGCTACTTGTGAATAATGCCAACAATGATATTAAAACACATCTAATGCATCCACCTTATCAATGTGTACTTATGGGAACGCCAACAATTATGATAAGAAATCCAGTCTATCCAACTCACTTTTTGGAACGATCGTTTAAGGTTTTTCGAGAGAAATATTTTTGCAAATAATCTTTTTGTGGTATAAAATTTAAAAATGGCTTTTAAAAAAACAAACATTTTGAAACATGCTGAACTTTTCGTCTGACATTTAATTATTATAATTCTTATTATCGCATTCTACCATTATATTTTTATGCTTTAATCATGCGCTATATATTATCTTAACTGGTCATTCTATAATACTGGTTAATCAAATTATCTTTCAGGTATTTACAAATTAAAACTTAATTGATTAAAACCTAGCTGTGCGTATGTCAAACACGGACATGTGGCTCCAAGTGTATTGCGAGTTTTTTCCATGTGTCGGAAAGATTGCATAATCGAACTTTAATTGCGTCTATCTTCGTTATTTTTGTGTCTTAATTGTATTTTCATAATTGCGTTTTATCGAGTTAACAGTAATTTGTGTACGTTGTTTTGATAACTAAATAATCCACGCTGTGAATTAAATATTCATTGCGAATTTGAAATTTCATTGTGTTGACCTGCATCAAATCTTGTATTTAGCGTTAACAGGATTTTCGCCAAATGAACTTGACTCGATAAATGTAGGCATCAGAGATGAATTCTATCAGAAATGCTGCTTTTGGTTGGCTAGATGTATTGTTAGCAGAATATCGAGCCAAGGCTTGAACAGGCCTTGAGAATATATCTTCAAAGGTCACTGTTAGGTAAATCGATCTATCTGCCTGCCATTAAACCTCGTACTTGAACAGCAAGCAATGATCTCCTCTTTAGTTAGGCCGCGATCTTTTCAGATTTACAGTCAGCTAAAAATGGCTTTTTACGATTTCGGAGTAAATTTGGAATTTAAATGTGACGCCAAAAAAGTTAATTTTTAGAATAGTTATTTTTGACAACAAAAACTAAAAAACATCATAAAATATTTCTATAGATAGAAAATCAGTTAAATTGGTCAATTATTGGGTGAGATAAGACTGGTAGAGTTTCTCTCGGTGTTACAGTTTCTAGTTAATTTTATCTATAGTTACATGTATAAAAAAAACTGTAACTGACTCACACATCCAAATGTACAACAAAAACTGTTAAGCATAGAGTAAATAAAGGAAAAACCGAAGGTTAGAGCATCCGATCGTTTTCAAAATGTGTTGTAAAACAGAGAAACAGAAGTGTTCTGAAACAGAGAAAGTTATAGTTAAATAGTTGCCAAAAAGTTCTTTCAAACTTATTTGAATTGATATGGTGTGACCAGCTTTTAATTAGTTTTAGTTCCCAAACAGCAAATTTCGACATCCCCACAAAACAAAAATGGAGACAACCATTAGCGCTAATAAAATGTTTACAATCGCAAGAAGAAACTGAGAATATCCTATATATATATCCTATATATATACAATTTCTTACAAAAAACTTGAATCAGCACTAAGTACTAAAAAATTCTAAATTTAGCATCCATTCCACATATTTGCGTTTTAATACTAAAAGTTTCTTAGTTGTGTTGATCAAGATATCAGCTTTCTTTTCATTGGGATAATGGCATTGAGCTTGCGCAAATGAACACAAATGAAATGAATTAATTATGCATGGCATCCTTATTTCTTCTTCTTAAATTGCCTAATTTTTTTTAGGTTGAGCATAGTCGGAAGAATATAAACGCAGATTGTCATGAAAAAACTCATGAATATCAAAATTTGTTTGTTAAAACATGTGTTTTTTCTATATTCTAAATCATCAACTGCGTTGGATGATCATCTGGAAAGCTTACACTTAATGGACTCCTTTTTTCAAAATGAAAATTTTACAGTTTCTTATATATTCCTGTGCCTGTACTAAAGATTCTTAAACTTTTGGCCATCCTAGCACTAGCTTCTTATAAACCAGTTTTTATAACGTGTAGTTGTACCTATCGCAACTCCAAACATACAATTAAATTCAACGGCATGAGTCCTGCAGAAGGCACAATCAATTTGATAAAAATAGAAACAAATTTGGCCAATGATGCCGCTACGATACAATCGAGTCAATTAAGCTAGCATTTTTGTAGATAACACTACCAGTGATACCAGCCAACGAGCTGCGTTATCGAATGTTTGCGAAATATAAAGTGGTATCTGCGAAGTGAACCTGAACTGCTAACTGGTATGCCATGCATAATTAATTCATTTTATTTGTGTTCATTTGCGCAATCTCAATGCCATTATCCCAATGAAAAGAAAGCTGATATTTTGATTAACACTTATGCCAATGCAAACGAAAGAAGCATTCCCTGGGGTGTTAGATGCCTTGTTATAGGTTAAGATAAGCCTTTGGAATTTCATTGTTTTCAATTTGAATTTAATAGATTCAAGCATGGCAGGGTCGAATCACACCTGCCGTAACCAGAATGATTTGCCTTGTATGCATTTCTTCTTCCGTTGACAATATCTAAGAAGCTTTAAGGCTTCCATTTAACAAACATGCGCGGAATGAAGACTTTAATCCGCTTTTTAACTGTTTGCCATGTGCCTGAAATACTTCTGCTCACCCTAAATTTCCAATTTTAAGCAATCAGGTCACGTTGTTGATTGTTTCATAAAATTAACAATACTTTTTCAATTCGCTTGTATCACTAATTAACAATTAAAACTTTAAAGTAGCTCAAGATTCAACAGTTATTTGTTGTTCATCATCTTACAAAAAAGCACCTGTTGTGTTATGATCGAAAAAACCAAGCATTATCGAAAACATTGGTAGGTTAAAATGCAGTCTGAGAAGTGCACACCATTACAGAGCATTGTTATAAGAGCATACCATTACAGAGCTAGTAGAAATGATGATTTAAAGAAATTTAATCAGAGTTAATTTCACGAGGGGCTTTTGCAATGGCTGTTACTCTTGAGTTGATTATTGACTGTTATTCATATTTTTGGTCTCATGTGCCATGCTTTCTCGTGGTTCTCTCGCATTTGCGTTACTCGTTTATTGGTATTGCGAAGTAGTCTTGGCCACCGGGGAATTGTTTAGTAATGCTTGGGCAAGATTTATGGCTCATGGCGGTTTTCATTCCCTAGGTTATTCTTGGGGGTATTTAAGGTTTTTTGGCATAGTGTTGGTTTCACTTTGCTTAGTGAAAGGCGACGAATAAAGAGTGTGCTGTTTATTTTCCCGGCCCTCCCTCCCTCTTTTTTTCTCTTGATGCCTACAATAAAATTTCTCGTACCTTCAGGCATTCTTTATGTTTTTAGCATTTACTTGGATGCTTTTAGGTAGGACTGGTGCATCGGCTGTTAGTGGGGAAAAGAGTCTTTTCTTGTCCATTCCCTCCCCTTTATCAATTAAATTTGGGGGTTATTTAGGAAAATTCCAAAGTAATCGCTTCCTGTTTAAATCAGTGTTAGGTTTAACGATTTGCGCCGATGCACCAACGGCCCAGCTCGCTCTAGATGATGTGGGAACGTAGCCTCATGACTGATTTTCTGATGTCTAGGGCATGATATCTGAGGGAGCTTTTTGCCCTTCATTTTGTTGGTATTTTATTCACGAGTTAGAAAATTAATATAAGAATACATTAACTGTATAACTGTTAGATGCATAATTAGATAAAAAGGGGTTCCAATCCGAGGAGAAGACTGCGAATATTGGGGGGGGGATAGAGCTGCTTACTATTCTCGATCTAGTTCTATTATGGTCATCTTTAATAGCTAAACGTAAATGCTAACATTAACAAGAGAAACCTCTAAAATCTTGAAACAATGACAAGGCTTATGTCTTATGACAGCTTATGGCAATAAATTCTATCAAGCCCGGCCTTTTGACATCAACTATCGAATAGGCCTCTCAAACAAGCCCTTCCCTATTTTGCAGTCAGAATCGGAAAAAGCAGCCAATTAGTTACAGCTGCTTTGAAACTTATTCTGCATTAGAGCATCTAGATGCAGTTTGGTATAATAGCCTTTTTATCAAAGGATTTACTATACACTTTCTAAGTCGCAAATTTGTTTCTTTTCAAATACATCCTGTGTGTCAAATATGCCCTCTCCTTTAAGTTCTGAATATGTCCGACTGGAGAAAGCCCCTTCTCCAATAAGCACCCCTTTCAAATTAGCTCTCTCTTTAGCATCAAGTTTAAATTTAACCTTATGTGAATATTCGAACCATTACAGTATGTTTTTCTGATCGGATAACAAGATCGCCTAAATCCGTTTACTGCAACCGTATTACGACCTACAGATTCTAGATTTAAAAGGACATAGTTTCTCTTCCGTTTATCAAAAAGTTTTAACACCTACTTAAATTATCAAAAGCTGATAAAAGCGCCTTGTGGGTGTGGTTTACAAACTGTCTAGCTATGCTTAACATTACATTTGATTTCTGTTTGGATCAAGGGGAGTTATTGCCGATTAGGTAAATGCTTGAAACCCCTTAGCAATGTTCCTGTATTTGTCATGCTATACATAGAGGTATGTTGAAAAGGCAACATTGGTACCAATCTAAGAACAAAAAAGTAAGCTATTCTGTCCTGTAGGGCAAGAGGATAAAGAGATAATGCCACACTAGAACAACCAACCCTAAGGGGGCAATTCTGTTTATAGCTATGGTATATTTGGTGAATTTTCTTAATAATCAGAGATATCTTCACCCTTTGTTCAACAAAGTTATTTTGATAATACTATGCAAAAAGCATTGAGTAGTCGCAACGATGGATATTCGAATTGCTGTTTGCGTAAATGTTCAGAACATTGTGGAAAGCAAAAAAAATTGCCAGTTTCTTCAAATACTGAGTAGCGTATGTAGAAAGCAGATCAGAAGTTGGTCAGCGTCATTAAAGGAGGCATCGAAATAAAAACTGTAATTTTCCAAATTTCTTTGCAGCCTGAAATTCTTTGGCAAGGCGGTCAAGGTTATCTAATACCGATTCAAACGTGATGTACAGTAGGCGATTATTCTATCGTTTTTAAGTGATTCGCTGTTCATATTTTTCTTCGTTGAAAAAGATCATACAGCAAAATCGGACCTCATTATTAAGGGCACTTGATTCTGGCAAAATTCGCTAAAAATTTCAGTATTTATCTTACCTTTGAGAAAGTTTTTGTTCCGTAGGTAACTGACACTGAGTCTCAGTACAGAGAGTTTATCCAGGCGGGCAATAACTTCCTCTGGAAATGGCAAAAGCTTGGAGAGGTTCTCGAGCTCTTGATTGAGCCTGTCTCTGTGTCGCTTCGAAGGATTTATCGAGGTGCGGTAACTGGAGAAAACAGACAAATTTTTACAATTTTCAAAGACAATGAATTCTGCTCGACAGTACCAACATATTTTACACTCAAGAAAAACGATTTTTTAAATATATTCCAATTTTACAAGAAATGTAAGGAATTAGTTGAGAGTCATTTTTGAAGCAAAGAGTTGAACTAAAATCATTTGCACTTTCTTTAAACGTAAACGTATAACCCTTGTGATATTTTTTCACTTTAGTTTTCCAGCGAGAAAAAGACAGGATTTTCTTGCGAATTTTTTATGTATTTTGCAAAGGTCGGATGCTATACAACAAATTAAACTTTTGAAATAAATTGATTTGAACGATTTGAAGTGTCTTAAACATTCAAAAAAAGTTATGTTCAACTATTAGAACAGAAACACGTGGTCCCAGGACCGTAGCTATTATTTTATATAAGGGGGTCGCGCTTTTCTTAAAATCACACAAATTCTTTGTTCCAATAAACAATCTTTATTTCGTTCATTGCTCTCAAACAATACTATCCTGTCAATAATTCTATCCTTGTTACGGTACTGCATGGAAGCGGGAATGGCCATGTCACTGAAGATGAAAGGAAAATGTCCAAACTTCATAATGAGCACCACCCTTATTCTTTTCATACCATTACAATACCGCTGTTAGGCCAGACAGATAGAGGTTTTTATTTCATCCAATTACTTATGCATACAAAAAGTCAAAATGCAGTCCTTTAACTGCCTTCAAATTCCATTTTCAGCTAGCTCAAAGTCATCCAGTTATTCATTTAAAGGTTGCGTGGATACGGGTAGAGGCAACGCAATAAAACAAACCAAAACGTTCAGGCAGAAAATTATCTAGTCCACGGGATATCGCTAAATTGTTGCTGTCTCCATATGATTTGTCCAGACTTTTCAAAAATACAGATGACTACACGATGACTTTTATACAACGAGCTGGGTTCGGATGCTGTGAAAAGCAAAATTCAGTTGTTTTGCAATAATGTAAAGAAGGCAAACTCAAAAGGGTTTTCAAGAGCTCTTGATTCAAACCAGGAATCAGTATTAAAATCGTTCATGAGCATTGCATGCTGCATCACTCTTAAATGTCAAAGAGTTTAGCAAGTATAATCAAGGTTTCAGCTAAACAATTATCATTCCTAGATGCTTCACTGCAAATATATTGTACGACAGCACGTGGAGCAGAAACAACAGAAAGCATAGCCTAAATTCTCAGTTTTATACCCCCTGGTTTCATTACCTAACAAGAAGCATGAAAGCTACACAAATTATTTTCCAACAAAACAGAACAATTTTAGGATCAAATATTTACAAAATTATCATGAATAAATACCTAATAGCTAATTACTTTAATATTGGCAAATCATTCAACAAGCAGCAATGTCAAAACTCCTGATAACACAAGGCTACCATCATAGGTACCATTATGACATACATGTAACTACAATCAGGAGTATTTACATTAACGTTATGTAATAGAGATGTTACAATCATTATTTCCTTTCTGCACATAGTTTTGTACCTTGGCTTTGAATGTACAAAACTGCACAGTCATAGACGAAGGAACAAGGGAGCCCGGTTCAGAGACAGTGATAAAGCACCCCCCCCCCCCACTTTTGAAGTGCTTCCTATAACTTTGTGCACAATGTTATGCAATTTCATGATATCTTACATGATATTTAATCCTGTGATGTCTAAAATTTGCTATTAATGGTTCAACAAGTCCAAATGCATCCAAATTTATGAAAATTTTATTTTTACAGGAGCAATTACTTTGTGCATCCACCCATTGGTTTCCTAGATGACGTCGGTGACAAATGATAAATACAAAGAAAGACATTATATTAGACTGCAGACCAATAACCAGTCTTAAACACATAAATCTTTATGCAAGAAATAACCACTGTCTTTTAGGCCTTGCTATATTGTGAACACCGAACTAATTTTTACACTTGAGTGTTTCTAGCAATCCTTCATGCATTGTAAACAAGAATAACTTAATTAAGTTCAAAGCAAAATAACACAATTTGAAAAAGCTAGAAGCAAACTTCAAGACAATGTCTTTCCTCTCTTTAAGTGGGCTTGAAGATAAGAGTCTGAACCATGTTACGCTTTTTCTCTAAAAAGAAGTCATATTATACTATCTAATACAAAGTTATATACAACGAGCAGGCAAGCTTCACCTCTGCACATGTGAGTCGAGAAATCACGGGGATGGGTGATTAACTAAATGTTTGCATCTTCGGGAATGGCACCAACTAAATTTCGTTTGGGGAAAATATTTGAAAGCGAAAAAGTACGAGGAAGCAGAATTGAAGATTGGCGTAATGAAGGTTTGATTCGATAAACTTAGGGATGCAAAACAAGGGCAAGGGCATTACAATGCAGTGCTGCGGTTTCGCAATAGCTTCTCTTCAGACTAATTTGAGTCATGAACGATGTCTGATGTGGTGTCATTCTGAAACAAAATAATAGCTCTGTCTTGCAATCTAAATACCTATTCGAAGAGCACGTGGTTACGTACACATAGTAAGAATGTGATCGAGCTGGAAATCTCAATTATATGATTGAGACCGCCTATTTGTGGACGGTTTTGTACACTTTTGTTGTTTATGCAAAACAGACTACATGCTTGAAGCGTGTATGAGGAAAGTAAGCAAAAGCAACGGTACCTGGGTTGCACGCAACCACGATTCCAGCAATGGGAAATCGCACGCCATTTTAACGATATCAGAAGTAAAGCAAGGGCATCTGGCAATATTTTAATGATGAAATTTTTAGCATGAAGCCTAGAATAAACTGGATAGCTGCTTTTCTGGGAATTTTATTATTGTCTCATTTTTGTTTGGAAGCAGACAGGAATTTCTCCACGGTCCACCGCACGTGAAATTATCCTGTCTGGTATTTCATGATGCAAGATCGCAGGCAACTCATTGCAAGACATACATTGCTGATAGCTCAAGTTTCTGTCAAAAGTTCAATTTTAATATTTAAATTTCATAAAGAAAGGTTCTTGATTCAAGTGCAAATATCATAAAAAATGTAGGTATAGATTTTGTATTGAAAATATTGGTCGTGTAATAAAGAATAACATTTCAGAGCGGGAAATGGCATGTGGACATCAACATCGCTACTAACGTTGGTGTTTCAAAACTATGAAACCAAGGGCATGTGCAAGTTAATAACTTTAGGAAAACAAGTTTGAAAATATCAAATGGTATGAACTCTACCTCTCTGAGATTTTGGAGTAAGATCTTATTGAAGTAGCGGGGCGTGAACTGAGACGCAATAATTGCACGTTGGTCAAGCACTTTGAAAGTGTATCAATAAACTCGCAAGCTCCTGAGGTAATATGAAGAAAACTAGATAGATAATTATTCCAATTCGTTTCAAGTGGATTATTCATATTAATACAAATATTCATACGAGTGGCCCTTGGGAATTCTACTTTGCCCTGCATGCGTAGTTCACAGCTTTACAACTCCTAGAAGCTCGTGCATTGCCTTACTTGTCATCAAAATTAAGATAAGTTTTACGATAAAACTGGCAAATATTAAAGACAAAAAGCAAAAATGAATCTCTATTTTCAAAAAATCTTGCCTGTTGGCAATAATGAATGCAAAATAAATTAGATATTTTCTGAATTTAGGGCGCATCATTGCTGTTTTGATGTGGCCTATATCATCACAACACAACATGGCTTACCCTTGCGATTTTCGTCGTCGTTTACTCGAATTTCCGCTCATCGTGTGGCGTATGACATGCCAAAGTTAAACTGCGTGACTTTACACAACAGATCGTTGAAAGATTCTTTAAATATCAAGGCAAAAAACTTGCAAAGTGGCCTGATTTATCACAACAAAACAGCTTCCCTCAAACATGCTCTCTCCTTCTCATTCTTGTCATGGTCATGGAGTATTGACACCTTAAAGAAATCCGCGCAATTTGATTGGACAACAAAACCACCTTACATGAATTCAAGACATGTTTTGGACAAAAGGACAATGAAACTATTGTTTAGGGCACCTTTAACCTCAGCCTATAGGTTCAGAGGCTCAATTTCCAGAAAGGGCCAGGACAGAGGTCGTGCCCGGAAAAACGAATGGGTCTGGATGAAATTTGATATGCTAAAAATGAAATAATTTGCAGAAATTAAATTTTGATTAATCCATGTTTATTTCATGTCAATATCTTGAAATTTGAAACTATATTTTTGAATTGAATTACAAATCTAAAGAACTGGGAATGCCCCGGGATATTAGAAAAGTAGGCCAGCATTAGGGCCCCGATCTTTTATTGGTATTGAAAGTATCGTTTGTATCGCAATTGGTTTTCCACGAATTGCGGTTCCACACAAGATGCATCTTGCGTCTTTCGGTGTTAATTGGCTTAGTATGCTTGCAGATTGTGGCTTTTGGCTGTTTCTTGCGCTGATTCACGGCTTTTGGACCCCTTGTATTGGGCTCATTTTAATACATTTTCGGCATTTCTTACTCAGTTTCTATGTGGAGTTCTTCAATGTTGTGCTGTTCTAGTAACCTACAAAATCTTGGCACTGATCCTAATCCTAAGGGTCCGCGCTACTGATCCTAAACTGGAGGGGCCAACAATGTAAAGGGAATTTACTCTTACCCCCTCTAGCCCCAATTGCGAAAAACATTTTGTTGACGCCGTTTTACATGTGGACCTCTTGTGGTTCAATGTATTTGTTGTTATCTAATGGTTGACCTGAATAGATAATCTGAGTCAATTTTTTTTATTTAGCGAAAAATTTGGGAGGCAATGGCCCCCTTGCCCCCGTGAGACAAAAGCCCTGGAAAGGGTGGCTGTGGCTTTGCAAAATTTAAAGTAAGATAAGAGAAAAAAACATAATTGGAGACATGGAGGGGGGGGGTGCAAACGATAAAATTCTTCCCACAGAGCCCGAAAAAATAGCAAGGTATCTTAAATTTTGCAAAAACGTTTTAGCTTTTTGAGGTTGTAGCCTCCGCCGTCAAGCCACGTTTGCAGGTATGTGTCTTAAGGTGGACGGACCTTCTAGAAATTGACTTCTGCAAAACTCAATTCAAATAGCATAAACCTATCTTTGCTGTTTCATATAGATAAAAACCATGAATTGCTTTTATTCGCTTGCTGAAAAATGCATATTATTTAGAAAACTTTGAACTAAATTAAGATTAATAGTTTTAAAATTTTCAGCAAAAAATTTTCATGACAATTTTCATTAATTGCAATATCACAGACAATTTTCATTAATTGCAACTCTAACAAGCAGGAAAGATTTTCATAGTCATTTTTTGCAAGCACACACATTTTATCAAAGAACCTTTGTTCTTGGTGCTGAAGGATTCTGAAACTTTGAAGTCTCTTCAAAATATCAAAAAACATGTTTGGAACTTAGCATAAAACATTATTGGGGGGAATTTGATTCCAATTGAGTAGAATAAGGGCAGGTTTATATGAAAAAAGGGTAGTTGCAAGTTGGTTGAATAATTTTAACAGAAGTTATTACAACTTGGATTTGTTTACAGAGAATGAAATACCGATATAAATGAAAACAATCCATTTAGATAAAAGCTAATTGGAACTATTCTTCGTGTTTTTTCCTGAATTTCAGACAGAAAGGGAAATTAAGATAGCTTAACACATCCCTGATGCTGCCATGGCACCTTGAAATAATTAGACATTTTCGGATAATTATTAGACATCTTCCACAATAATCTTCATGCGTCAACGAAAAGGTTTTTCTTAAATGGTTAAACAAAGTGAATGTTTTTTTTATTTTGTTGCCTTATTTTCTTCTATACCAATAATGCAAAGACTTCATCAAACACAGCTTAAAAATCCATGAATTTGGATTTTTTAGGATCATGAACAATTTTCTTCCACGAACTAAGATACGTTTTAAATCCAGTTTAGCATAAACATGGCAATTAAATACCCTAGATTGGGGTTAGTAAATGTACCTTGAATTGGGGTTACTACGTTTGATGTCAATATTCAAACAAGCTTTGAAATGCAATAAGTGAATTAGTAATTTAAACTATTAAATCATTTCTCTTACATTTTGCCTAAAATACAATAGAATGCTATTTTATTTTTGTGCACTTATATAAACCAACTGATTAAAAAAACCCGAACAGTCTATAACCAGGGCATTTTTTAACATATTCAGTGGTGGGTGAATTGCCCCCACCAGGCCCTACGAGTTCCCCCACCACTGACAAGCAAAATTCTACTTTTACCCTAGATGCCCAACCACTGACGGACCCGTTCCAAAGAGTAAACACAATGCAAATGTGTTGCCAAAAGAAACATAACATTATATTTTTCTCTCATCATGATGATTTGGTGAAATAGCTCCACTACTGTAATTGCAAGCAGTGGAAAAGCTATGCCTCCAGTAGGGAGCACATTCAGATTCTTCACTGAAATCGTTTTAATTTAGGACATAGGAAGCATTAGAAAAGTGAGAGGGTCATCCTAACAAGTATTCTATAAGGTTAAAAAACCTGTTTAACTGGCACCCTAACAAAGATTCCAAAAAGGTTGAGAAAGGCTGTTTCTGGAGGCCTAGCTACAATGATCATATGGATACAATTTTCTGGCTTAGTTGCGAGCAGTACTGCCAAGAGGTTTCGGAGGCCCTGTTGCAAAAGTGAAAGACGAGGTCTGCTATTATCTTTGGCGACCATGCCCTTTCGTTAACGCGTTTCAGAATATTTCTTGCAGTCATTTTCTTGCAATCATTTAAAACGTTGTACCATTGTTTAGGAATTTTATTAGTCTTACTGATTGCTTCTTAAATTGGAAACCTCGAAGGCCCCCTAAACTTAAAGGCCCTAGAGCAATTTGCCGTCACCCCTCACCCTTTGGCAGCCCTGGAGGGGGCACGTGTTCCCTGTGTTCCCGTTCTCACGTCCATGTGTTTAAGAAAACCTATTTGTTTGAAAATAGCTTGACCATAATGTCATGAACATTTTGCTAAATGTAATGAATTGTAAACAAAGCAAACATTTTAATTTCACACCCAAAGCTAAATTGTCAATTTCTTTTAGTTTATGTCCATGATAATAACCCAGCTCTGTTTATAGCTTTTTTTTATTGATCAAAGCTTATATAAGCAACATTTATTGTAGATAGTGTGAAATAGCGGAAGCATAATTTTACGGTACCAAAAACTTTATTGTGTATATTCGTAATTCAATATGTAGCCTGAATCACAGTATGAATTTAATTGAATCTAAATTTAATTCTACTCTGGATATAAATGTATATATACAATACATCCTAAATTTGATTTTATTTATTTACATGTTAAGCAATTGGAACTAACTTATACTTCATTCTTCTATATCTTTTTGCAACATTTGATGCCACAATTACAGCGTTGCTTCGCCTATTCAATTTCAAATTTCACGGATGTTTTGTTTCACCGGACTTTGCAAACTGAGCTGCTTATGTAACCATGGTATTTCTTCTAAGCAGCTCACAATCTTATTGTTGCTGAACTGCCAAGTCGCGCAAAATTTATCACGTTGTTTATTTTCGACATGAAAGAAAATATAAAACGCATTTGTTTGTTTTGGTTACTTTTAGCACTCGTTGCTTTATGCTAAGAACATGTTTACCCCAGTCGCGACCTTATTGTTTCTGTGTATAACCCCAGAACAAGACTGGTATCTTTTAGTTAAATATTCACTAGAATTAGAAGCAAAATATTTCGATGGCGAAATTGTATATAAATTAATATATTATTAAAAACTTGATAATATTGCTATTCAATACAAAGATGTTTTGACGCATGATTCACGGAGTGGCGCTAGGGATGCACGGATGGTGAAAATAGAACTCGTTGCTATAGAGTTCTCAAGTGTGACGTCACAGAAAACTATTTTCTAGAATTTTCGAATTTTGACCAAATAACATGAAAGAACACCATGAAATACTCCTACAGATGCAAAATCAGTTAAATTTGTCAAAAATCGGGCGAGCTATGACCAAGATTTTAAGTTTGCTAACGGATTTTTTTTCTTCGGCTCAGTTCATAAAGTTATGAACTGAGATCAAATTACAGAGGTTTGATGGGGCCAGAGCTTGTGCTCATCTGGTCATATCTCAGCCAATTCGTAATGCCTTTAGCTGATTTTGCAGATTTAGAGGTATTTCATGATGCTTTTTCAGGTTATGGGGACAAATTTAAAAAATTCTAAATATAGACTTCTGTGACGTCATCACTTAACATCTCTATTACCCTGGGTAAGAGACCCGGGGAAGCGAGAGATTTCTCTTTAACATTGTAAGAATGGCTTTGCATCTGGTCACGAAGGGGCACGGTGTAAAAGAATACAGATATATTCTCCCTACTACTAATTATATTCTTTTTGCCAGCACCTTATATGAATTTTTATCAATATTTCAGGATATAATGTCTCAGCGCAATCAAGGAATAAAGAGAACTAAAATTTGGAAAGGCTTAATGAGGGCCAAACTCTTAGCCTCTTTTATTCCAAGCCACTAACCACATATCAAAGCGGCGACAGGACAGTTGTTGTTGTTGCAAGCTGGTCTACGGTAGGAATGATGCAGCTTCATTTTCAGACAACTTTAACAATCAAATCAAGCCAAACCAAATCAGAGATTGATTTTGATTTGATTTTCTCTCTGGAAATCGCAAGAAGAAATTTAGAGGGCAACTGTTTCTGTTTTACTTTTTTGCCATTACATCTTCAAAAAGCGGTTTTGGATGTTTGTTGACAATTGACATTCAAAGAAGTGGCTAGAACCAAGAAAGTCTAAACAAAATGCTGAAGTCTAGACCAGCATTATAGAAATGATTAACCGTCTAGCCAGCAATGTTCTGCGCACGTGGGGTTCCTTTGGTCCTTCCGAAAATTCGCATATGGTTTCTCAAAGCCCGGCAATGTCTGGGATGATCACGAAAATGTAAGTCGTGGATTCCCCATCCTTGGTCATTATTTCGTTTTAAACAGTTCATACTTACATTGAACGTAGGCCATTCTTGTATTTTGCAGCTGCTTTTTCATTCATTCTAACCTTACTCTTTTTATGAATATGTCTCAATTACAAAAGAGTGGATTACTTGGGGAACCCCATTAACCAGTCGTAGAAAACAAACAGCAGCACCGATTTCTGTCTGGGAAAAGCATTGTTAGCCAGAAAGCAGCATTGTTTACAACCGTGACTTACTGGTGCATCACTTGGATTTGAATTGGACACGGGTCGCAAATCTCATACGTTTAGGGCAAAACAAATAACTGGGCCATTTACATCTACGAGTACTATTAGAATTATTGAATGAGACACGTATCCATCCGAGAGCATCCTCAGCAGTCAGTGCTTGTACTTCCCTAGGTCATAGCAATTTTGCGAGTATGGATAAAACGAGAACAAAGGAAGGTCATGACAAAAGTTAATTGTCTGTGGAGGAGATGGCCTTGAAAATGTTTATGAACAAGCCCACTTTTAGATCATTTAAAAACACTTGAAAACATTTCATAAAATACGTCAAAAATAATTAACTACAAGGCAACTCGTTAGAAAACTGGTACAGGAGATAAATAATTGAACCTTTTTCTGTTCGAAAATATAAAGTTTCTTAGAGCTTACAAGTGTGGAAGTCTAGAAGACTCTTCGAGGTGAAAATGAGAAGAGGCTTTATTAAAAGGTTCAAAGAAATGGTTTTCACGTTATTTCGTTGTGTTTCCTGGCTTTGAGTGTTGAGGATGGCCAGGGACTTTGTAGGGATAACTCGTTAGAATACGCATGCGTCCCTGCCCCTCGACGTTGATTGGCTCGAACAAATTATTAAGCCTTTTGTCTCAAACAATTGGAGTGAGATCTCATCG